ATTATGCAGATTCTGACTGTTGCCTGGCCTGTAAGATTCCAGGAAAGAGGAGGAAACGTGGGGCAGGGAGAGCTGGGCCATGGTGGGAGCTTCAACACAGTGGTTCTTACCTGGCAGCTTCCCTGTGAGCTGAGTCATTCATTCCTCAACTTTTGATCCCTTGAATTTGGGTGTCAGCAAGCAGCTTACCTCCCTGTGCACAGCTCCGTGGTACAGCTCCACCACACAGTGAGCAGCTCCGTTGTACAGTGCAGTGCTCCATCATACAGTTCACAGCTCTGTTGTACAGTGTGCAGCTTTGTTATACGGTGCACAGTTGCATCATACAGTGCACAGCTCCATCATACCATGCACAGCTCTGTTGTACAGTGCACAGTTCCATCATACAGCGCACGGCTCTGTTATTTTAGTGCACTGCTCCACTGTACAGAGCAAAGCTCTATCATACACTGTACAGCTCTGTTGTGCAGTGCGCAGCTCCATCATGCTGTGCACAGCTCCAAAGTACAGTGCATGGCTCTGTTATACATTGCACAGCTCCAACATACAGTGCATAGCTCTGATGCACAGCGCATAGGTCTGTTGTACAGTGCACTGCTCCATCGTATCACGCACAGCTCCATTGTACAGTGCGCAGCTCTGTCATGCAGTGCACAGCTCAGTTGTGCAGTGCAGAGCTCTATCATACCGTGCAGAGCTCCACTGCACAGTGCACAACCCCGTCATGCAGAGCCCAGCTCTGTTGTGCAGCTGTTTGCAGGGGCTGTTCCCACACCGCCGCCCCCCGGCCGTAAATCCAGTGGTGAGAAACAAACAGAAGGCTGGGGAGAACCAGGACATTTCCTTTGGTGTTTATTCACTTGTCCCCTGCAGCCCGCCGTCCTGCAGGTAATTCTGTACCGCATTAAGAGGTAATTCAGCAGAAAATTATCCGCTGCTGTATTGCAGCTCTGGAGGGCACGGGATGGGGTTTATTGGAGGATTAGTGCCAGATCCTGGCCCCTTGGCCCTTTGGCCCCTCGGCCCCTCCTGTGCCACTGGGACACAGAGCAGGGCTGCCTGGCAGCTGTGTGTGACAGCGTGGTGACAATTACATCCGCTGCTCAGCCGCTGCAGCTTCTTTTTCTCCCTCTGCCTCTCTTTTTTTTGTTTCATCTCTCCTTCTCAGAAAGCCCATTTAAATGCAATTCCATTCTTAAAACATCTCCCTCATGCATGTCTAATGAATGTCAGGCAGGCGCGCTGACAATGGGCCCGAGTAGGATCCAATCTCGCCGAGTGTCTACAAGTCATTTGGAAGCAACCCTGGGAGTGCGCCCAGTTTTATTACAGCGTAATTAGAAATAAAATCTTGTTGCAAGAGGAGAATGAGAGATGGGTGTTAATCCTGTAACGGGAGGAGATAGAGCCGTGCTTATAAAGGAGATTAAGGGGAGGGGGAGGTGGGCAGCTTGCCGTGACTCCCCGACTTTCATCCCTGCTGTGTGAGTCTCAGCCTGGTGGGGGAGCGTAGATTTTGGGGTGGCCTTGCATGCTGCTGTGATTCAGTGCTTCTGTGGTGCTCTGGCCAGGAGTGAGCGTGGGGAGGGATTAAATTTAGGTCTGCAAGGGGAGGTCCTGGTGATGCTCCGCAGCTGTATGGGAGGGGTTTTTAGGGCTTTTGCACAAAGCTCACCGTGCGCTCCGGCTCTTGTGCACCCGCTGGCAGCTGGCACCACACTGGGCACTGGTGAGCACACACAGAGCTGGCTGCAGGGCTGCACCCTCGTCCCAGTATCCCCTCCATCATCCTTTCAGGAGGAACCATTCTGAAAGCTGCCGCCACCCCATTGCAGTGCCTGGGATGCAGCAAAGCTGGGGTGCAGTGCCGCAGCCTCCCCAAAGCGACATTTCTAGGACACGGTATTCTCGTTTCAGCAAAGCCCCGTTCCTCCTGGATTGAGGAGGAGGAGAAAGAAGGCAGGGAGCCCTTTGGTGCAAAGCGTGACCCACTTACTCAGCTGGAGTCGGTGATTTTACAGATGCCCACGGAACTTCAAGGTGGAAGCACTGTGCTGGGTGCTGGGCTGCTCAGCTTTGCATTGGCTACGTAGGAGAAATGTGTTTCCTTTGAAAGGGCTGGGGAGCCTGCGACTGCCTTACACGTCCCCTGGGATCCTGTGTGCAGGGAAACATGTAAATAAATCTGTCAGATATCGTGCAGCTCTTATTAAATTTGCATTGGGCTCGAGTCGCGGCTCCTATTTACCATCTCTGGGATGGATGGATGGATCTTTAATCTTCGCGCCTAATCCGGGCGCCCTCCGCTTTAGGTATTTGCTGTGGCGGTGACCCCGGGGTCAGGCATTGGGATGAAGGGACGTGTGGTGCCATGGCCCCAGCCATGGTCTGGGGAACATGGAGTGGACCAGGAGTCCCTCTTGCCTCCCTTTGGTGAATGGCGTGTGGGAGGCTTCTCATCCCCACGCAAGGAAACCACAGGCTGTGTACTTTGGGGCTTCCCTCTCCATGCCTTTCACCCAAGGGAGGCATTTGTCACTTTAAACGTGGCCAGAAATAGCACCAAACATTTATTGAATTTGTCCGGGATGCCTTGGGTTGCATATGCTCCAAGTATGGCTAATTCATAAATGCTGGCACCTATTGATTCTCCAGCAGTTAAAATAGACTGCGTAAGGAAATATTGGCCCCAGAGTACCAAGGGAAAGTTATCTCATTAGTCTCATGAACTATAAAATGTGCTCTCTCCTGAAGCCCTGACCCCATTGTTTTTATAAATCTATATTGGATGGAACGGTAACTGGTAACCTATATCGACTGTAATTTTTCTCTTGGAATTGGAAGGCCCTTGGGACTGATGTTAGAGCTTCATGGGCTCAGATTCAGTAACGGAGAATGCATGTGGATGTGTGTGTGAATAGGAGGAGATCCTCCTAATGCTCGACATGCAGGAGAGCACCACTTTTTCCTTGTGATGGGTTCTTCAGTGCTGGGTGCCTCAGTGATGTGTACTCTGGTTATGGGTTCCTTGGTGATGGGTACTCTGGTGATGATTCCTCGATGATAGGTACCTTAGTGATGGATGCCTTGGTGATGGGTACCTTGGCAATGGGTACCTCAGTGGTGGGTACCCTGCTGATGAGGACTCTGGTGATGGGCAACCCACAACAGGGAGAGGGGAGAAGGGTATTGCAAAGCCTTTGCCACGGGAGCAGCTGAGATCTGGCTGAAAGAGTTATTAGAGGCACATAGCTCCAGCCTGGCTGTGGATGTACTTAATCCTCTGCATCCTGTAAAGCTTTTCCACCTCCTGGCAGGCAGAAAGATCTGATTTTATTCGGCGACCTTCGACGTTAATCTCGCTGGCTAACTGAGCCATAAGTCACTCCGGTGAGGTCTCCGTCAGACCTGCTTACATCAATTATTGCCCTGCATCTTTCCCTTGAACCAATGCAGCGCTCCTCAACCAAGTTATTTGTCCCTCGTTGGGAAGAAAAAACAACAAAAAAAATAGAATTGAGGCTGTGCTGTCAGGTTGTGTAGACCTTACATTTAACGTCATGGCATCTTTAAAGCCACACTTCTGTCTGGCTCTTACCCAACTCACAAGCTTCATCTGGATCTGTGCACACTGGCAAGCTCCAGGAGCCAAGTGTCCAAGGTTGCACGAGGTCCCCGTGGTGCTGCTGCTGCTGCTCTTGGGCCCCTGCACATTGCTGCTGCTCTCCAAGTCTTTGTTTCCAGAGCACTCGCGAGTGTGCCTGGCAGCAGGGCTGCAGTTAGGCATGCACAGAAGTGCGCGCTGTGGGGGAGGCCAGCTGGGGCTGCGGAGCACTTTGCAAAATGCAGCAGCTGTTACCATAGAAACTGACTCCCCCCTTCTCAAATTCCAGTGCAGCCAAAGCTCTCTGCATACTGGTTTGATGGGAGATGAAAAATTAATGCTTGATTTGCATGTTATTTCAGCTGCGTTTGCAGGACTGCTCCCCCTTCCCTTTTACAGAGGTTTGCATGAAGCTCTTAATGCCACCAGCTGATGGTGTGGGGCACCGACCTCTCCAGTCCTGTTCTGGGCTCATGGGATGCTCAAGTTTCTCTTGCCTGTACCTTCCATTAAACCACAGCTCGGCTTGCATCTTAGTGAGGCTTCTATTTCCTCTGTCTGGAGTCCCAGATAGTCTCAATTAGAGTCAAAGCCACCTGTCCAGCTGAGCTACAGTGGGATTTGGGGGCAGTGCCAGCAGGGTCAGGGCTATCCTCCACTTGGCTTTTGTGATGCACGCACTCCAGTTCCTGGGTGCAGAACTGGTTTGTGTCAATCTGCAGCCTCCAGCACTGCTTCTGGGGGCAGGGAGAAGTTCTGCCATCCTCTCCAGAGGCTGTTCTGGTGATTTGCTTTTTGTGCCTTTCCCACATGCATTGGCTTACCTAAAGGCAGCCAGGCAGTGCCACAGGGCTGTGCTGTGCCACCCTGTGGCCTCAGCAATCTTCCCCCGGTGCTCCACTATCAACTCAAGCCCTTATTTGTTTTCACATGCTTCTAAGTAAGTTAAGCTAATTATTAACTCAGCAGGACGGATTCACTTTTAATTGCAGCGTTGCTATGCAGCACACCAAGATGGGCTTCGTTGCTTGTGCTCCCTTCTTCAGCTGCAGCCACGGAATCACTGCAAGCCCAGGGCTGTGCCCTGCAGCATCCTGCACAGCCAGCACTGTGCAGCTGGGCGCTGGCACTGGGACCAGGGGCTGCGGGCAGGCTGCAAGGACAGCCCATGTACCTCAGTGCATGGGCAGGATGTATGCCACAGCACGAGTACTGCTCTGCCCAGGGACATGTGGGCTGCTGTTGCACACCCATGTGCAGCACTCATCCTTGCCAACTTACCCAACCTGCAGCCCTGGTGATGCCAACCCCGAGAGCAGGGGTTGTATGGAGGAGGAGAGCACGTGGTGCGAGGACGCACTCACCCTTCCCCTCCCTTTCCTCTTTGTGTCTCCAGAAAATAGGTTTTTTATTACTTCTTATGGAGGTTTGTACATATCGGACGTGCAGAAGGAAGATGCCTTGTCCACCTACAGGTGTATCACCAAGCACAAGTACAGTGGGGAGACGCGGCAGAGCAACGGGGCCAGGCTCTCGGTGTCAGGTGAGCACGTGGCTCCCGAGGTGTGCCAGGGATGTGCCCGGTCCCATCCAGCCCTGGGGACAGCACCCAGCCTGCGTGCCCCACTCTGGATGCACCCCTACCCGTGTCCCAGGGGGGTGTGAGGACCACGGGGGGTCCATGCCGTGCCCCAATGCCCGGCGGTGGGCAGCCGTGCCATGCAGCACCCCGAGCAGGAGGCGACGGGGCGCGCGGCGATGCGATGTGACAGCCGGCGATGTGAGCAGCCTGACGCGATGTGACGAAGATGCAAGCGATACTGCAGCCGAGCGGCGCAGTCCGTAGTGCCGGCTGGCTCCGGGCGCTCCCGGCTCCGCTCACTGCCCAAATTACTCTGCTCGGGAGCTGCATCGTCTCTCCCTCCCGTCAGCTGCAGCTCGCCCGCGCTCTGCCATATGGTTTTTCTAGCCTCGTGTGCATGGTTCCCGCATTAACTCCTTGAATTAACCCCTGCAGAGGGTTTGGGATGGGGTTGGGAATGGCTGAGATTCCTCGACCCGGCCCTGTTGGATCCCAGAGAGAAGCGTAGGCAGCCACAGGGCACCCCTCTCCTCTCCCTATGCATTCGATGTGCCTCTGTCCCCTCCTGGTCGCTGTCATTATTTACACGTCACAGCATTTTACTTCTGCTTGGGAGTAATGAAAGAGGTTTTTTTCCCCTGGAATTTAATTTCACGCCTGAGACTTGGTGATTAATTTTCTCCTTTCCCAGCTGCCTGATGGGCCCCTTTTGCTTGTAAATTTTGAAATGTGCCACAGAATTTGTGTATTTTGCACCAATTAGGTGTCACCTTGAGTAATTCCTACAGTGCTGAGTTTATCCATCCCACCAGCCGCTTAGGTGAAGCTCCCTGGGGAGGTTCCACCGGGTGACACAGCATTGCCCCACTGCTCCCTGTGTCCCCATCAGCTCAGAGCTCAGCTCTCCGCATTGCCTGGGAGCAGGAGCGCATCTCCCCTCCTTCTCTGGGTGAGTTGATTTCCTCTCCAAACGCAGACCCAGCTGAGTCCATCCCCACCATGCTAGACAGCTTCCAGTCACGGGAGGTGCGTGCAGGCCGGCTGGTGGAGCTGCCCTGCATCGCTTCGGGATACCCCAACCCTGCCATCCGCTGGCTGAAGGACGGACGCCCGCTGCCTGCTGACGGCCGCTGGGCCAAACGCATCACGGGGCTGAGCATCGCCGACCTGCGCGTGGAGGACAGCGGGACCTACATCTGTGAGGTGACCAACACCTTCGGGTCTGCAGAGGTCACGGGGACCCTCACGGTCATCGGTGAGTGCTGGAGGGAAGAGCTGCCGCCTGCTCATCTCTGTGAAACCGTAAAGCTTTATATTTTGGCGTGCCTCGCTACGCAGTGTGTCCGATGTGGTGCTCGGAGCGTTCGGGGGGAGTTTGTAATGCTGCTGCAGCAGATCTGCAGCCATCCCCTGATTTACCACTTTAATCGGGACCTCTGGAAAAAGCAGTGCAATACCACGGGATGTAAATTGCTGGATGGCAGTGTTCTGCAAGGTGCCTCTGTGCTTTGTTTTGCTGATTTACATAAAATAAGCTCCAGCCAAACAGTAAATACCATCTGGGCAGGCCAAATATTTACTGCCTGTTCTGCTCCTGGGGGTTCCTGCAGCCACCAGCAGCACCCGGGCTGCCCTGGCACGTTTCCACTCAGCACTGTCCCATCACAGAGCCACGTCCCCACTGCCACCCCAACATTAACACCCATTAAGCAGCACGAGGGAGGGCAGGGTTGCCACCCCTGGCTGTGTGGTGACATTGTGCATGTAGGCTGGTGATTCCAAAGATAGGAGGGCAAAGAGGCACCTGCTACTCAGCATCCCCAACGTGTCACCTGCTCTCACCCTCTCTCACACAGACCCTCTGCGTGTGACCCTCACACCAAAGAAGCTCAAGACGGGCATCGGCAGCACCGTCATCCTCTCTTGTGCCCTCAGTGGGTCCCCTGAATATGTCATCCGCTGGTACCGCAACACAGACCTGGTGGTGGTGGATGACTTCATCTCCATCCGGGGCATCAGCAATGAGACCCTCCTCATCACGGCAGCACAAAAGAGCCACTCTGGAGCCTACCAGTGCTTTGCCACCCGCAAGTCCCAGACAGCACAGGACTTCTCCATCATCATGCTGGAGGGTGAGCTGGCTTCCTCGGGGCGGGGGGTTGGTGGTGGCTTTTTCTCTGCCCCTTTCCAAGCTGCCTCATCCCTGAATGCTTTATGCAAGGAGAGAGGGAAGTGAGTGCCAGCATGGTGGGCATCCTGCCTTCCACAAGGCATCTCCTCGCCTTTTTTGTGACAACGGGATGGCGATCATTGGGTGTTGGAGCAGGGATGGGCACCCTTTCAGCCAAGGGCGCACAGGGCGCAGGGGCACGGGCGCATCCGTGCGGGTGACTGCAGCCGTGCCCTAACCCCGCTCCCGCTGGGTGCCCCCAGATGGGACCCCCCGCATCGTCTCCTCCTTCAGCGAGAAGGTGGTGAACCCCGGGGAGCAGTTCTCCCTGATGTGTGCCGCCAAGGGCGCGCCGCCACCGACCGTGACCTGGGCCCTGGACGACGAGCCCATCCCGCGGGACAACGGGCACCGCACCAACCAGTACACCATGTCGGACGGCACCACGGTGAGCCACATGAACGTCACCAGCCCGCAGATCAAGGACGGCGGCGTGTACCGGTGCACCGCGCGGAACTCGGTGGGCAGCGCCGAATACCAAGCGCGAATAAACGTAAGAGGTGCCTGTCTACTTTTAAATATCAGAATAGGGCTTTTACTGGGCTTTTGGTTGTGTTCTGTTCCTCCTCGCCCCTGCCCTTTCCCAGCCATGCAGATCCCTCAATGTCTGACCCCCCCCTGCAGCCCTGCTGGCCCCCAAACCCGTGGGATGGATCTTCCCCATAGTGCAGAGCAGGGCACTTAACTGAGTGTGCATCCAGAGCAACACTTCCCGGAGGGGCAATGCCTCCCTGCTGGATTCTGCTTTCACCATTCCCAGCATTGGGTCTGTGCAGCAAGCACCTCCGTGGAGGTCCTCCTGGCCCAGAAGTGACTTGTGCTGTCCATTCCTCTGCATTCACCAGTGACGTGTCCTCAAACCAACCCAGGACCCCAGCTCACCCCATCCAGCCCCGATCCCGTTACGAGTGATGATGAGGCAGCACGGGGAACGATGGAAAATGAGCTTGGATGTGTTGTGTCTGTGTTTTCTTTGTCTGCTAAAAGCCACAGCTGTGTGAATCACTGCGTTGTCACACTGGAGTGCGTGGTTCTGTGCGTTGTAGGGCGTTCTGCAGGGCACGGGGTGTGCTGTAAGCCCCTGCCCATTCATAATCACCAGTTAAAGCTTCTAGGCTCGTAGGTGGGAGCAGAGTCAAGGTAACATTAATTTATCTACTGAGAAAGAGGCTTGAAGAGCTGTGTTTGTCTGTGTCTCAGGTTTGAAATGGATCTAGTGGCTTTTTGGCTGGGATCCCGGGAGAGTCTGAATTTTGCTGCCATTTACTGCTAAATTTGGAGCGAGTTCATGTCCCAGCCACGAGAAGCAATTGCAGCGTTTTGAATGAGGATGTTTCATTGTCTTCTTTTTTTTTTCCCTCCCTCTTTTGGTCCCTGACTGCCTGTCACTAGATAAGATTCAGGCTTTTTTTTTTTTTTTTTTTTTTTGCCTTGGAATTGAGCAAGTCCCTCCAACAGGCCCAGGAGACAGTTACAGATGCTAATTTATCTCTCCCTGCTCCCTCTTATGGTGCACCCGGGGGGAATCCATGCTGCTGTGCCCTCAGACACCTCCCTGCTCCATGGGGACAGAACATCTCCCACCAAACCTTCCCAACAGCTGATGGGTGCCCCCCATCTGGGGGCAGTGGGACTTAATGTAAGGAAATACACTAAAGGCAACGTTGGCTTATCGGGAGTATCTGCTAAGCTGTCATCCTCACCACTTAGGGTGAGGAGCCAAGATGGAGTTAATCTGCAGATGGGTTTGCTATTTTATACGACAGCCACAAGAACAATATAATTACTGAAGCATGAAACCTCTTGTTATAATACTCACCTGCAGCATGCCTCCAGTCCTCCAGCCAGCGTGAGAGCAGCTGGGAACAGGGGGCGAGCTGGCTTTGGGCAGTACTCAGGCAACCAGTGAGAGGCACGGAATGGGCTGTTTCGGTTGAAAATAAATAAATGTACAAATGGAAGGGAGGTCCCTGCGTGCAGTTCTGCACCAAGGCCATTTGGCAGAGCAGCTGGGGCGGTTGGGAGCACTCCCCAGGTGTCTCCCAGCAGCCTCCGGTGTCCCTCTGAGGGGCAGCAGCAGCATTTGCAGCGGATCTGTGTGCAAACAAACCGCCCTTCGGAATTAACCTAGCCTGCCTCTTCCTTCCTCCCCACTATGTAGGTCCCCCGAGCATCCGGGCAATGAAGAACATAACGGCGGTCGCGGGTAGGGACACTTTCATCAACTGCAGGGTGATCGGGTACCCGTATTACTCCATCAAGTGGTACAAGGACTCTTTGCTGCTGCCCGATAACCACCGCCAAGTGGTCTTTGAGAATGGGACCCTGAAGCTGATGGACGTCCAGAAAGGCATGGACGAAGGGGAGTACCTGTGCAGCGTGCTGATCCAGCCCCAGCTCTCCATCAGCCAGAGCGTCCACGTCACGGTGAAAGGTAAGGAGCTGCAGAGGTGGCCTGGGTCAGACATTCAGGTGGTGCTGGGACCATCTCTGCGAAGGGCGAAGGCAGAGAGGCATTGCAGGGGATGCCCTGCAGCCCAAACGCTGTGCTTGCATCGCACCTCTCACCCACCTGTGTGCTTGCTGCTGCACCGGCTCCATTTCTTGCTACACGCAGCGGAGCAAGGATTTACGGTGTAAACACAGTGTATTAAAACATCTAACCTTTGCTCGGATCACCTTCACTGATGTTTTTCTCTGTGTGTTAGCTTTTAAAAAAATAATACTCTCGGTCTTCCGAGCGCACAGAACATCTTAAAAGCTTCTACAGGCCATCAATTATTCAGCCCCATTGAGGGAGCTATCAGTCCTAATGAATTGAGTCGGATGCATTCCCTCCCAGTGACTTGCTGAGATTGTGTTATGAGCACAGTGCTATCGTATCTCCCGTCCTCAGAGTTGTCGGGTCGGCTCTGCCCGTCGCCAGTGCAGTGTTTGCAGTAAATCATTCAGACAAACACAGCCACGCTGGGACAGAGCCGGCCAATTGTCTTTCCCTCTGTCTCACTGAGCAGGGTATTTATGGACTGGATCTTATGCTGATCCCCCTCCTTCCCCTCCCATCCACCATTTTCTTATTAGGAATCAGGTTAGCAAGAGAGTGCATCAAGCTGATTATAGATGCTACCACTTGATTAGCTAATGCTCTCCTCTGAGGCTTTGCTAGCGGAAGTGTGGGCTGCAGATAACCTCTGGGCAGTGCCAAGGGGATGGATCTCCCTTGCACCCTCGTTGCAGGCCACAGCCAGCCTTTGTGTTCCTCCCCTTGTACCAAAATCCTCACAGAGAGGGATGCTGAGTTCCACACTTCGCTTTGTGCCCATTGCTGGGAGGTGGACGCAGAAGTTCATCCATGTATCCTGGAAAGTGAATGCCATGCAAACCTCTATGAGCCCAGATTTACTGCCTTGGCTGAGAGCTGCCATGCAGTGCCATCCATCCACCTTCATTCCACGGAGTTACACTCAGCCCAGCCTGGCTGCTCGTACTGCCCATTGGACAGAGGGTAGAGGGGAATTGAGCTGCCCTCTGCTACCTTTGGAGTTCACTCTGAGCAGCAGAGTAAATAAATATGACTGTGTTGAGTGCAGGATGGCACGGAGCACCGTAAAGCTTTTATTGCCACAAGTGCCTGGCGGCCACACTAAGTGCCACCAGTGAATTACGCAGGCTTCCCAAGCAATGGCAGTAAAATCTTTATGAGCCCCTCCTGCCAGCACCTCCATCCTCTATCTGCCACCCATCTACAGGCCCTTGCTTGCTCCCATGGCTCCCAGCCCTATATCCCAACTGGGAGCTTCCTGCATCCTCTGCTCTCTGCATTGTCGAGGTGCCCCGCAGCTCCTTATTTAGCAGCAGACATCTTGGAACATTTTAATTAATCACTTGGGGCCGTGCTGCCTGGCTGTGCCCAAAGGAAGGGTGGGAGCACAGTGCTGGGTGATGCGGGGGCTCTGCGTGGTGCCAGGGCTGTGCTATGTGGGAGAGCCTGGGAAGTGCTGCAGACAGAGCATGCAGCACAAGATTATTTGGGGAGGAAGGATGAGGTTTGGGCTCTGGTTAAGGGGAGATAGAATAGGGAGAGCTCTTCTGTCGAGAGGCTGTGTGCTCACAAGTGGCCTGTGGGGTGTGTTTGGAGACGCACAAGCCCAGCCCTCTGCAATAGACTGCAGTGCATTCCCAATTAATTATTCATTAATTATGGAAAGCAGGCGCTGCTGGCTCCATGGCTCCAGCATCTCAAGCCACGTCGCTGCAGCCTGGCTTGGGGTGAGGAACAACCCGCATTGCTGCCCTTTGTGGCTGCTCGGTTGGGCTCTGGGCTTTGGGCCACCCAAATGAGGCCAGCCTGGTTCTGGACGGTCCCTGGAGCAGTGCTGCTGGAGCACTGAGAGCCTTGCAGCACGCTGGGTGAGGGGTGGGGTGGGGATGGGGCCGTGCACAGTGGCATGGTGAGCCCTGCCTGCTGGGGCTCCGTGTCTGTATGAGAGGGCATCTTATTTCTGCCGAGGGGACAATTGGCAGCCTGCTAATTTAATTACGGAGGCTGCGGAAAGAGGATCTCGTCTACCAGGTGCTGAGCCTTGTTAAGCTAATTGTCTCCCTCTCTCTGCTTTCTTCCCCCTCCCACATTGCCAGAGATGCTGCGGTTGCCTAATTAAGTTATCAGGAAGATAATGGCTGGTTCTGAATCCAGAGCCTTCAAGAAAAGCATCCATCTAATAACTGCTTTTCTGCGAGCAGATAAATGCTGAGGTGGAATTTCAGCTGATGCACACAGAGAGGCCGGGGCTGGCAGCTCCCTGTTCTGCCCTGTGTATGGTCACGTCATACTGTCACCTGCTCAGTAGCATCTTCCACCCCTCCTGGAAGTGCTATGGGTGGGCAAAAGCCTGCCTGTTTCTGAGCAGCAGATGCTTAGGATGATGGGGCAATGGGTTATGAACTGCTGTGCTGGCCCCAAGCAGGCTTGCTCCTCTGCAAAGCCATGTCCTGCTGTGGGATGGTGCTGGGGCTAAGATGAGAGGTGATGGCCTCAAGCTGTGACAGGGGAGGTTCAGTTTGGACATTAGGAGAAATTTCTTCTCCAAAAGAGCAATCAGGCACTGGCACAGGCTGCCCAGGGAGGTGGTGGGGTCACCACCCCTGGAGGTGTTCAGGAAACGTGGAGGTGTGGCATGGAGGGACACAGTTTATGGGCACGGTGGGGGTGGGGTGGAGTTGGACTTGATGTTAGAGGTCCTCACCATCCTAAATGATTCAGTGGTATGCATGAGCCTGTGACAAGTGCCAGGAGCCAGGGATGCTTTTCCTCATCCCACTCATCCCTCTGCGGGCCTGAACCCTACAGGTGAGGGCTTCCCCCAGTGGGGCTGTACAGCATGCTCTGCCTCTCCCCTCCGCAGTCCCTCCTCTGATCCAGCCATTCGAGTTCCCACCAGCCTCCATCGGGCAGCTCCTCTACATCCCCTGCGTGGTCTCCTCCGGGGACATGCCTATCCACATCACCTGGCGCAAGGATGGGCACGTCATCCTCTCCGGCTCAGGCGTCACCATTGAGAGCAAGGAGTTCATGAGCTCCCTGCAGATCTCCAGTGTCTCCCTCAAGCACAATGGCAACTACACGTGCATCGCCAGCAACGCCGCCGCCACGGTCAGCCGCGAGCGGCAGCTCATCGTGAGGGGTGAGAGCTTTGGGGTCTCTCCATTGGGTGGGAAGGTGGGAGGGATGGATGGGAGCAGATGGAATCAGGCTGGGGAGCAACAGGCAGAGATAATTTTTAGGAAGAGGAGGCTCAGGTGGACCTCATTACTTTCTCCAGATCCCTGGAGGGAGGTTGTAACAAGGTGGGGGTTGGTCTTTTCTCCCAGGAAACAGCAATAGGACGAGAGGTGATGGCCTAAAGTTGCACAAGGGGAGGTTCAGGATATTAGGAAAGTCTTCACTAGGAGAGTGGTGATGCACTGGCATAGGCTGCTCAGGGGAGGTGGTGGAGTCACTGTCCCGGGAGGTGCTCAGGAAGCATGTAGGTGTAGTACTGAGGGACATGGTTAGTGGGATTGATGGTAGGTGGGTGGTTGGACTAAATGATTTTAGAGGTCATCTCCAACCTCAATGACTCTGTGATTCTGTGATTCCTTCCTGTTATGCAGTGCCTCCTCGGTTTGTGGTTCAACCCAACAACCAAGATGGCATCTATGGTAAAGCCGGGGTGCTGAATTGCTCTGTTGATGGGTACCCTCCTCCTAAAGTGATGTGGAAACACGCAAAAGGTTCGTGGGAGAGGACACAGCAGCGCACGGGGACCTCTGTGCAAGTGGGGCGAGTACCCTTCTTGCTGGGTCACCCCAGCACTGAGCCCCACAAGCACCCCCTGCCTCAGCTGTGCACTCAGTGATGTCTCTCTGCTTCCCCCTCCAGGCAGTGGGAACCCCCAGCAGTACCACCCCATCCCACTGACGGGCCGCATCCAGATCCTCCCCAACAGCTCACTGCTGATCCGCCACGTGCTGGAGGAGGACATTGGCTACTACCTCTGCCAGGCCAGCAACGGGGTGGGCACAGACATCAGCAAGTCCATGTTCCTCACCGTGAAGAGTAAGTAGCCAGGTCATGGCTGGGATGGAGCTGGAGGTGGGCTGAGATGGACAGACAGACAAAAAACAGATGGAAAGATGGGTGGATGGGGAATCACAGCCTGCAGCATGCAGAGAGCAGCCCAGCGCAGCGCCAGCACCACGCAGCCCCAGATCATTGCGGTCATGGAGGGCATTGATTCCCCTCCTACAGGGGAGACTTCCCTTATGCTATTAAAAACACTTAGTCCTTAATAAAACCCGGCGATCAATCTACATCATACGGCAGGAAAGGAAATAGCTCTGCTAATTTGACAGGGCTGGGCCGGGAAGTGTTGTTAGACACCGTGTTTGAACTGCGCTTATTATTGGATTCCTCTCCCGTTGCTATCAGCAGAATACATAATCTCCAGCGCCTCTCTATTTATTTCGATTGTGGCTGTTGTAACAGTTCAAACCCTCAGAAGAGGTGCAGGAGGGAAAACTCCCTCATGGCAGTGGGGTTGGCATGCAGCATGCTGTGCTCCCCGCCTGCCCTGCACCTTGGTTTGGCTCCTGCTGGCCCCCAGCACCCCCTGCTTGTCTTATTGCTGCCTTCCCAGCTTCCCCCCATCCCCAGCCAGCTTCTCGTGGGGAGGGCCGAGGGCAGCCTTTCCCCTCCCTGTCAGCTGTTTAATTTATCCCGCTGATTGATGAACTGAAACGAGCGACTTCAAACAACCCACTTCAATGAGGTGCAGGTACAAAGTCAAGGCGATTAATCCCGAGTGAGTGTGCCGAAGTCTTGGAGCCTGAACTGCTGCCGTGTCCCTGCTATCTGGTATAATTGCATCCCAGGACAGGTTGCTTGCTGACTTGAATAGCACATAACCTTATTGTGCATGTGCTTTTACATTTCCCAGAGACCTCAGCAGCCTTTGAAAAGGTTCGAATGAATAGGTAGACGAAGCACCGCAGCCAATTAAGCATTATATGGGGCTCTTTGTTTTGTTTCATTTTTTGATTTTTGTTTGTTTAGTGAAATGTCAGGCCAATTAAAGCCAGATCAGTGCAGGCTTGTGCTTCAGGCCAGGCCACTGCGGACGGAGTTAAGTGGGAGTTAAGCAGAGCCCAAGCCACAGGATGGGAAGTGCAGCCCCATCCCTCGCTGACCGAGGCAATAAATCAGAGCAGCAGGAGCAGCCCCACTGATGCCAGGAGGAGTTAGCTGCTGCTTTGTCAGGTGGTGGCAAACCTGCGTGCAAATGGAATTTCGGTGGTGCTGTTCCCAGCTGGGGCACCGCAGGGAGCACAGTGCCCAGGGCGTGTGCTGGCCCTGGGACCTCACTGCCACATCGCTCTGCTCAGCCCTGAGCACAGCACCTGTCTGAACACAGCAGCATCCCGCTGCTGTGCAGGGCTGGGGGCGTTCATCCGTGCTTTCCAAAGCAACTTGTTAGCATCAGGTCCAGCGCGCTGCAGAGCGAGAGGTGTGGGCTGCTGGAGGCTGCGAGCGTGCGCCCGGGGGCTGGCACAGGTGCAGGTGAGGAGCTCGGAAGTGCGTGCTAAATGGCATTTAGCACCTGCCTGCACGCTGCCCTGTGCTCCAGAGCAGAGCATGAAGGCTGTCCAAGTCCCCCCAGGGCAGTGCTGGTGGTTGGGGCTCATTGGGCACCGGGCAGGACCAAAGGTGCTGGGAGGTTTGGTGTCCTCCTGCAGGAGCATCACTGATTGCTTCCATGCAATTTGAATTAATCTCATGCTTCAGGTGGAACTCAGCTAATCAGTGTAGAAAGGAAGCTGAAACGGGTGCAATCAAATTAACATCACAGAGCTGGCTCTAAACAAGAGAGAGGGGGGAGAGGGAGGCGGGCGCAGCCCTTGTCACCGCTGTCACCGTTCTCATTCAGTTGTCACTGCCGGGCTGTGCAGCTGCTCCTGCCCCAGTGTGGCTGGGGATGGCACGTGGGGCACTGACAGCTCCCTTTGTGGACAGCCTTATCTCTGCCCAGCAAACGGGACGTGACTCTTGTCGGAGCCATGTTAACAGGAGCTCTGGCGTGCAGGAGCCTGCCCTGTGCAGAAAGCTGCTGATGGCTGCAGGAGTTCTGGCCACGTGCATCCTCCTTCCCTTGGTCACCGTGGGCATCACCGGGCTGGTGTGCAGTGGTAGCACAGTGTGCCTCCCAGCCCTGCCCATACTGCCTGCATAGCTGGTCGGGGTTTTCTTTTGGTTTGTTTTGCTGCTTTCCTCCGCTCTGGGCTATGTGCCACTCTCCTGGGACCCCAGCAATTGAGAGAAGTTGATATGTTTACATCCAAGGAGCTGCTTTTAATCAAACATCAATAAGTGCATTTCAGCAAAGCAGAGCCTGAAACAGAGCTCCTCTCCCGGGGCCACTGTGTGCAGGGAAGGGGCTGGCTTCTCTGCAGCCCTCTGAGCCTCAGGGCCATGCTCTGGCTGAAGACTCCCTGCCCTTATGCACCCCATGCACCCCAATGGGTCGGGTTCTTCCCTGCCCTGCATCAGCTTGCAGTGCTGTACCATCCTGGAGCTGCTGCAGGCAGAGTTCCCATGGGCTCCCAAGGAATCGTCATGCAGAGGAGGTGACCCCAACCCAGGCCATGCCTCATCCCAGCCACGTGGGCACAGGCTGCACCCCGCAAACGGCAGCTCTGGAGGAGAGGTTTCCTTAGCTGCTAATTGAATTACATTGCCACAGAAAGCCGAGAAGTCGTAGCTCATTAGAGCCTCTTGTGTCCCATTATAACAGTGTGTGTTGCCTTTGCGGATTGTCATTATCATATATTACTGCGGGACTCAGCAGCGCTGTTTGTTTATGCATTACATTTTTTTCGGCTTACCCAGGCCGCCCCCGCCCCCAGCCTTGGTGCTCCAGGGGACACGAGGTGCCCTTTGTGCTGCCAGCATCCATCCCAGCTCTGCCACCCAACACCAAGTGCTCCCAACAGCAGGCAGTGCTGGACAATGCCACCTGCAGTGCCACCCTGCAGTGCCACCCCTCAGTGCCACACTGCAGTGCCACCCTGCAGTGTCACACAGTGATGCTACCAGCAGTGCCACCCCACAGTGCCACCCTGCAGTGTCACCTCCCAGTGCCAACTGCGGTGCCACACAGTAATGACACCCTGCAGTGCCATCCCCCAGTGCAACCTGCAGTGCCACTCTGCAATGCAACCCTGCAATAACACTCTGCACGCTGCAATGCCATACTGCAATGCCACACCACAATTCCACCCCACAGTGCCACCTGCAATGCCAACTGCAATGCCACCCCACAATGCCACCCCACAATGCCATTCTACAATGCCACCCACCATTCTACAGTACCACCCTAGAGTGCCATTTGCAGTGACGCTCCACAGTGCCACCACACCGAGTGCTGCACCAGGGCAGTAGGTGTCCCCTCCCCTCCTTTGCATGTTTGGATGAATATGAGAAAAAAAGAAAAAAAAAAAAAATATCTCTCCAGCATCTGCAATGCAAAGGCTGCTGCCTTGCTGCTGTGGAATCACGCTCTATATTCTGCCCAGGTTTATACGAGTGAATTATGCAAATCTGTGATGGAAAACATTCTTCCTCTCATCCTCGGGAGTGTAAAACCTTAGTCAATAATTCATACTCGCACGTCTCCGACTGGAGGCTTTCTCTTCATTATAGCGTGCGCTTGGTTATTTGTCTTTCACGTTTTATTGTCTACCCCGGTGTAATGCTATGCATTATAAAATTTATCTGCTTCATTATTTTATGATCCTGAGCCGTATAATGCAGCGAAACGCTTCCGCTCGGGGCTGCACGTCCTCTCGGTGGGCTCTGCACCCAGCACCGCCCCACTGGCTCCAGGGGGTGCCCGGCGGGTGGCTGAGCTGTGCTCCCTCCCGCAGTCCCCGCCATGATCACCTCGCACCCCAACACCACCATCGCCATCAAGGGGCAGAGCAAGGAGCTGAACTGCACGGCGCGGGGCGAGCGGCCCATCATCATCCGCTGGGAGAAGGGTGACACCGTCATCGACCCCGACCGCAACATGCGCTACGCCATCGCCACCAAGGACAACGGCGACGAGGTCATCTCCACCCTCAAGGTGAGGGCAGGGTCCTGGATGTCCCTGGGTCCGAGGATGCCTGGGCATCCTCCGCCAGCATGGGCCATTTTGTGCTGCTGCAGTGAATGCGCAACTGCTGCATTCAGCACCTTTGAAAGAGCTGCAAAACGACCACTGTCTGCTTGCTGTGGTGGCCCCAAAAGGGGAACGCAGTGAGTTGGGTTGTCCTTGCAGCAAATTTTGCTTTGCTGTGCAATGGGCCCTTGTTCAAAAGCTGTGTTGCGGCACCAGGGATGCCTCAAAACCTGAAATCTCCATGCACATCTGAGCAAGCAGTCATAGAATCATGGAATGGTTGGGTTGAAGGGGACCTCAAGGATCATCCAGTTCCAACCCACCAGATCAGGCAGTAGATGGGGGTGGGGCCTGGGGGCAGGCTGTGTTTGCAGGCTTGGTTCTTGGGGTGCCTAAATCTGAAGGGGCTGCTTTTCTGTCCCCAAAATACCCACAGCTGAAACCGGCTGACCGTGGGGACTCGGTCTTCTTCTCCTGCCATGCCATCAATTCGTACGGCGAGGACAGGGGCCTGATCCAGCTCACCGTGCAAGGTATTGAGCTCACAGCACCATGACCTTGGGCATGGAAGAAAGCAGAGCCTCACCTCAAGGTCCCACTGCTCCACCTGTCACCCCACGCTCCTAACCACCCCCATCCCCCCAGAGCCACCTGACCCCCCAGAACTGGAGATCCGCGAGGTGAAAGCCCGCAGCATGAACCTGCGCTGGACGCAGCGCTTTGATGGGAACAGCATCATCACCGGCTTCGACATCGAGTACAAGAACAAGTCTGGTAGGAGCTGATTGCCCCCCTGTGTCCCCCAGACCTCCACAGCCCGTACTGTGGGCTTGGCTGTGCTGTGGGGCAGGTGGGGAGCTGGCCCTGCTGCCTCCGTGCAGGGAATATTCTGCATCCCGGCTGCTTTGATGAAGAAAGGAGAGAGCAGCATTAATGAAATATGTTAATTTATGTTCGGTGGGAGCATTTGAAAGGGAATATTTAAAGAGGCAATATTTGTAGAAAGCCGAGCCGAGAGCAGCACAACAGCGAGGCGGGGGGACACAGAGCTTTGGGGACCGCACGCTGGCACGGGGTGTGGGTGCTGACTGCCCTTTGCCTCTTCTTCCAGATTCCTGGGACTTCAAGCAGTCAACACGAAACATCTCCCCGACCATCAACCAGGCGAACATCGTGGACCTGCACCCTGCTTCTGTGTACAGCATCCGCATGTACTCCTTCAACAAGATTGGGCGCAGCGAGCCCAGCAAGGAGCTCACCATCAGCACGGAGGAAGCAGGTTCTGCTCTGTGCCGCAGCGGTGCATGTGAGCAAAGCCCTCTTCAGATGGGACTTTTTGTGATAATGTGTAATTCTTCCCTCCCACAGCTCCTGATGGGCCTCCGATGGATGTCACCTTGCAGCCGATGACATCGCAGAGCATCCAGGTCACCTGGAAGGTGCGTGGGGCCGGGGCAGTGGGTTCTCCATGGCCACCCCCACTGGTGGGACTCCGGGACCCACATTTCCCCTCGCAGCTCAGAGAACAGCTCCTGAGATGTCACAAAACCCAGGGGCCGGGCACGCAGCTCAGCCACATCACGTGTTAATCGCGTTTGGTAACGAGCTCATTATCTCATAGGATATCCATGGGGGGCCACGGGGAAAGCGAGGATAAACATGGGAAAACTGAGACGTCTGGTTGCCAGCTGCTCAAGCGCAGATCAATCGAGTTCAGAATCAGATTTATTTTTCAGGAGGTCGAATGAGAAAAAAAAAATTGATTATAAAATTAGGACTTCAGAATGAAGGGGAAGTCAATAAATTTACGGTTTCAGCTTCTCCCCCCATCTCCCTCCCCCCCTCCTGGAAAGCGGATTAATGAATGATAAGGTTCACTTGGAAGATAACTCCGTTTGTTCGGAGAGCGTTGCAGCGAGATGGATCGCGCTGGCTGTGTAACATAAATTCACAATCAACCCTATCGATTTCTTAATGCTTCAGAGAAACGCTGTACAGATTGATTTAAAGGCTGCGGGGCTGTCAGCTCCGTGACGCCGCTCCCCTTTGTGTCCCCATTGCTTCAGGCCCCAAAGAAGGAGCTGCAGAACGGGGTGATCCGTGGATACCAGATCGGCTACCGGGAGAACAGCCCGGGCAGCAACGGGCAGTACAGCATCGTGGAGATGAAGGCCACGGGCGACAGCGAGGTCTACACGCTGGACAACCTGAAGAAGTTCGCGCAGTATGGGGTGGTGGTCCAGGCATTCAACCGCGCGGGGACGGGGCCGTCCTCCAGCGAGATCAATGCCACCACGCTGGAGGATGGTGAGGATGGAGGGATGGTGATGCTATGGGGCGCGAGGCATCCATCCAGAGAGCCTCTACTGTTCCAGAAATGAGCAGAAAAAGTTTTGCAGTGCGTTCGCGCAGCAGTTTTTCATACTTAATTAAGGCTCTCGTTAGCCTGTCAAACCGTGATCATTTCCTGGCTACATTAGCACTCCTCCTGGGGTATTCAAGGGCCCCTGTTTTAGCAATAGTGTCTTTTCCATAATTATATTACCTTCATTTTGTTCAAACGGACTATCTGTATTAGTTTATTATACTCGGTCCCTAATTACATGGTGCTTATATTTTTACACCTAAGTAATACGAAACAATAATCATTTTCAAAGAGGGTCGTTACCGTGATGTATCATCATTTAAATGCTCATAAAAATTAGAGTTACCTCTTATGGGGCAATTGGATGTAATTACCTCGCATCCAGCCGGCTCGCCCCTTGCTGGGAAGTGCAGCATCCTGGCAGCCCTGGGGTGAGGAGGAGGAGATCATGGCACCGGGTTTGGGGAGGGGAGAGAGAAGGCGGTGGGGAGGTCCAACACAGAGCCTGTGGGGTGCATCTCTGGACAGTAGGTTGACCATCCCCATCTGTGCCCTCCCAGTGCCCAGCCAGCCCCCGGAGAATGTGCGGGCCATCTCCATCACGTCGGATGTGGCCGTCATCTCCTGGTCGGAGCCCCCACGCAGTACCCTCAACGGTGTGCTCAAGGGCTACCGGGTCATCTTCTGGTCCCTCTACATGGATGGAGGTGGGTGTTGATGCTGATGATGTGGGGCATACTTGGGGGGGCAGCACAGAGCTGATGGCTGTGTCCCTGCAGAGTGGGGTGAGATGCAGAACATCACAACCACGCGGGAGAGAGTGGAGCTGCGGGGCATGGAGAAGTTCACCAACTACAGCGTGCAGGTGCTGGCCTACACGCAGGCTGGTGACGGCGTCCGCAGCAGCGTGCTCTACATCCAGACCAAGGAGGACAGTGAGTGGCACTGCGCCAACCCCTTTGTCCCTGTGGTCCTGATGATGGGATGGCAGCTAAGGAGGTGTGGTGAGACCCAGGGTGGTGTGGTTCCGCACAGATCCTGGCACAGCTGGCGGCTCCTGTATGCTGCAAGTGGGCACACGTGTGCCTCCCTCTTCCCTGGCTGATAAATCACAGTTGCGTGTGTTAATTAGACATAAGAACATGGAGTGTCGAGTAAGAGCCATTGGCAAGGAATAATGAGGAGAGTATTGCAGCCCCTGGAGGAGGCGGGCAAGATTTCTCCATCCTTTTCTCCTTGCTGGGTTTGCAAAAAGCCTGAGCCCAAAGCACAGCACGTGTGCTGCTCCCCCTGCCCAATCCAGCCTCTGCAGCTCCTGCCCTTTGCAGCACCCCTTGTTGCAGCCACTGGGTGTGCATGCACCCCCAGCTCCACGGGCAATCGGTTTGTGGGTCGGACGCACTGCCAGGGTGCTCCCTGTAGCTGCGGAGCACTGCGGGCTGCAATCTGTCAGAGGTCCTTTGGCAGACATATGTTCTTGGGCTGATTAGGCCGATAGGCACGCAGTAATCCAGGCACGAAGCGCCAAAGGGCCATCGAGCAGCGGGGCTGGGTGCACGTATGGGGGCAGCTGCAGCGTGCGGGGAACCCCCAGCGTGTGGCACGCAGGGCATTTCCCTTTCTATTTTTTTTCTTTTCCTTAAGTGCAGATATTTAAATATTTACACCCTGCCTGCCCTACTTTAATGCCATTATCTCTGTAGCAGAGCGGCTTCTGCCCAGTGCAGCCCTGGGAAGTGGCAGCTGCTCAGCACACAGCTGGGCAGGGCAGGGCTAAGCCAGCGGGCAGTGAGTGGATTAAGGCGATGGCCACTCAATGCCAAACACCATTTCTAAACCAGTGCTGCAATTAACTCTCCTGCCTCCATGTGGGCAGGAGTCTGGGCTAGCATGGAAGTGGCCACAACCGTGCGCCATGGATTGGTACAAGGGGCCTCCATGTTCCTCCCATGTTGTCAGTGCCATCACACACTTGCTCCTTCAGTTCCAGGTCCCCCAGCTGGCATCAAGGCTGTGCCATCCTCTGCCAGCAGTGTGGTGGTGTCCTGGCTGCCCCCAGCAAAGCCCAACGGCATCATCCGCAAGTACACCATCTTCTGCTCCAGCCCTGGCTCAGGGCAGCCGGTAAGGGCACAGTGATGGGGACAAGCTGGGGGTGGGAGCTGGGGAGCTATGGAGCTTTTGGATGGAGGCAGAAATAGAGTTACGGGGAACCTGCCCCATATGCTGCCAAGAGGATGATGCAGGTGGTGCCATGCATCCAGCCTGTGGCAGTGCAGGGGTGCCCAGGGCATCCTGGAGTGATCCATGAGTCACCTGCTGTCTCACTCCAGTGTTCTCCCATCTCAACGCTCACTCCAGAATGGGAAACGTGCAAACAGCCAACCAAAAATAAAACGTAAATTCAACCTGGACCCATCCCTCCTTGGTGAGAGAGAGGTTGATGGGAGGTCTGCAGACTGGTGCTTATCAAAAGCTCCTTCTCAAACTCATTTCACTATCTGAGCCTCTGGTTTCCAGGGCAACATAATCTTTTCATCAAAGCAACTGGTAAAACCGCTGGGATCCGATATTGTTTTCCTGGCATCTTGTCAAAACTGTCATTTGGTTAAAAAAAATTATGTATACCATGCAATATTCATATAGGTGTCTGCTTGTGGGGTGTGTTCACATCTGCGGGCCCCACCAGGGTGCATGTTTGGAGACGATGAATGTGCAGATGCCCACGCGCAGCCCTGTGTGCACACTGAAGTAACACGTCCATCCCTCGTGATGGCATCTCCATGGTCTCATCTCATGCCACGGTTGAGGCAGTGGGGAAGCACTTGAGGATGGCTCTCCCCAGATGTGGCCTTGATGGACGGCACGCAGGCAGAGAGGTTGTGTGCCTGCACTGTGGAGCTGGCAGCCAGAGCGCACCAAAGGGACCCCATGGGGCTGGAACATCTGTGGGCTGTGCTGGAGACCCTGCAGGACTTTGGGGACCCCATCTCTGCCACCACCATGCTGAAGGGTTTGGCTGCCCAGCTAGGGCTTGCCCTGTGCCCCACTGCAGCCCAGGGCGGCCAGGAAGCGTCATTTCTCCGGAACAAATCATGCCGTCGCTGCCATCTGTTCCTCGCGCACTGGCCTGGGCTCCCTGGAGAAATTACGACACCAGCCGGCTTACACTGGCATTAAGAAACACCAAGCAGAGCCGAGCTGCTGCTGGGGAGTGAACCCACAGCACCTCGAGGAGGTGTGCTGCTGGAGAGCTGGGTGGAGCTAAGGGGCAGTGGGGCAATGGGGCAGTGCAGCTCTCTGCCCAGTGATGGGTGCAGGGCTTAATCCTGCTGGCCTTGGGGATACCTTGGGTATGGTAGTGATGGTGGTGCTCTGAGTACCAGGGCAGTGGAGATGCTGGGTGGTAGTGATGCCCTGAGTATCATGCTGGTGGGGATGCCTGGATGCAGGCAGATGGCCCAAGGATGAATTTTCCCAGCTGACAGCTCAGTTGTTTCACGTGTGCTAATGCTGTTCTCCAAGTGTCTGTGTGCCCAGGATGAGGGGGCTGTGTTGGTGAGGCTCTAACAGAGCCATGCCTTCTCCTGCCTCCCCCCCTGCAGGCCCCCAGTGAGTATGAGACCAGCCCAGACCAGCTCTTCTACCGCATCGCACACCTGAACCGTGGGCAGCAGTACATGCTGTGGGTGGCTGCCGTCACCTCTGCGGGCCGTGGCAACATCAGTGAGAAAGTCACCATCGAGCCTGCTGGGAAAGGTATGGGGGGTGTGGAGGGGCCTCTGTGGGACAAACATGCTGGTCCCATGCAGAGGGTTGGCCACATGCAAAGCCAGAGCCATTGTGCTCAGTGCATCTCAGTGTGGCCACTCTAACAGTGCTCTGGGCTCAGCAATGGGTACCAGCAGTGAGGCTCACCTCCTCCTTGCTCCCCAGCTCCAGCCAAGATCATCTCCTTTGGAGGCACTGTCACCACCCCTTGGATGAAGGACGTGAGGCTGCCCTGCAACTCGGTTGGGGAGCCGGTCCCTGCCATCAAATGGACCAAGGACAGGTACTGTGTACTCTAACATGGGACAGGAACTGCTGCTGGCTGCAATCCTATGGGGCTGACACATTCTGTTCCCTCCTGGCAGTGAGGACTCTGCCATCCCAGTGACAGTGGATGGGCACCGCCTGATCCAGGCCAATGGCACGCTGGTGCTGCGCTCGGTGAAGGCAGAGGACTCTGGCTACTACACCTGCACTGCCACTAACACCTGGGGCTTCGACACCATCATCATCAACCTGCTGGTGCAAGGTGACGACGTGCTGCTGGAACACGGTGTGTGCTGTGGGGTCGGGGTGTGCATGGTGCTCACAAACATTTGTGCTCCTCCACAGTACCCCCAGACCAGCCTCGCCTGACTGTGTCCAAGACCTCGGCATCCTCCATCACGCTGGCATGGATTCCTGGGGACAACGGGGGCAGCTCCATCCGAGGTACGTCCCCAGAGCCACCCCACGTGCTCCAAAATAAGGTTAACGCTTGCAGGAGGGATGATGCTCTTCGTGAGTGCCTTTTTCAGCAGGATGCAGGGAGTGAGGCAGCTAACAAAGGGCACGCCGTTAATTACGCAGGTGCTGGTGGCTCCAGTTCTGGAGCTCTGCTGGTTCATCCCCGGTGTCTGCGGGCTGCAGGAGGGCTGCGGGACCACCCCTGCCTCCCAGAGCCTCATTTCTGCTCTGATTCATCTGATGAATTATACGTGGAAACAGCTGCGCACGGAAGGGGGAGCGGGGAGAGGGGAAGGAGACCTCGCTTACAATTAATTAAAAGCATGAAAGTAATTACAAGCAAATCTCCCCAGCCAGCAGCCTTTCACTCCAGTGGACTCTGTTGATAAATTTGGTTATAATTGGATTAGAAATATTAAAAACATGCTGCATGTACTAAATAAATGAATGCTGGGTGGCAGGCAGCGGGGTGCTGGGTGGGCACAGAGATGGGGATGGGGCAGCTCAGGTGCCCCGTGCTCCCATCATGGGGTGATGGAGGCAGTGGTGCAGGGAGCAGAGCTCTGTTTGGCTCCTGATGCATACGCAGCAGCAGAACAGCCACTATCTTTGCTTGAGAATTGGCAAAGGGAAATATGAAAATAGCCAAATTTGGCGATGTGATGGGGAAGTAAGTGAGGATTTTGCATCACCAAAAAGGTCAAAACAGTCAAAGTGGTGGTTCCCACAGCAACGGGGCCGTTGTGCACACACTGCAGGGCAGCCGCGCTCCGTCCCTATGGCCAGGAGGTGCCAGGCATGGGCAGAGCAGCAGTGGGTGCGGGCAGCCCCATGGTGATGGGCTCCATGGACAGCCCCATGCCGGTTTGGGGCACACGCTCAGCATTGGGTGAGCAGCTCTGTGCTGTGCCGGGCATCGCAGCACCGTGTTCCGACTGCTGTGCCCCTCCATGGGGAAACCCAGAGTGCCCTTCTCTGACATCTGGCTGCTGGCAGCGTAACAGGTTTGCTCATCCAGGACACAGTGCACTTCCTAATACTCTTAATCATGGGAAAGGAGGCGGCGTTCAATGACAGAAGCAACTTCCGAGCGGCTTCCCAAGGGAGCTAGTTAATTCTGGCTTTCCCTTTATAGCCTCACACCAATCAATCACGTTCCGCGCTCCCCGTGCTCCTGTGCACAACCACAGTAATTGGTAGTGGAGGCGGGCGCAGAGCACGGAGCTGCTCAGCACGGGCTGAGGGCTGCCTGCAGCCGGGCCGTGCTGCAATGGGGATGGCACTCCCGGGGGGCTCTGTGCTGGCCGTGCCCGCAGACCCCCTCCTCCTTCAACCCTCAGGCTTCGTGCTGCAGTATTCGGTGGACAACAGCGAGGAGTGGAAGGATGTCTTCATCAGCTCTTCCGAGCGCTCCTTCAAGCTGGAGAGCCTCAAGTGCGGCACCTGGTACAAGGTGAAGCTGGCGGCCAAGAACAGCGTGGGGGCCGGGCGCATCAGTGAGATCATCGAGGCCAAGACCCACGGCAGAGGTGAGCAGGGCAGGAGGGCTGGATTGACTGCTGCTGGGCTGGTGACAAACAAACGCGGCACTGCTGCAGTCAGCGCCACTGCAGCTGATTTATTTCTGTTCCGGAACCTCTGCCATCGTATGCCATTGTGCACAGCTCAAGGAGATGCAGGTGTTTTGGCTCGGGGGCTCCCTGTGTGCATGCATCTCTGGGTTCGCCTGCTGCACCCTTACTTCTCACAAAGCTCCTTGGTTTAAAAACTCAGGGATGGGGCACACTGGAATGGGGACACCCCGTCCTCAGCTCCGTGCTGTGACGCTGATGGCTCCCATCCCACAGAGCCCTCCTTCAGCAAGGACCAGCACCTCTTCACCCACATCAACTCCACGCATGCCAGGCTCAACCTGCAGGGCTGGAGCAGTGGGGGCTGCCCCATCACCGCCATTGTCCTGGAGTACCGCCCCAAGGGCAACTGGGGCTGGCAGAGCCTGCGCACCAACAGCTCCGGAGAGGTCTTCCTGACCGAGCTGCGTGAGGCCACCTGGTATGAGCTGCGCATGAAGGCCTGCAACAGCGCGGGCTGCGGCAATGAGAGCACACAGTTTGCCACGTTGGACTACGATGGCAGTGAGTGATGGCAGGGGAGTGGGGGGCTGTGCTGTCCCACGGAGGGCTGAAGTGCTGAGCACACGCCTTGTCTGCAGGCACCATCCCACCCATCAAGTCTGCGCAAGGGGAAGGGGACGATGTAAAGAAGCTGTTCACCATCGCCTGCCCCATCATCCTGGCCACGCTGGGAGTGGCCCTACTCTTCATCATCCGCAAGAAGAGGAAGGAGAAGCGGCTGAAGCGGCTGCGAGGTGAGAGGGGCTGGGTACCGTGTGTGGGGTGGAGTCCCTTACCTCTGCATGATGTACCACGGTGATGCCTGAAGGCTCAAAAAGCTCTCATCCTCTTTTCCCCTCTTTTAACATACAGATGCCAAGAGCTTGGCAGAGATGCTGATAAGGTGGGTCCCGGGGTGAGCTCCTGGCACAGGGACTGGGGGGCCGGGGGGTGCTGAGCCCATGGCTGGTGCATGGGGAGTCCCAACCTGTGCCAGGCTCGAGCCGCGGGGGCTCTCCCCAGTAATGGCCGGGTGTGCGTCCCCTCTTACCTCACAGCAAGAATAACCGCAGCTTTGACACGCCGGTGAAGGGGCCCCCGCAGGGCCCCCGCCTGCACATCGACATCCCCCGCGTGCAGCTCCTCATCGAGGACAAGGAGGGCATCAAGCAGCTGGGTAAGCACAGTGTGGGCACCACAGGGGTGGGCACAGTGTCCCTGGGTAGACCCCTTCCTCCTGGGGCATAGGGGTGCTCTGGTTGAGGGGGTTTCCTATCCCACCCCATCCCCACCCCAGGGATGCTCTGGTGCACAGAGGGGCAGGAGATGCCAGGGGATGTGGTGAGTGAGCTGGGCACAGACTAGCAGGCCTTGCTATGGAAAGAGCTCTGAGCTGCAGCTGCTCCCCACAGGAGACGACAAAGCCACGATCCCGGTGACAGACACTGAGTTCAGCCAAGCCGTGAATCCCCAGAGCTTCTGCACAGGCGTCTCATTGCATCACCCTGCTCTGATCCAGAACACAGGGCCGCTCATCGATATGTCGGACATTCGCCCCGGCACCAGTGAGTGCTGGACTGGGTGTGCTGTGGGCAAGCGGGCCATGGGGCATCTCCTCTAGTGGGTAAAGAGGTGGTTGGCTCTGGGGCTGAGCCCACATGATGTTGTCATCACTGTGCCATAGACCCTGTGTCAAGGAAGAGTGTGAAGTCTGCTCACAGCACCCGCAACCGCTACTCAAGCCAATGGACCCTCACCAAGTGCCAGGCGTCCACCCCGGCGCGCACCCTGACCTCGGACTGGCGGACGGTGGGCTCCCAGCATGGCATCACCGTCACTGAGAGCGACAGCTACAGCGCCAGCCTCTCGCAGGACACCGGTATGTGATGGGGACAGTGCTCATGGGCTCAACCCAAGAGGATGAGTATTGGGTGGCGGAAGGATTGGGGGACAGCCTGGCTGCTTGGGGTCCTTGGTGGCTCCTGAGCCCCACTGATGGGGACACACAGGCAGTCCCGCAAGGGGAAGGTGGGGATGGCATGCCCAGTTGTGGGATAGGGATGGGTGAGGACCTGATGCCCTCTCCCTCTACAGACAAGGGCCGGAACAGCATGGTGTCAACCGAGAGCGCCTCGTCCACCTACGAGGAGCTGGCGCGCGCCTACGAGCACGCCAAGCTGGAGGAGCAGCTGCAGCACGCCAAGTTCGAGATCACCGAGTGCTTCATCTCCGACAGCTCCTCGGATCAGATGACCACGGGCACCACAGACAATGCCGACAGCATGACCTCCATGAGCACCCCCTCAGAGCCCGGCATCTGCCGCTTCACCGCATCCCCACCCAAGCCCCAAGACAGCGAGCGCGGCAAGAGCGTGGCCGTGCCCATCCCACACCGTGCCAGCAAGAGTAAGTTGAGTCAAATAAGGTGTAGAGGCAGGGCAAGGTGCTTCCTGCAAAGCGATGGCAGAGGAGAAGCCTTTTCATGCTCCCTTTGCCCCTCTGCCCATTTTCGGTATCGTGCTTTTTGCATGCTTGTTTGCATTAAAACACAAATGGTACACATATCATAATACACACGTGTCAGAAGCTGTTGGGCTGTGTCAGAACCTAATAGATGTTGATATGATCTGTCAGAGGCTGATGCATGCCAGGAGGTTGTAAGAGATTCTGACACAATGTTTAGAGATTGAGACAGAATCTAACGTGATGTCAGGATTTCCCAGAACCTGCAGTATTTTAATCAATCCTGGAAAACTATTAAAAACTATTCCAATAGATTCAAGAGCCTGACAATAAAATAGATGCTGACCGATTCTATTAGATTTCAAGAGATTCTGACAGATTGTAGTAGGCTTTAAGCGACTTGTCAGGTTGTGAAAAAATGCATTAGAGTCTGACAGAATCTGAAAGAACCTCATGAAATCTAATAGCCCAACAGAGTGCATTGCTGTTCCAGAGTCTTCCAAATATCAGTACGTTTTAAAAGGAATTTTTCATATCCTATCATGGATTATCAGAATCTGGCAGAACCTATGAGATTGGGTCAGGTTCTAATAGATCCAATGAACAGAGGCCAGCTGTTCCAGCTGTTGCCAGATGTTTCCAGTTGTTGCACACCTGTTCCAGATGTTGCCAGCTGCGTTACACCACTCTTGCACATCTCTTTCCAGATGTGCACGAGGAACAGCTGGCCACATCTGTTCTAGATGTGCTCTTGCCCCATTCCAGATGTGGCCAGATGTTTCACCCTGCTCCTAACTGAGCGCCTTTGCAGATGCTTCCAGATGTTGCCACATGTTTTGCACCTGTTCCCCATGGCGCAGCTCTTGCAGATGTGCATCTGTTCCCATGGGGGAGTCTGCTGCTACAGATGTGGCCAGCTTTTTCCAGCTGTTGTACACCTGATCTCAATGGGGCCCTCTCTTGCAGATGTTGCACATCTGTAGACAGATGTTCCAATAATCACAGATGTAGGAAAAGAGGGAGCCATGGTGCTTGGAAATCACAGACACTCAGACCATGAGGGATGCTGGTATCCTGCTCCTTCTCCATTGCTTTGCATGATGCCAAAAATGAAGGAGAAGGGAAAATGGTTTCAGATGAAAAGGGGAGATTGAGGCTGGAGATGAGGAAGAAGGTTTGGCATTGAGGGCGGTGAGGCACTGGCACAGGTTGCCCAGAGAGGCGGTGGTGCCCCGTCCCTGCAGACAGCCAAGGTCAGGCTGGAGGGGCTGTGAGCACTGCTGGAGCTGTGGGTGTCCCTGTGCACTGCAGGGAGGCACCAGGCGGCCTCTGAGGTCCCTTCCCTCTCAAACCATTCTCTGAAATGCAACAGGCACAGCACACAACACGTACCGTAGATATAAAGCAGAAATCCATCACAGCAGTGTGGTAGCACAGTGCAATCCAGGCAGTGGCACTCAGCTCCATCACCGGGGCGCGATGCTCCCCATCCTCACACCCCCCCTTTCCCCTCTCTCAGGCGATTACTGCAACCTCCCGCTCTACGTCAAGTCAGACGCCTTCTTCCGCAAGCCAGACTCCCACGAGCCGTGCCCTGTGGTGCCTCCCCGTGAAGCCTCCATCCGCAGCCTGGCCCGTGGTTACCATCCCCCTGCCCGGCACCTGACGCTGGACCCCGCCGCCAAACCCCCAGGCCTTCCTCCTCCCTCCTCCTCCTCCTCCTCCTCCACCACCTTACCTCAAAGGACTCTACCCATGCCCACCGCGGCCAGCACCGCGCCAGCGCCCGCCCCAGCGCCCGCCGCCCCTGCCGAGCCCCCCGCCAACACCACCACCGCCACCACCACGCACTCCAAGGTGGGGGGCTCGCGGGACTCGCTGCTGGAGATGAGCACATCGGGTGCAGGCAGGGCGCAGAAGCAGGGGGCCGGAGCCTACTCCAAGTCCTACACGCTGGTGTAGGCACCGTGAACTCAGCCCCCGCCCGCCCCTATTTCTATTTAAGTCACGGACCTGTACATAAGGAACTCTTTTGTATAAATGAAACTATTTTCTTCTTCTCCAGATGGAAAACAAACAAACGAACAAAAAACAGGGCACAAAGAATTTGATGTTACAGATTAAAAGAAAAAAGAAAATATAATATATATGTAAACATATATATATTTCACATCATTTTGAGAGGGGCACAAGGAAAGACTCGGCGACTTCTTTTCTTTTGTTTTGTTTTCCCCCCCTGATCTCGTCGGTGGTTTTGACAAAGGAACGTCTCCAAGACATTGCATGCTATTTTACTGTTCTGAAAACAACAGGAGTTGCTTCAATTTGCAAATGCTTATGTGTTAATACCTTTTTCTATGAAAAAAAAACCAGCGCTGTGTGCAATAAAGGTTATGTTTATAGCTGGGTGTTCTGCGGTGGCTGAGCGTGGGCCAGGATGGGGAGGGCAGCAGCGGGCACAGTTGATGCCAATGCTGTTGGCATTGGGCTCTCATTCACCCCTTATTACCTCTGCTTGCTGCTGCTGCTCAGCACATCCCCCTTTGCCATCTGCTTGTTGGAGTCCTACAACGCTTTAAACCCAGTGAAGCTGGAAGCTGCCTTGGCAGCAGCGGGTTTTATGGAGGGGAGACCCAGAAAATGAGCTGCAATGACAATTTCTTCTATTTTCATCAGCTTTGGTGACTGTCAGAGCCGCCCTGTGCCAAGGAGCACTGGGGGCGGACAGGAATGCCCCTCCTTAAAGCACAAATCCCAAGAGCTGTTGTGAATGGCATTTACTTCTACACCGCTTTTCTCCTTCAGTTTTAACAGGTGGCTGGAGACAATATGCCAAGTTTTCCAACTTGCATGCAAGGAAGACATGGATTTCATGGCAACTTAATGCTGAAGGTCACGTTATGCAGCTCCTGAAATAGTGTATGTGGCTTGCTATAAGGTAAGGAGACAAGAAGGGACAATGTGACAGAGCCAGTGAGGCTGGTAGACACGCAGTGACTAGGGACAGCTGCTCCCATGGATGCACAACACAGAGGCTGCAGCTCTGCCCTCATCAGCCCACCCCCACATCAGGTCTGCCTTGCAGCTTTCGTAAAATCAAACCATTCCTGTCCCCTCTGACTCTCCCCAAAGTCAGTGGAAAGCAAGGAAAAGCAAATCAGCCTTTTTCTATATGTTTCTAAGAGTGCAAAAACTGTTCAAGTGTATTTTAGACATCAAACCCTGTGCAGAGTTTGCATGGAGCCAAGAGCCCATCCCAGAGCTGTGTCACAGCAAGGCAACCATGCAGCAGCTCTGAGACGTCAATCCCAGACTTGAAATAGAAGAGGCAAGAAAAGGCAAGTGTGTTCTCAGCTGTGAGAGTAAGTGGATTAGCAAGATAAAAAGAACAACAGATTACAAAGTCTTTATTATAATCGGCTAGCACAGATTTCCTTCTACATCTTAGCAAGAATTCTCCACCTCACCTTCCCCAGCAGTTTCAGACTGTAGCTTTGCATTCATTAACAGAGGCCAAATTCCTGGTGCTTGGCAAGCATGCCACTCCAGCACTCCCTCCACTCCCTGTGACCCCTCTCCACTTTGCCACAGCTGCAGACCCTCCCCAGGATGCCCCAGAGCTCACTGCCTTGCACAGCAACGAGGCAGGGGGTGAAGGACACAACATCAGCAGCTCTGTACAGAAATTCTGGCATCAGACCCAGCAAAAAGGCGGCTGAGAACACGTTCCAGTGGTCAGAGCATCACTGCTCACAGTCAGCATCTCCTCTACCTCCTGGCCCTTCCATTTGTGCTATAGCTCCTGGATCTCTTCACCTGCTTCTCAAACACTTCCTGGTTTCCCAGTCCGGCACCTCCTACCTCTGCTTTCATTTTCTCCTCTTTCTCAACAACTCTGCAACATCCTAAAGCCAGCACTCAAAAATGGATGCTGTAAATCAGGAGTACCTCAGGTCCTGTCCCTGCCAGATGTGGAACAGGTGTTGTGGTCTGCAAAACTCTGGAACAAAAGAGAGGGCAAGACAACAGGCTGACAACTAAGCCAAAGCCTGAGGTGGTAGGGGGCTGCCTGGGAAAGGAGCAGCCCCAACACAATCTCATCCCCAGCCCCACTCTGAAGCCAGGACCCCCAATACTCCCCAAGAAAAGAAGAAACCAGGTCACAGCACGCAGCACACCTCCTGCTCCCTCAGTGCCTGAAGCACACAGCCTGGGGGACATCCCTGTTCAGGTCCAAGAGGAAGGGAAGGAGAGGTGACTGCCCTGCCTCAGCTCCAGCCCAAAACAGAGGCACGGAGGAGGGCTGAAGCTGATGAGAAAGAGCCCCATCTGGATGCTTAACTGCTGCAAATTGCTCTTAGCTGTTTGTGCCCTGTTCCCCCCATCCCAGTCTTGCAGCTCCCAGCACTGTGCTTCCACCAAGGCTGGCAAATGCCAGCTCTGCCACATGGATGTCAGGCTCCCACCAGGAGCCCTGTGGTCGCACCTCGGTCTTCAAGGCAACGCTGTCCGGGGAAGGAGCCACCAAGAAAAAGATCTCAGCGACCAGCAGACAATCTACACACACCAAGAGCTAGGTAACAGGGTCACCACGGCCACAAATCTCGCTGGGGAACATAACACACAAAAGGAGGGACGGTGCAGGGCACGACGGCCAAGGCAGCTACTTCTTCCCCTGCTTCTGCTGCTGGTATCTCCTGAAGTGGGTCTGGATGGTGAGAGCTGCCTTCTCAGAGGGATCACTGAAGAATTTGCCCTCACTGCTGGCATCGGGGGTCACGTTGCCTATGGTGAGAACCAAAGAGCTCCGTGAGCACAGGGACATCAGGAAGCTGTGAGCCCACCAGCACACACAGGGACAGAAGAGCAGAGAAGCAGGAGGCAGAGAAAAGCCCAGCCTTCCCGGCAGCTCTAAGCCCTCTATTTACACAGCTTTACTCCCCAAAGACCTCAGCTTCCCCACGTTTAATCACCACGTATGATACTCACTTACTTTCACACACACAAATAAGATTAGAAAAAAAAGCCCGGCGCTGTACAGCAATAAAGCTCTCATGCTGATAAATGGGAGCCCTCCCCACTCCACGCTTAATGTGGCATTAGGGAAGTATTGTGAAATTCAACAGGAACTGAATCAAAGCCACTCAGCAGTGCTCTTTTAACCGACTGTGTCACTGCTAAGCACCCCCCGAGCAGCGATCAGGAATCCTGATGCCAGATGCTGCTGTATAAACTCACCAATGTCACCTGAACCCATTTTTATTCACATCCTAAAAGAAATTGCGAAGTAAAAAGATACATAAAAAAGTCCACGTTGGGAATCGGCTCCCTCCTGCCCTGCTTAACAAGATACATCGTCAGCTGTAAATCCTGCCCGCTGCAAAAATCAAATGCCAGAGGCTGGGGAGCCGCTGGGGGCACTTAGAGCTGTGAGTTTCCAGAACCCAACCCCCAGCTGTGTGGGCTGCTGACAGCTCTGTGAGAAATACACCGGGTGGAGGAGCTCGGCGAGGCTCAGCAGTGACAGAGCCCATCAATAACAGCCCACTGCTGAACCAACACGAGTGCCACCGCCAGCCCAGGGAGCCTTAGGGACCCTTCATCTGATCACAGCAATGAAAACCCCAACGCAGCGGCCAGGTGAGACAGAGCTGTTTAACTGAGGGGTGTGCAGGGTGAGCTGCAGCACCCACCCCAGCATCGCTGTACCTGCCTTCATCCGATTATTGGACGGGGTTGCACTGAGAATAGAAGCAGACAAATCCTATTTGCTGAGTGCTGGAAGTCTTAGAAGAGCAGGGAGGAGGGAAAGTGGGGGATAGCCTGAGCCACGTGTTCCAGTGGGGCAGGCTGCATGGGAAGGGGGAGGCAGGGATCAAACACACACACGTGCTGCTGTCTGCGTGGACAGCACTGCCTCCCCCCAGCTCCACACTCACCTTTATCTCCAGAAATTGAGTAGATGCTGTTGTGACGTGAGCTCCTGCCTCTCTAGAAAGGCACAGAACAGAAATGCAGTCAGTGGGAGCAGTCCTTCCCAGCCAGCGGGGATGCACTGAATGGGACAGGGCTCCACTGAGCTGTCTGCTATCCATTCCCTTTGGGAAACTTGAAAATACTTACTGTTCCCTTAAAGAACCCTACAGAGCAGTGATTAATTAATTTGCATTTGTGAGAAGTCCTCCGAGGAGAAGCAAAAAGAAGAGCTCTGTATCAAAAATCTGATCTGTGAGACTTGCTAGGAACACCTTAGGATGAACACTGGCACAGCCTAACCTCACTAGGGGTGCATTTCAAACCAGCATGGAACCAGACTGGCTGGGTTGGTTTCCTCAGCTCCAAACCCTATCACAGTGCTAGAGCCCCTGGGATGTCAGGTCTGCTAGGGAACATCTTCATCCCTGCAAGATAACAGCTTGAGTTTGGCTGAAAACACCATCCTACATTTTTCAGCATGCCCTGCCTCCCAGAATTACCCCATTCTCTGTCTTTCAAGGGAAAGAACAAATCTCTCCCCCTTGCCCAAACCTTCTGTTCCAAGCAGACTGTTTGGTTAACAGATGTTTGCTGCTCTTTATTTGAGCTCTGCACCAATCCCTGCCCTCACTGCAGCCCTGTGCATGCCAGGCACCCTACTTTCCATACATACCGATCAAGGGCCTCCCAATGCCAGCACAGACCAGTGAGGCAGCCTGGCAGCACACTCTGGGTACAACAGGTGCCCAGAGAAAGGCCTAGGGCTGCACAAGGGCCAGCAAACAAGCCCTCTCCTCCCTAGCAGTTGCCTTCTCTGACTAAATACAGCACTCACATCACTGTCCCGGCTGGTGCGGCGGCTCTGTGTCACACACTGGATCTGCCAGGGCAGGGGCTGGTACACAAGGTATGGCAGGGGCTCTTCTTGGAACAGGCTGGTCCCGATCTGGATGGAGAGAGGATTTGCAGCAGGTGAGAGAATGGGGGAGAAGTGGATGAGCAACAGGAAGAGCTGCTCCTGCATGCACATCACCACTGATCACACCCTTGCTAACAGTGGTGATGCTCAGCTTGTCATCCTGGCACCACGTTGATGGGCAGTTCTCACTGGGTGCTCTCACAGGTCCTGGTCCCACAGTGCACAGCCAGTGAGACTCACAGCCCACGAGAATGCTTGCTGCCTTTTCCTCCTCCCACTTGACATCATGCTTGCCATCAGAGATGACTACAGGGTCACAAGCAGCAGGTCAGGAAGGAAAGATACAAAGGAAGCAGATTGTGCTGCTGAGTTCTTAAATGACAAGAACTAAAGCTAAGCAAGTCGTGAAAGCAAACACAGATGTCATGGATAAAGCTGATGCCATGTGGCACTGTGTTAAGTTCAGGTGACCCTCCTGCTCAGGGGGCTTTAGGATGTGTCCCCCCAGACAAGCATGGAACCCTCATCCTCTTCCCCCAGCTCCAAGGTATTGCTGTAGGGTCAGGTGCCCCCAGCAGCAAACGGGGTGGTTTTCCTGCCTCCCCAGCCCAAAGAGCTCCAAGATTCACTCCCCATTTGCAGCACCAGTGCACCAGACTGGAAAGCCTAGGTACCCGCACTTTGCAGTTCTTTGCAAAGCAGCTGATAAATCTACTTTGCTACAGCCACAGAAATTCAAACGTGCTCAAACTAGCTTAGAGTTGACAAGATAACAACACCCACAGTTCTAGAAATAAGACAGAAAGCATTAAATCCTACCTGCTGCCAGCTCCAACTCACCTGTCCAAATGCTCTCACCACAAAAAACAGTGCTGTCATCAGGGTCCCCAGCATGGCTACAGTCTCCAAGGGTCTCCCACTGTCCTGAGGAGCCAAAGCTCTGGTAGTGATGCACTGTGGTCTCTGAGCAGCAGTGACTGAGGCGTCCCCTCCTCCAGCAGGCCGACTCCAAGCTCCTTAATGAGCTTACAGCTTGTGTTCATCCTGGCACCGTAATCATGCACTGTCCTCTTGCTCTTCTAATCGTTGAATTTCTCCAACACATGCAGTACCAGCATTCCAGGAAAAGCAAATCCTCTTCTTCCTTATATACCTATGCAGACCTATGCACACTCACACACCCCAGACCCATGGCTTTGCTTTGGACTGCTTCTCAGCAGGATGACACCACTGCCTCCCAAACACAAAAGGCATGCAGAGTTCAGACGTGAATTTGGGTTTCTCAGTGCCATCCTGTGCTCTGTGCCCAGCAGCTGCTTCAGAAGAGCTGTAAGGAACCAAGAGACTTGATTGCTTCAGTTATTACCTGGGCTCAACAGCATGCTAGGTCTGTGGCTCAGCATTGGGTTCAGCCCTTACAGTGCTCCACCAAAACAACCTTTGCATTTGCTATGGCCGAGCAGCACAACGTGTAATTCAAAGTCTGGGGGTGGTTTGTGTTTTGTTCTTAAGGACGTGTATCTAGCTATCACCCACCATTTCTACACGGCCAGCAGATTATTCCTGCACCTCATCTGTCCTTCAGCTTCAGCAGCTCCCCTCGCCACCCAGCACGTACAGCAGCAACTGCCTGCCTTCCTTCCAGCCCCCTGCATGCAGAGCACAGCTGTGCACAGCAGCAGCGCAGCCCCTCCGTGTGTCTGCGTGCCTCGCGCATCCCAAGACCACATTTGTCTTTGTATCTTGCTGCTGCCATACCAGGAGCTCAAATCATATTACAGTTGCCAGAGCCCTCCCATCCCCATCCATCTGAACCTGGGATTTCCAGCTGCGCTCAAGTCAGAGGTGGAAAAACAAGGACAGGTGCTGAACTCCCTCTCCCCATCACTTCTGTCATTGCCTCCGTTACACATCTGCAGTCCCCCAGCACTGGAGCCTTCACTCCAGTGTTAGAGATAAGACAAGCTGAGTTTTTAATCAGATCACCTTGAAATAAAAAGTCCCAAAGGAGCAAACGTGCAGAGGGATTGTGGAGTCCCACGGCTGCTGGCAGGTGGTGGGAAGGGGAAAGGACCAAACCATGGGCAGAGGACAGCACAGATCCAACCCTCCTTGGTGGTACATTACCCAGCGACACAGCAGCACAGGACTTCAAACAGCAGCTGCAAGTTAACCACTTTTAACCCAATTTATGTGATCCAAGAGCAGCCCCAGAGCCAGGCCCTGTTCCCCAGCAGGGTGACACATCCCAGGATACAAGGGCAGGGACAAAGCAGCCAGGAGAGCACCCAGACCCCTCCTGCACCTCCCGCAGGGCTGGCCTTGCTCTGCAGGCACACAGCCCGGCTCACAGCCTTGACACGAAGCTCAGAAGGGAGACAACCATTGTAATGAGTCTGGATGACAGTTTTATGAAAAGGGCAGGATACAAGCTCATGAAAAGCTGTCCTGCTGGCTGAGAGCCCCGTGAAGAATTGCTTTTGTAGTTTTGTTTTTCAGCTTTCTATCTGCTCCTGCGTTTGCTACCGTGGCCAGATACTTAATAGAATAATGGTAATAAAGCTACAGCGAGCTGAAGTGGTCTTAAAAATTGCCAGAGATGACCTTGACAAGACAAAACATGAAGCAGCCTGGAGAAAAGCGAGGGGAAGATGTGAAAGGTAAGTACGAGCTGGCTATCCGAGGCTACAACTGGATGGCTCAGCAAGGAAAAATAAAGCCGCAAACGTCACCTCATACAAAACAGACTCGTGTTGATTTAATTTGCTTACAAAACCAGATACAGCCATCACAAGTTTCAACAGGAAGAAGAAACATGTTTCAAAATGTATTATTGCTAAGAAAGCAGGCGCTTCCCCCACACTACCAATATATGCTTTTCAGAATGCAGACTGAGCTCAGCTGCACGGCTTTGGGTACAGCATCCACCATGCTGACAGCCTCCCCCCACCTTCAGGGAGCCAGAAGTCCAAAATATAACCAGAGATTCTGCCACGTGTTCCACCAATAGCTGGGAAACCAAAAGCAAAATCCCTACAGACAGGGATTGGCATAATCTGACAGCAGACAGGAAATCTGCATTTCCATCCATCCCTTCCTATGGAGAAGGGATTGCCCCACACAGCTGCCATTCCCTGTGGTCACATGAGGTCTCCCAGCTCAGCCCAGCTGGGAGTGTGATGCTACCCACTGCAGAAGATCCCACGACAAAGGCTGGCTGAGGAATTTAGAAAATATTAAGGAGTTCAGCCCCAAAAGAATAAAAATAAATGCAAATACGGACATTCTTCCTGAGAGTTTTAAAATGTTCATCAAAAATATATTTCTATTTGCATGTAAACATTCCCCTGCCACCCTGCCAGCACAAATCGCTGCAACGTTGTGCCAGTGCACAACTGCCAGGAAGCAGAGCAGGAGGGGGAGCTGTGCTTTACTCTGCTGCACATCATTAGCCACACTGAGAAGCACAAACAGCACTGAAGGGTGAAGAGCAGCAACTTCGCCATCCTCCCCGCATCGGCTGTCTCCAGAGAAAGCGACTTTGAAGCTGATTTCTCACAGATGGGATCCCTTGAAACGCAGACTTCTCATCAGACAAAATAGCAAATGGTACAGCATTTTTTTAAAGCATTAAATATTTAAAGTCAGCTCGGAGGAATGACTGATAAAACAACCAAATACCACTTTCCCCACTTAGCAGTATGAAAGCACGGCCTGACTTCTCCCAGCCCTCTGGCTCCAGCAGCCCCCTCCTACCTCTGCATGCCAGCAGGACGTTGCTGTGCTCTGAATGCAGCCCATCCAAAGCACCACAACCACAGCCACCTGCTGAGGTGTGAGCTCACATTGGAGCACAACGTGTGTCAACCCCTCAGCCCTGCTCCCAGCCTTGTTTCAAGGTCTTGGGAGAGCTGCTCCAAGCATCAAGGCCAGCCCCCAGCACTCAGGTCTGCCACGCAGCCCTGCTGTGCAGGAAGAGCCCCAGCTGCTGAGCTCCAGATCCCACTCCCCAGGGCAGGGAAGGATGCAGATGGGGCTTTGTCTCCTCGCAGTCACACTAGGCTGAGTTCCCCAGCACTGCCTGCACCAGCAGACACTGCTCTGTGCTCTCCTGCCATCCCTGCTCCGTGTTGCCATCAGCACATTTGTAATACATGAGCTGAGCTCCCATAGCACAGTTATGTTGCGCAGTTCTGGCCAGCCTGGCAGAAAGAGGAGGACGCAGGGAACTCTTTCCTACAATATCTGCCATGAAAACCACCCTTGGTTTTGTTCCTATTGTTTCCACACCAGAAGAGAGGAACATTTCCCAGAGTCAAAATCTGCTGTTTCCCAATTCTATAGCCACTGTACTGCCCGTTCTCCCCTGCTCATGCACTCGCCACAGAAGCCAGATGACTTGGTTCATCTGTAATTAAGCATTTGTTGGGCATCAGTGTGGGCTCATTTCCTGATACATTTCCTCTAGCAAAGTCTCAGCTAGATTCATGTCCTCCCCCTTGACCAGTTACTCAAAGTTCTCCATGATTCACAGCTATGTCTCACAGTTTCTAGAATACTAATGAGAGAACTGTTGATTTATTGAAGCCCTGATATTTCACCACTGGATTAAACAGTCTATAAAGTATATTTGGACACATTACAGGATTAGAAGAATCCACCTGGGAAGTTCACTTCCTCCTCCCTCCACTGTCTTGTAAAGAGACTTTATTTCAAGGGCACAGCACAAAGACAGAGATGGCTGGGTATCACCAAAACCCACCGCATCATTAGGGAGACTGCACAGCCCCCAGCTATCATCTCTCCAGGTCCTGTGCCCAGAGTCGAGGGCTGAAAACATCCAGTCCCACCTTTCAGTAACGGTACACTTTAATTTGTCTGTTTTCATCCAGCCCTAGCTGAAGTAGGCTGGAGCTGCTGGCAGGGGGCTTCTCTGTACCTGGGAAAAGAGGTCTGACAGCTGGGTTAAGGAAAAGCATGGCTTACACAAGAGATTAGCAGGCATGAGCACAGCCAGGAGACAGGGCAGGTACTGAGGGGCAGGAACCAGCCTCACGCACACGTGCTGCCTTCAGCCCTCTGCATCCAAGTCAAATGGAATTAAAGGAGGATTATGGAATTCAAAGGAGCACTGTGCTCAGGACAGCATGCGCTATCAGAGGGCCTGAGGGATTTGCTGCTAATATCAGTGTACACTGCAAAGGAGATACTTACAGCCCCAGCATAATGCTGTTACAACACAAACCTGGAAACATTCCCATTAGGTTTCACTCACTTATACATCTCCAAATTGAGCCAGACAGGGCAGCTCCACTAGGGAGCCCTGCACAGCCATGTGGCCACCTCAGCTTGCAAGTCACAACTGCCACACACAGCTTTGGCTGCACTCATGGCTCCCTCACACCTGGCTGCCTGTATCAACTGCACCAACCGCATGCCTACAACAGCAGGCAAAATTCTCACATTACTGTCTCAAACTGTTGTGTTTCACAACGCAACTGGGAAAAGGGAAGGAGAACCTCTCAGGTAAGTACAGCTTAAAGATGAAAAAACCAGGTCACTCGTGCTCCAACTACTAAACAACATTCTTTTGCAGAACTGGACACTAAAATAGAGGCTAAGGCTTCAAAATTGCTGTTCAATCCTTCAGTGGCTCCTGATTCATTCACCTCCTGCTGTTTCCTCCTACCTGCTGCAGGAAGCTGGACTACAATTAGAGACCAGACCCAGGCAAAGGATACACCCTTGAATCACTCTTGAAGTCTTCTAGCCATTTCTTGTTGGTCTCAATCATTCCTTGAATACTCATCTTGTCTGACTCACGGCTCTGGAACACGCGCATCTGCTCACTGTTGAGAGAGAAAAAAGACAGGAGAAGTGGGAAACAGGCTTAGACAGAAACAAACTTAGAGATGAGAAAAAGCATAGCTAAAGAAAGAGCCAAGGTTAGCAAGCAACCTCTTCTGAGCTCTTAATGTTCTCCCCAACCACATCACGAAGGAGAGCTGTAGCAGCAACAGCCCCCATCCCACCAGGCTGCTGTCCTTCCTTCAGCCTGTGTAGCATCAGAAAGGCTCAGGTGACAGGCAGCCTGCAGTGTCACCCCTCCAGTGTCACCTGCCACAGCAGAGCCAGCCAGAGTTCTGCCTGGAGACAGCTGGCACCCTTGGATTCTGCTCCTGAGATCAGTGTTAGCTGCACAACTCTGGCTTCTGAAATAAAGCTGCTGTCTCAAGGCATGTGGCAGTGAGTAACCAACAATATCTAATTTATCTTCTTAATATCTAATTTGCTTCACTGAACAAGTAGGTAAGAAAATCAGCTAATCTAAAAATTATTCCAGGCAAATAAAGGCAATACAATGAAAAAAAGAACACTTGAAAAGACACTTACCCTGCAGGTACATATCCCAGCTTGTTGTCTGAAGGACCAGAACTTCCACTGGATGATGGGAACCCACCTGGGAAACAGACATTAAATACAGGTCCCCGCACCAAAAAAATCAGCACGCTTTATAATCTGAATGCATTTGCTTTCCTGTTACGGACACGCTGTCCCTACAAGTGGAACAACCTGCCAAGATCTCAGTGTTGTTATAAAGGAAACTGAGATGCTGAACCCTATCTCTAACCAACAGGAGGCTTCTGGGAGATCTGGATTCCTTTTTGCTCATTTCTTTAATAACTTTTCTCCCATGTATGTCAGAGGCCAAACTTTTCTAGAGGCAGGATAACATGGTTGGACATATATTGTACTGCCTGGAATGAGGCTCTCGATCTTATTAACACTACTCTTAACAGCAGTACAGGTTGGCATGATGAGCTGATAAAGAACACACAGGACTGAAATCAGAAGTCGTAAGCAAACAATGAGATGGTGTAAGGACAGGAAACCTACCTGGAAAGTACTTGTGCCACTTCTCTGCCAGAAAACGGTCCACTGACTGCTCAGCCACGAAGGAGCGGCTGGAGCTCAGCCCAGTGCCCCAGGCCCACTGGTCGGGCACAGACATCCCAGCAGAGGACCTCGAGGAGGCACCTGCCTGCAATCCTGCCAAGGTGGAATACGTAGAAAGAGGAATGCTGTCACAGGGAACCTGCAGGGGCACCTGTGTTGAAGTGAAGAGTGGGGGCTGGAGGGTGTTCAGAGAACTCAGAACGCCAAGGACCCCATTCAGTTCATTGGTGATGTGCTGCACAGAGTTTGTCAAGTACTGGATCTTGTCCTGCTGTAGGGCAATCTGTACCTCTGTTCTCAGGTCAGCTAGTAGAGAAGGGAAAAAAGGGATCATCAGGTAGGTGAGGGAGACACTGTCTCCTTATCAGGAGACTCACTCTGTGCTGTGTCACAGTGAGCTGAGTTTGATCAGTCTCTGCTCAGTGAGACAGAGCACCAGAGACAAAGATTCATTTGAAAGAAACAGAAGGCAAATAGAAAAGCACAAGCAGCAGACATAGGAAACTGCACCAACTTCTCACAGAGATGTGAGGAGAAAGCCTGGACACTGACAGAGCATGACAGCTCTGTAGCAGCAGAGAAGGAACAGCTGAAGCCATGTTTTGCACTCCACAGTAAAAATGAGGGCAGATTTAAGAGGCAAGTTCATGCACAGATTCCATCCCTCTCATACACTGCTACAGGCAGGAAATAAGTTTTTCAAGCAAAATGTTATATACAGAGCAGTCTCAGTCATAAGTAGCAAAGCTGCCTTAGACTCAAATGAAAACAGGAACAGCTTTAGATACAACTGAGAGGCAAAAGAGAAAGCCAGACCGTGCCAAAAGCATTGAGCACAGAGTATCAAACCAGTCAGAAACTTACACTTTGGCAGATGTATGTTTGCACTGGATATACTATTTGTGTCCTCAGAGCTGCTGAGATCAAAAGTCACCATCTTCTTGCATGCAACACTCTTCAGTGTATCTTCATCTGAAAGCTGATTAAGGGAAACACTGCAAACAAAACCTGCTTTCTGTCTCTGCAACAGCAAAGCCATTGGACTACTGCTTACAGCTTACAGCTCATCTACACAGGCAGGACTGCATGGTCAGGCACAGAACAGGTGAAAAGAGTCTTGAGACTCCAGCAGCAACATCTGAATAGTAAAGAGAGTGTGTGGTCTCTGAAAAAGGCACATGCATTCACTGGAGGCCAAATTTAACAGCTGCATGAACCATCCCTTCCAGGCAGAAGTCAAAATGTTCTGTGCATCAAATATGCCTTATAGTTCTTGCATGGCTGGGTCATCTCTTTGCACCAACAGAAAGTGCTTGACCACCAGAAGTCTTTTGCATTTACATTTACACTGCTGCTCTAAGGCCGCATGCTCACAAGCAGAGCTGGACAAGTTCCAAGGTCTGTCCTGAAAAGGAAAGTAAAGTGGATTCTACCTCACATGAGGTGACCTGCCCTCGTTCTCTCTAGGCAAAAATCATGCAGATTTTTCAGGTTGCTTTGTAGGTCATATGCTTAATGCCGAGTCCAGATGTCATCAGCAAAGGGAAATATTTGCCATCTCGCCCAAGTTACAGACAGTTAATAAGATGTCTAACAACTCTAATTAGAGTTCAGTTTATATTGTAATCTGCATATCAGTGTTAACATAGATTTGCTTCTGATCTAAGAAGCTTTGAGGGCTCATTTAGCAGATTTTCTTCCAACCAACTCAAGCCCTGATGCCAGTAGCCTTGACTGGCAAGCTGCAATCATGGGACAAACTCTCCATCTCAAACCTCAGACCTGGTGAATCATGTGCACCACAGTCATTCTCTCCAGCTCTTTGTCTCGCCTACTCTCTCCCACTCTTCTCACAGACCCATCACTCTGCTCTCAAAGCACAACTCAGTCAAAAGCTCTGCAGAGACTCCTGCCTATGGGAGGAGGCCAACAGCTCTGCAAACTGGGAGTGCAGCTGGGCAGGTCCAAGCAGGATGCTTATGCTTACCTCCTCCAACAGGGAGGACTCCAGCTGGCTTAGCTTCTCTTCCTTCTTCTTCAGCAGCACCTGTCCTTTCCGCATAGCCGACTTCATCTTGTCCAGCTGCTTGGCTTCCTGCAGTGGATCAAATAGCAGTGCTGAGGAGGAAAATTACCCAAGAACAACAGGAAATTATCTACTTTAGTGGTCATGGTGATTTTCACCATCTCACTTCTACTTGGCACAAGAAATCATGCTGCTGGATTAAAACCGCTCCCAAGTCCTACAGAGCAACAAAAAGGAATGTGCAGAAGGGAAAGAACAAGGCAACATCACTCCAAGGAAAAAGGGGTGTCACTTCCTAATCCTGCATCCAACAGAGTTGACAGCTTTGCAGCAAAAATCTGCAAACAGGAGTGCTCTGTCAACGAAGGAAATTAAGAGCTTTTCCCTGTCTTTGGTTGATGTATCAGCAGAACTGGTAAGTACTCAAGGATCAGTTTTCAAGCAAGAGCAAAGTTGCTACAGAGCTACAACTGTGAACTCGTCCCTGCTGATGGGATGGATGCCTGCCAGTGCTCAGTGACTCACCTCTTCCAGGTTCTTGCGCATTCCCTCCAGGAGCTGGGAGTTGTCAGGATCTTGCACCACCTCCTGTGCTTTCTGCACATCTTGGTGCCACTGCTGCTTTGCAGCTTTCAGTGCTGTGTGTCTTTTCCTCATGGAGTGGGTCTGACGCACCAGGAATTCTTTGGCTTTTCTAATGGAGATTCCTTCAGCAGAGATGTAACTCCTGACTCTATAAGAAACAGGTACAATTCTGGCTTTCTGTGCCGGCCATTCCATCCAGCAAGCCCCATGCAGATCCCTCCCCCAAAATAAATTGTATATGCAATGCATATACATATAAAACTCAAGCAAAAACATTCGCTTCTAAAACCCAAGGAAAAAAAACAAAACAAGAAAACCACATTTTCTGAAGTAGCTGGTATACAGATACTCACTGATCAAATTGGAAGTTGCTGTCTTCATGGCTTTGAGAAGGTGGGGAAGCAGGCTCTCTGGATGAATGCTGAAGAGTGGAAACACTTCAAAAACTAATAGATATGCACAAGAAAATTGAACCCTAGGACCCCATTAGAATCAAATTAGGGGCAAAAATGGATGTCTGGATGACGTCACTGTATTATTGCTTTGATCCAAGACTAGTGCTGGGGATATTTTTTTATGTGATATTTTAAGAAATAAGAGACGTTTCCATCCCTGACTCAAGTCCTGCTTTTGACTTCAAGGGCACTCAGGCATCCCACACTCCTTTTCCCCTAATAATAGGCAGAAAGCAAGAAGGAGTACAAAACATTGATGTCTTCCGGCAAAGAAGAATGCATCAATGCGTCTGAAACAAGCTTAGGCAGAAAGAGCCAAGGCTGGAATTTTCACAAAGTTACCGCCTCAGATCTCACAAGGCAAATGCCTTTGCAGACAGCTCTACTCACAGCATGAATAGTTTCTCTCAGGTCTTCAACATGGAGCTCAGCTTTCCTTCTGGGAGACTCCGCACTTTCTTCTGCCTCCAATTCTTTCAAAATCTCCTGCTTGCTCCTGACAGCTGCCTCAAGCTCACTGCCACATGAAAAGGCAACAATGGCAGCAATTCATTAGACTGCAGGTCCTCCTAGCCCAGTAAACTACCAGCAAGTGTCCAAAGCAACCTCCAGATTCCAGAAAGGAAAGGGCCAGACATAAAAGACAAGTGGGAACACAGAAACATGCTGACGACAAGGATTCACAACAGCTTACAGCTGCTGTCTCATACAGTTTCCCACACACAGGAATAAATACAAATAAGAGACTTCATATAGCAGTTTGCAGATACAGACTTCTATATCCAGGGCTGGGGTACATCAGATACTAGCAAAGCAGTTTGACAGCTACCATTAAGACAACCTACTGCCACTGCTCTTAGACACAACTGAACTGCTCATACAACACCTCCAGACAACACCAGTCTCCACGTAGATTTTGAGCACTACAGGAAATCTCTCACAAATAGACACACACCTGATACGTTTCTGCAGCCTCTGGCTTCGAGTCTGCAACAAGTCCACCTGGGCCTCCAGCTCAGCTTTCTGATCCTGGAGCTCCTCAAGAGTCTTACGCAGTTGCCAGATGGACTCAAGAAGGTTGGTGTGCTCCTTCCTATTCTCCTCTAGACGGAGTTGAGAAGCTAAAGCAGCTTCCTAGTAACAAACAAACAAAAAAATCTCTCAGGCTTCCCTGACAATGGAGTGAACGCACACTGCATGCAAGACACTTTTGCTATCTGCACAGTTCATGGGAGCTCCCAGAGCTACAAACACACATCACACGTCAATCCTAGGGGAACAAGACTGCCTGCTCTCTTTGGGAAATACCTCTGAGCTAACCAAACTCCCAGCAGGAAGACTCTCCAGGTCAAGCCAAAGGGGAAGGAAGGAATTTGCAAACTCACAATTTAGAAAACAACACAGCTTTCATTTTTTAAGCCATGGTTCTAGTGCGTTCCCCTTACCCTCCCTAAAACCAAAGTAGCACAGATCCTTTCCAGAGCCAAGGCATACATACATCTCTTTCTCGCTCAGTCCGTTTGTCTTCATCTAGCAGCTGCTGCTTTTTCCTTCTCAGAGACTCCTCCTAAACACAGCAGAAAAAGCAGGTGACTATCAGAACACAGGGATACATGTAGAAGAGACTGCTGATATTCAGCAACACTTGAAATACAAGTCAGGCCTAATTTTCAAGACAATTCAGGATTACCTGAACACTATTCTCTGTTTTGCTTCATCCCATCCTGTAAGTGACAGAACTCACATACTGCCTCCCAAAACAGAGGAACACTCCCAAGGCACTGACTTTCACCACAAATACCACTAACCGTGAGACTACTACTAAGAACACTTAGCCTTCACGACAGAAGTTTTAACTTGAAACCTAGTAACTTGGGTGGCAGACACAATCCATGAGGAAGCAGCTAGGGGAGCAGCTCAGGCAAGGAAATGTCTCAAGCCCAACACAGCCGACTCACCTGGCTAAGAAGTTGCACTGATCTTGCTTTAATGTTCTTTGCACGTATTTCAAGCTCATTTTCTGAATCCTGGAGTCTCCTTTCCTGCACAGAGATGTCAACTTAAAGAGTGAATGGCACAAGCTCCTCATCCACCAGGCAGAGCTCTGCCACCAGAGCTATTAGCAAAAAATAGCAGGAGAGAATGACCTGCCACTTGTATTACTGTTGGCTACAGAGGGTGGCAGATGCATGGAGGTGTCACAGTAGCCACGCCAAAGCAGCCAAGTCCCAAACTACCAGGCAGTGGTCTCCTCACCTTCTCCCCATGCCTGTGCTGCAATGCGGTCAGACGTTCATCCAGCTCTGCCTGCAGAGTTTTCACCTCCACTTCATGAAGCTGTCGGAGGCGTGCCATCTCACCTCGTAGGCCTTCAAACAGCTCTGCTCTTTGCTTTCTTTCCTGTCACAGAATACAAACAAGAAAAGGCGGCTGAGTGAAGCTCTTCAGCAAGCCATGAACACAAAGGACACACACTCTGTATAACCAGATCATCACACAACATGTCCTTAGCAAATAACAATTTCAGCAAGATTAAAGCCTGCTGCTTATAGGCACAATATTGTTATGAAGATGGCTTAGGAAAGAAGAAATGACCCATGATAGTCTAGGGCTTTGTCACACACACTGCTGACTGTATGACAGGAAGCTTTCCAGAACAGGCAACTATAAAACCATTAAAAAGCTTCCCTAATACAGAAGTCCACAAATGCACGTGGAAGTTGCTTGCACAGAATGCTTTGACAGGTTAACCTCATAACTTCAGCCTCAGTTTGCTTTACACAGCAGCAAAACCACTAAAACAAATGAGATGCCCCAGTTTTAGGAGTGGCTGAGATAAGCAGAGCTAACAAGCAGCAGTGCCAGCCCAGGTACAGTCCAGCTGACCAACAGTGATCTCCCAGTCCACTGCACTTCCCCAGAAGTACCTCCTCTTCATACTGATCCCGAATCCTTGCTAGGACCTCCTGGTGCTCCTCCTTCATCCTCTCCATTTTCCTCTCATGGTCTTTTTCCACTTCATGGCGTTTCTCACTCATAAGCTCACTGAGCTGCAATGATGACACAAAGAAGCTTCACTGAATCACTGCATTGGCTCTCCCCAACAGAGCAGCTTCACACATGAACAGAAGGACTGAGAACCTTGCAAGTGGGATCAGGCCACAGCCTAGACAGTAGCAAACAAGCACTCTGTGAAAGATGCTGCTGCAGGAGTGTCCCTTTCCCTGATGCGCATCATTGTCACCCCTGGGCAGGGGACTCTGCATCTCAGACCTCACAAACCTCAATGGAGAACAAAGAACGTTCAGCATCCAAGATGAATACTTGCCTCACGTTCATATTCTGCTACTTGGTATGCTTTCTGCTGCACTTTCTCCTCTGCTCTCTGTAAGTCTTCACGCAGCCAAGCCTCCTCACTCCGCTGTGCCTCCGCTATCTGGGTTTGCAGGCTAGAAGTGACCTGCCATGAAAACCACCCACAGAGACTTGTCACCCTTCTGACAAGATCTCTCAAGATCCTCCTACAGAGATCAAGCAGCATGGCAAAGATCAATATGTACAGTCCACCACCCTCTAACTTGGAACATGCCCAAATACTGAGCAAGACCAGAACCATGTTTAGGAAGTAGAAAAAAATTAATGCCAGCCACCCTGCCCACACCTGGAAATAGAGTGGAACGAAAAAGCAATTTACATTCTAGGGAAACCATGTTTTACCTTTCGATGCTTCTCTTCTGCTGCAGATTTCAGCTGCTGGAGTTCAGTTGCAAACTGTTTCTCTAGCTCCTCTGCAGCCTACAGGAACACGAGCCAAACAGTCTGCTGACAATCCTTCGTTTATAGGAACATGCCACACAATGTGCAGTTGCAATTAATTTCTATCCACAAGCATCAAAAGCACAGCGAACCCCCTTTCAAAACAAGTAATATACAGTATATTCTCTGGATGTTTTCCCTTCCAGAAGATCTCAGTGTATCTCAGACATGCCATCCCACAGAAGGACTATCAGCTGCCTCTATTCAAGAACCTCAAGCTTTCCAGAGTGCTAAAGCAACACCCAAGAGGTATTCTAGCCTGATAAGGTAAGTTTGCTTTCACTTGGCCAAGATAAACAATATTTTTTTTTTCCTTCAGATGCAACATGGCCACTCAAATAACTATTTAGTCCCCCCTGTAACAAAACAAGGGGAACACTCCCCAGCCCAATCACAGCTCTTCCAGCATGCCAAACATCTTTCCTTGTGTTTTAACAGAGTCATTATCAAAACACATGCAGGTGTTACTTAATCTTATTTAACTTCAGCATTCCAATGCAAGCCAGGTCAGCATAAACAGCAAGGGTCTGGCTCTAGTTGGTAACACATGAGTCTCACCTTTTTCTTTTCTATTTCTAATCTCTCCTTAAGCTCCCTTAGGAATTGTTCCTTCTCTTTTTCTAGCCTGATTGTTTCTTTCTGTTGAGCTTCCTTCATTTCCAGCTTCATCTTCTCCAAAGCAAGCTGCTTCTTCCTCTCCATGTTCTCCTTCTCCATTACCTGCAGGGACTCCCACTCTTCTCTTAGTTTTTGCAGTGCCAGCTCTTGCTCTGACCTGGTAGGGTTACAACAAGAGCAGAGGAGCCAGTCAGAATTTGGTACTTTAACACTGGGCTCCATTTAGGAACCAGAGCTAAGAGAAGAGCAGACATGAAAATTCCAGAAGAAATTGAGAACCAACGTACACTAGGAACAAATGAATCAGCAAAGGCCTTGGAAATAAACAGCAAACAGCATCATAGTTGGGTCCTCATGATTCCTAGCTTTCTAACAAGGCAAGGCAGCAGCTATGGGAAGCTCAGACTGGCTAGAACATCCCCCGAGTGGATGCTGATGGCATGCAAGATGCTTCCCTCTCAAACCCACAGTTTATGTCCCTAGGGATGGCAGCTTCCTGCTTGTTGTGGCAAAACTTTTCACCTTATCTTCTCCTTCTCTGCCTCAGTCTCAGAGGTGATGGTGGCTCGCAGCTTTGAGAGTCTTTCAGTTTCCTCCTTTCTCACACGTAATTCTTCCTCCTCGCAAACCTTTGCCAAATTCTCTTTCAGTGTCCTGAGAGATGAGCAGCCAGGAGGAAGAAAAAAGGGGGAAAAAAAAAAAAGGTTCAGGAAGCTTTAATGTCTTCAAACCACCTCCCCAAGGCATGCAGATCAGCTCCCACTCAGTGCACCTGCCTGAGAGATGCATTCCCAAGGTTCCAGACAGTTAATTCCCTTCCAAACCTTCACAAGACACAGCCCCTGAGCACCATGCTCCTGTGGTGTATTTTAAAGGCTCACTATATTGTCATCATAGGCGGCACTTTTTTCCCAGGTATGTAAAAATGAACTCCATGAAATGAAGGCAGATTCCCAGCCAAGGTAGCTGGATGCATTAGTATGAAGCTTCATGCTTTTGCACAACACCCTTTTTCCCACTGCTTAGACATTTCTCCCTTCAGGTGCAGTTTTTGTCCTCTTTTGCACCCAAGGCAGCATTCCTGCAGTGCTTCATGTCCAGGTACCTTTTCTGGCTGCCTGCATGCTGCTAAGAGCTTATGTGGGGTGGCCCTCATGTTTATAATACAAGTTCTGAGAGGAGAATCCCCCAGAACAGAGGACACCACTCCTATTGCTGTTCTGCTCCCTGGGTTGCCATTAGATCTTCTTGCATTGGCTGGGTTTTGCACGTAGAAATCCATGCCGTATTCCTTAAAGTCTTGTTTGGAAGTCCTCCTGTAATACACGCAGTACCAGAGCTTCAAATAGCTCCTCTGGGGTAACCTCATCTTCTCTAATGCCCCAATTTCCAGCCCTATTACTACCACTTAAACCAAGGTTTGAAAGTGTGCCAGGCGGTAAAGCTCCAAGCAGTGAACTAGAAACTTTTCCCAGGTTAACAATAAGAGACAAGTTCACAGCTCTATGAAAGTTGCATGTGCATCGAATCATAGCTCTTCTGACAGGACACAAGGAAGATGCTCTCTTGCCTGTATGAGGGAGAAAGCTTTCCTCAGGCAGACTGCACTCTGCTTTGAGCATCTGCAGCACTAAGAGCAGACCACTACCCATTTCAGGATGTGCAGATTCTTACTGTCACTGTCAGGATGGAGCCCCGTGCTCCTTTTCACCTCAAGAGCTCTATTCTTGCCTCTTTCACCCACAACTCCACAAAGCAACTCCCGTTTCACAGTGGCCTATAACACAGCACAAACTTGCTGCCACCAGCAATGAATCACACCTGGGAAAGACTCGGGAGGAGAAATAGGAAAAACGAAAGAGTACCTGAGGGATATTTCTTTTTGCTCATAAAGCTTCTGAGTTTCTTCCTCCTCCTGTAGCCTCATTTCCTCTTGGAATTGCTGGATTTTCTCCTTCTTTGCTTGCAATAAGTGCGTTTTGTCTTGTTCGACCTCCTTCTCCAGCTCCTTGGCTACTCCCTCCAGGGACTGTTCACTAGACTGGGTCAAGGACTGCTCTTGTTTTATTTCTTTCTCAGGTTGCCTATCAAAAAGAAAAAGCTCCTTTGGCAAAAGGGTGAGAGAACCGAGTAACACAACGGGAACGAGCAGTGTTCCCACACATAGTATCACCTCCAAACCAAAAATCTGAAAGCCACCTACTCCACCAGCTTTCCTCTCTATGAAGGGAAAGGAAATGCAGAATCTCCACTGGATTGCAGCCACTTTTTTCTTTTTTTATTTGCTGCTGTGGAGCACTTGCTGTTTTGCTCACAGGAGGTGAGGAATAACAGTGGAGGCAGGTGGAGGGCACACAGGTAGAAGACAAGCTTGGTACAGAACTCATGCTGCCACTTTCCCTACAACATGCCTGGAAAACAAATCCATCCCCATGCTTGCCAGCCAAACTCTCCAGCCTTACGTCCTGAACTTTCCAGTGTTGCAAACACAGGAAAACATTTTCACAAGGCCATTGAGGAACACACAGCTCATCCTCTAAGCTTCGAGCAGCACTTTATCTCAGATAGCAGCTTGGGGATGTTCCCAGGCACCACTGATTGGAACTCTCATTGACTTCTAAACTCTGACTGATAAATTAAACATAGTCCTAACAGAACTTAGGTCCTGAACGACTCTTATTTGGACCTACAGCTCACCTCGTGAGGGAAACAGCCTCACCTCACAAAGGATCTAGCAGCTATGAAATCCTGCCTAGGACCATAAAAGCACATGCAATCAGCACCAGCTTCTAACCCAGGGATTGGCAATACATTTCTAATGGACCAGGTATTTTTCTGCAATCACAATCTAAAGTTTGCCAGCCCTAGGCAACAGAAAGCCCTAAGCTCTCCAAAAATTCAAAACCAATCTGTTTCTAATTAAGTTTTTTTTTTTTTTTTTTTTCAGACACAGAGTAGCAAAATTATAAGGTCTGAAAGAGGCTGAAAGGGAAGAGGGAGAAACGAAGATTAGTCTGAGGACAAAATTCTTATTCTGTGCTAGTGAAAGCTGAAGCAGCAAGGTCTTCTCATCATGCCCCGAGACTGCTAGCATAAGGCAGAGATCTCTGTCTTGCCTGGAATCAGGGAAATAGCAGCTCTAGTAATATAACCTTGAGTCAGAGAGAAAAGGTTACTCATGCAGCCATTAGCAAAAGAACAGAGAGAGAGGAAAGGGTAGCAGGGTCCTGGAAAAATCCTGTTTCACTACTGCTCCCCTGTAACACTGCATGCTCCGGGCCAACTGCACAGATGCCTACAGGAGGTGCCATTTATCAGGCTGCTCTGCAGAGCACCTCAAGCACTTCCACCTAAAACTGTTCTTTTTGCTCAAATTTTTGTTTAAATAACTATCCAACCACACACGTGGTGGATGTGCAACACATGCACATTTACACAATAAAAAAAAAAAAAAAGGAGAAACTTGTCTTCCAACCAAAGATTGCTACTCCACCACTTTGTCTTGATAGATGCATTGCCTATTTTTTCCAATTACTTCTGCTGATCTGTCATTTGACACAGAAAGCAAAGTCAGCATGTTCACTTCTACTGAGAACTTTCATTGCAGTGAAACTGCAGGTACCTATCAGCAAACTCCACCAATTTAGTACTGTGACAGACCACTGGCTTTTGCAGAGAAACTGAGTTCTCCCATCTTCTGCTCTGACCTCGTTATCCCAAAACAAGCAGCGTTGCCAGTGACTCTAAAAGTGTGAGGATTTTTTTTCCCCTCCCTCCTTCCAACCTCAGTACTACTCAGCAAGCAAACTGCTGTGGAAAACTGTTTATCTTAGGTGTGTAAATGCTTAGCCTCATTAGTGATGCTGGTAAAGAGGCTTTTCCAAGTACAAAGCAAACAGATCTTTTTCCATACCACAGAGTCCTGTACCACAGACCCCAAGGGCTGAGCTGCTGTTCTCACCCTCCACAGGACAGACTGTTACCTCGGCACTCTTGCCAGGAGAACAGCTGCTTGGATTTGCATGCTGAGATGCTCTCAAGCTCTGCTGTGCCCACCAAACTGCATCGCCTAGCGTGCCAGCCTCACACAGTAACTTCAAATAAAGGGGAGAACAGGAAAAAAAAAAAAAAAGAGGACAAAAGCTGTTATGCATACAAGACTAGGGACTTAAATGAAGCCCTTACGCTTTTTGCAGGGCTGCAAGTTCTTCCAGATGGATTAGGCTATCCGGCAATTCCTCCTCCAGCTGCAGGGCCACAGCCTCTTCTTGACTGGCATTTTCTAAAGAAACACACTTCTGTTCTGATGCTTCACAACCACTTTGATCCCTCTCACTTTGCAGCACAAAAAAGGTAACAGAATATCAGATTAGCATAGATTAGATTCTAGTGACTGCTCCAAGTAGACAAAGACAGAGCAAAGATGGGATGAGCAGCTGACTCAAGATGGGCAGTCTGCAGCACAAGCTCATGCCTGCCAAGGGGCTTCATTTGTCCAATATGGGGCTGCCAAAGCCCCGACAAAGCTCCAAACCATTCACACCACCTCGAGCACTGCCAGACTAACAGGCAGCTGAGGGTATAATTTGTCTGACAACCTCAAAATGTTGAATATCTTTGCCGGTTTACCTCCCTCTCTTTGCAAGTCCTCACAGAATTTCCCCAAGATAAATCAGCCCTATTAGTAACACTCATATTGTAGTCTAAATTAGAGATGGAAATAAATTGGCAGGCATGTTTACATCTATGGTTCTACTTCATCTTGGAAGCACAGAGAAGAGAAGCTAAGCAAGCACAACATAGCTGTACAGGCAAAGTGAGTGGAGAGGATTCACAGCTGGGAAGCAGGTACTAAGTGATAAAGAGAATTCCTTGGGCAGAACACATTTTTAGGGACCTTCACGTGATCAGCTCCTCCAAGCACAAAGCTGTGAATCCCAATTGCACACAGCCAGTCATTAAGATGGACTGCAGCTTCTTCTGTTCACAGGTTTTCCTGGCATAAGCAACAGCTTCTTCGTTCCCAGTGCCCCAGAATGCTGTGTAGCTCTGTGTGGAGGCTAAGAGTTTTGACACAATTCATCTATAAATGCCACATGTTACAACTCTCAAAGGCAGAGCAGGATACTCTAGAGACCACAGATCCCTCTGCTCAGCACAATATTACAGTTGTTTCAAACAAGTTTCCACAAACGGGGAAAAATACCTCCTCTAGACAGTCTAGTCCTCATAGCAACCAAAGGTTGGGAAACCTGTGGTGCTCCTGGGGTTACAGCTGTTGCATTATAGAGATGTCCACAAAGCAGGATAACAAAATAGCTTAATATTTATGCTTGGCCAAACAGAGGCCAAGTGGCTCTAAGACTCCTCTAAGGAAGCAAGTGGAACTGGACTGTTTACTTTGGAGCTAAACTCTCCTGCCAAACCAGCACTGACTGACCTCAGAATCTGCAAGGTCTGTTATCAGGCAATGGTTAGGGCCTAATTCACCTGTGTTAAATGTCCCAAGGCACAGCATACTCAGAAAACAGACTATCATGGCAAGAGAGTGATCACAGCCTTAGATAAAAGCCAGATAGCTAAAGGGAAATGGAAAAGCCAGCTCCACATCTGGGGGTAGTCATGAAGAAGGGCAAGGCAGGCAGTTTTGTTGTCTTCCCAGCCAGAAGCTGAAACTATGCTGAAATCTGCTGAGGTGATACTAAAGGGGTGGGAGAAAAGAAAGATTGAATGGAAGAGATTCTGTGAGACACTGCAGGAACTCAGAGTGCTCTGTGGGGAACTCCTGTACAGGTTACAGTGACCTGAGCACAGCAGGGACAGACAAGACAGGAAAGTCACTTGGAGCTAGAGCTGTCTATGCCTCCTTTTCTAGCTGTTTGTACCGTACCTCGCAGCAGCTTTTGTTCTTTTGCTTTGCTCTTCATCTATACTGGCTTTGCTTTGGTCTTTTTCCTCTTCTCCCAGCTCCTGGGCCTGCAGGTAAAAGCAAACAGTGTGGAGTTTGCTGGCTCCTTTGCCATCAAAGCCTCCCAGGACCTTACAGTGGCTCCACCAAAAAGCAGTAGCACTGTGGTCTAACATACCAGCACCAAGCCCAGGGACTAAAGTGCATCCACAGGGCATTCCAGAATGCCCAGCTGAATGCATTAATTTCCTCTCTTGCATGTAACCAAGGTCCTGAGATACCGTGGGAACACATGGAGGAATGGCTCCATCGGCACAGAGACATCAGGGAGCTCAGCTCTCCAGGTTGTGTTACTATTATTGGTCTCAGGGTTGTTTTTCGCAGTACAGAAGATGAACTCTCTGCCAGCACACAGCACTCTCAACATCAGCTTTGGTTGTTTATTCCCCCCCAGAGGTCATCTTACATATCCAAGTAACCATAAACTGTCTGAATAATGTAGGACAAATCTTTTAAAGCAGGAATGTCACATATACAAACATGAAATAATGTACTGTGGCCATAAAGAAAACTAATGCATCGATTGTGACCAGAATTACAATAGTCCTGCCTTGAATCCTGGTTCCCACACAGACCACAATGGGCACTATATATACAGTCACACCGACCCAGAGACTTCTGACCATTCCCTCCAGAGCAGATCAGTCTGGATGCTGCTGACTAAACTGGTCCCTCAATAACACGCTCAGAGTGACTTCAGGTGGCTTACTTATGAAACAGGAAATACTTAAAATAACAAATATTTCAATATAATATAGTCAGCTGTTCCTATTCCCACCTGCCACTTACCAGGCACCTCTGCCCCCCAGCAAGGACATACATACACACACACTTGTGTAATTCACCCAAGGAAGGGGAACAGGCCCCCTCTTCAAACCCTCAGTCCTACATGAGAAAGAACCAGCAGCCCATCCTGCCTGATGAGGTTTTTTGATGCTATATATGGGTCCTCAAAGCCCATCCAGAAATTCCAGGGGACCACACATAGCAGGTGAGCTCAGGCCTTGCCATGCAGGAATGTAATGTGGAGCAGGGCCAAAATAACACAATTAAAACAGCAGTAATTTATGCAAATGTTCAGCAGAGCAAACAGCGGAAGGATTTCCTGCAAGTGCTGTCACCTTTCATCATATCAGCCTGGTCAGAACTCTCCCAGCAGCTCCCCACCTCTCCAGCCTAAATAATGACTTCAATTCCTGAGAACTGAGGAGCCCAGAAAACATCACCTGGCTCAAAGCAGGCTCTGCCACTGCTGCCTGTGAGAGGAAAGCAGCCAGAAAAACAAAGAATGAGGTCTTCTGGGGAATAAAGATGATGAGTTACAGGTTACACTGCTGAGCCCATGCCTGGGACCTCTGCTGCATTCCTGCCCAACATACCTTTCCAGACAATCCCTCCCAGAAATCCCAGACTCTAGGAATATGCAGACATATCTGGAATGGTGAATAAAGCACATGCCTGCAGGGAACAAGGGTTGGATTTTAAGCTCTGCCTGTGAAATTCCCAGAGCCTTAACCCTCTTGTTGTTCCAGGATCACCAGCAGACCCTGGGAAGCACTGAGTACTGCTGGCAGCTTGGTTTTCTGTCCTGCTCAACACCGGGCTGAGTCCCACAGGAAAGATCTCACACACAATACAAAGCCAGGATGACAGATAATAGGCTGTCTCCTCTTCATACAGCATAGTCCCCAAGAGGCCTTGAGAGGAGGATTTCTATGGTCTCCAACACGTGACAGCTCCAATGCCGTGCCTGCTTCCAGCTCCTCACCACCATCACCCTCAGCTTGGTAACAATGCCAGCAAAGCAGGATGCCAGCACTTTAAATGCCTGCTAAGTGAAGGGTGAAAGGAGCAACCTTCTCATTGCCAGGAGAGAAGTCAAGTCTAGCAGAGAGCAGCCCACACTGCCACTGCAATCTAACACAGCTCCTGCCAAAACACGCTAACCAAAAGCCTCCAATGTCGTGCATATGTAGCGTCATTGAAGAGGTCTTTTTTATTAAAAAAAAAAGAAAGAATATTTTGCCAGTATATTCAAAGCAAGGCAAGTCCATTACATGGAAATAAACACATTCCAACAATCCAGAGACTCATTTTGAAATAGCCTGTCTTTTGACACAAAAGAGCAGCTGCAGTTCTGCGGGGGGCACCATTTCAAATCCACCTCTCCCTCCTCAAGACAAGGCTGTAAAAAACTCAAAATGTGTCTGCTCCAACAAGACATTTGTATGCACAATGTCTGTGCTGTAGCAAGAGGGAAAGGGGGAGAACACAGCAGGCATATGTTTTGTTTTCCCTTCACATCTGATTATGCTCATTATTAGGCACAAGAGGACAGGTGTATTCTCCAGACAACCTAACAAACTGGATTGCTCCTCTCTGCTGGACAGGTGGTGAGTTTGCCACTCAAGGTCTCTTCCAATGCAGCTGATCAACTCACTTACAATCAGAGCAAGGCTGAGTAAACCCCAGCTGGAGCCTGACCCTCTGCTTTGCTGTGCAGCATGCTCTTCCAGTCAACGCACTGATGAGCTGAGATGGTGCAGGAGAGGGATAGCTGGGAGAGCTCAATAGGAGTGTGGGGCTGAGAAGGACGACTTGGCAACACGCTGAGATGACGAGGATAAAAATCTCAAGAGGCACAGCAATCTTCAGTCAGTACTGCCCTAACATAGCTACATATGAGGCCAGCGTGATGTAGGAAGCAGATGTGTACATGCATATGTACACTCCTTCATATGCCACACACTGACTGAAAGGATTCTGTTGTTTCCCCTACATGAAAGCAGCCAAAGCAAGCATATGCCTAAAATTAAGTTTCTTTGTCAATGGAAGGTAACCTCCATTTCTTCATTTTCTGCTACTATGCTCTGTTACACAAGTTCTCTTCATCTTTTCCTTCTCTTAAGCAGAACAAATACACACGCAACAGGAAAAAAGCCAAACAGACTGCTTCCCTGCACTCCCCAGGAAAAGCAGCTATCTATGCGTGTAACTGGGGGCAGTGAATGCACACACTTGTGAGCTTGCACACATGCCTCACTCACAACCACCTCTTCCCAAGAGTATGATGTCTGTGTAGTTTCTCCTCACAAGAGCGGCTGCAACTCCCTGCATCTCTGCAGACACACTACTGAGCTAGAACTGCTGCTCCGATCCCTTCCCTGAAGTCACAGTACTCCGTCTGCCTCAAAATCTTTATGCCAATAGCTTCATCCTGCTATTAGTATGCCACAATGCAGTGTTTTAACCTGCCCTAATCACAGATAAAGCACTTACCTTGCATGGGGACTTGTCTAAAGCAGGAGACAGAGCATCTACATCCAACACCCGCTCACAAAATTGGCTCTGGAAAGCCAAGTCCTGAAGAAGAAAGAATAGGATCAGTTCACTTGTCCCATGAGAGATTCTGACAGACAAGAAAAAAAAATCTGAACACACTTAGGAATCCTCACTCATCATCCCACTGACAGCAATTCGGTTCAAATATCTAGAGCTACTACAATTAGAAAGGTTTATAGGACACAGGAGATGGCTACACTGAGATTCAGGCCTTCATCCAAGCACAGATTATATCTGTACTGCATTCAGATGGCCCTGGCAGCAGCAAGACAGCACCAAGTTGGGTTTTGTTTCCCAAGCTGTAGGGATACACACAGGTAACAGGTTACTGAGCTACCGGCATGAACCATCACAGGTGGGGCACTGGCACTGCAGTGAGGCTCTCCTCCCTGATGGTCCCAAAGGAAACTCTCCCTGCAATGCCAGCGGACTGCAATTCCACATAAGGGCATCATGGAACTGCTACAGGGCAGTGAGCCTTGCCATACTATCTCATGTGCTCTTCCATGCCACAGATCACAGCAGGCACAGGTGATACAGTGCATTTATAGCCCCCAACCCTCTATTGCTCTGTTCCCAGTATTGTTGCAGATCTTCTGAGATATTTTTTTCCTAGAAGTCAGCTCCTGCAAGTTGCCCATGGGCTACTCGCCCCGAATTCTCCCTACTGGCAGAGGCTGTGGGTTCACACACTTGGCTGCACACACAGCGTGTGAGAGAGCACACACGCATGCCCACAAGCAAGCTCTAGAAAAGGTATTGTTTGATGCAGCAGCCACTTGCCAACACAGGCTCATACTAACACTGATAGATAATGATATTCGCAGCCATTTTCTGGCCATGCTGCCTCCGCTCCCACTGGCAGATGGCAGCAGCAGTTCCCTGCAGAGATGAAGAGATGCTGATGGGCACTTCACCCCTCACCTCAGGGCTACCCTCCTGCACGTTCTCCCCCTGGAAGAGCCAGGACTCTCAGCCATGCACATTTCCCTTAGAAAAAGCTGTTTCATCCCTTAAAGCATGATTTTATATCGCTTATTATTTTCCACTTTGCAATTATCCAAGTGGAGTCTCAGCTATGAGTGACCTACTTTGCCAGAGCTATTACCTCACCCCCAGAACGAACCTGCACTTTTCTGCAATTCCTGCTCAGTACAAGCCTCTCACCACACCTGACTGCAGAATTACCACAAGCCTCCTACCATAGGCAATACACATGACAGGACCACACAGGCAGACCTGGAAATCCTATTGAGTGCCTGAGTTGGGTCTGGCTTCAAACTGGAAAGCACATCCCTGGAGCTAGAGGGCTTTCAGAGTGAGAGATGGCTCTTGAAGCACTGCTCTCCAAACAGACAGTCCTTGGTCAAGCCTCTTCATCTGATACAGCCTGTGCTGGCTCAGGAATTTGCTAAGCACAAGCGTGCTTCAGTATTCCAAGAGTCTTCCTGAATACCAAAGGGAGCTAAGCAGAGAGTGACACCAGTGATCTGTGCCATAGCAGTAAGGTCAGTGCATGAGTTAGGGATACAAGAGATGGCTATAGCCTTACGCTGGCTGTGTGTTTCCAGAGGGATGCAAAGCCCATACCCAGAGGATAAGGAACTCCTGGCAACTCACCACATGCTGGATCAGCTCCTGGTCTAGGCGTTTAGAAGCCTGCAAGTCCTCCATGCATTCACTGCTCTCAGATACTTTGGAAAGCTGAAAGGAGATATGTACATGTGTTAGCCCTGCAGCTTCGTTTAGGCATTTCCAACTAAAAAGACAACAAATGATACCTGGAAGACAGATCTGATCTCTGTATACCATAAGGAAGAAAAACAGCAAATGTCTGAGGTGAACGAATGTATTAGGAGACGCTAAGGGGGTAACCCACAAGACAATCACAGAATGCCACAGAGAAAGGGCTGGGAAAGGAGGATGCGCACAGGACATGGGATTGGGGAAGGCAAAGAAGTGCTCTTCAAATATCCCTGATAAAGGCACTAGCTTACTGCCTCATTCCTTCTGCAAGGATCTCCACAGCTCTGAGAAACCCCTGGGCCACTGAGTAAATCGTGAAGCCACACAGAACACAGCTTTTTCCACCACTTCAAACATCCAGCACCTTGCTGTCCCTACTTGCAGTGCAGATTCCTATGTTCCCAGTCACAATAAAACAATACAGAACTGTTTAACATTAACACCCATGCAGTCCCGCTGACTTCAGCAGATGTAACCAAACATGTAGAGAGAAAAAGATTTCATAAAAGCAAAGATTTCGGTTTTAAGCTCTTCAGGAAAGCACATGTTTTCCAGAATCACTCATATGGTTTATCATTTCTTAGACATTACACACCAGAGAAAGCTCCAAAATTATCAGAAAGAAAATTGATTGGAGAGGCATCATTTTCAACACTTCTGGAAGACAAGCAACAGAACTGAAAGGTGTGCATCTGACATTGTGGCTGCAGGGTCCAGGCTGTTAACCCACCTGCACCTCATGATGCAGAACAGTTCATCTCCTGCCAGAGCCTGCAAAATTGCCTCGGTGCAGCTCAGCACTGACTGCCAGTTCTCCTCCCAGGCAGCACTACAAAGGTACTGGGCATGAGCTGCAGCTCAGGAGCCAGCCCCTAGGTATGGCCCTTCCCCTGACCTCACGCTTCCCTCTCAGCATCCTCCTGCAGAGCTGTAAACATCACAGCTGGCAGCTCACTTTACACTTTAGCCCCATCTCTACATAAGCTGAGAGAAACAACAGAAGGAGAGAAACAAAGCAGTACAGACAGCTGAGCTTGGTGTGAACTTCATTATAAAACCTGCTTGCTTAGTACAGATGGCAGCACTGAAAGCTGAGACTTATTTCTCCTCTAAGACTTGAAACATGCGTCACAGTCCAGGGTTTTTGCCTGTCAGTTGCTTTGGACAGCACTTTGTGTATGCATAGAAGAATATTTCCTAGCTCAGTACTGAAGAAACCAATCTGGGAATTCAGAGCACTTATTGCCACCCCCACCCCCCCATAGGAACACACTGCTGATTAGGAAAGCACTTACGCTGACTAAACAGAAAATGAGCAAGTGCTCCAAATGCTTTCCTGAATCAGGGCCTCACAAAGCAGTGGGAACAGCCACAGCAGATTCCACACCAAACCAAACCCAAGCAGGCAGGTCGCTTACTTTGCCAGCATCCAGCCTGCTGTCAGCTTTCACATCAGCTGCTTCCTCCCTCATTTCATTTACTATATTTTCATCAGCAGACACGGTGTCAACGGTGACAGCCAGGCTTGCCAGCTGATCTGCTTCAGCAGCTTCAGCATCTGGAGATGCAGTTCGAGGTTGCCCAGGACTGCTGGGCACGTCTGTCCCTGCTGCTCTACCTTCCTCCAGAGACTGTGGCAGCTCATCAGCTGCAGAGACGTCACCTTGCACCTCAGCAGCTTTCTCACCCAGTCCTTCATTCCCAGTGAGTTTCTCATCAGATTCCTCTTTGTTCTGGTCAGACAGCCTACAGTGAGCATCTCCAGAAAGGGTTTTAACTGGAGTTGGAGGACACGCATCACCAGAATCCAAGGAAGACTCTTCTTCAGCATGTCTTGATTTTAAAGACTCCTTCTAGGCAGTAAGTCAAACACAGTTATAGCTATAACATTTTTTACTCTCTCTCTGGGAGGATACTGGGTGAAAACAACACCAGTATCAACCAGTAACAACACCAGAAAACAACGCTGGGTTCTCCTACAGCAAGCAAGCAAAAAAAAGAATCACAAAGCTTTGGGTGACTTCAGCAAGACCAGCTTGGTTTTATTTTCATACACTAAGGAACACTAAGATAAACTCATTCATTTCCTGGGGCTGAGATTACCCCACTGCTTTTGTAATCACGAGTAGCTAAGTGTGAGCAGTGGCTGCTGTAGGGACCATCAGACCCTGGGAGCTCTGCAGAAGGCTTTTATATTAAGTCTGATTGATGAGAGGTGGAAGTTTGCAAGAAATTTAGCACAAAATAACTAGAAAAGGGCAGGCAGAATGCAGCCTCCCCACTTCCCAGTGGGACAAGCTGAGTGCAGGCACTGATTTAAGCAGCCACTGTAGTCCCAGTTTGGTTCAGAACTCAACTAAGATATTAGACTGAGAAATGTGTTTTTCCCACTGGCCTTGGGAAAAACAATCCCAAGCAAGAACTCAGTCACCCAAAGGTTCAGCTGCATCTCCCAGAGGTGGGGAGGCTCACAAAACTCACAACAAATAGCATGATAGCCAGGAGAAAGCAGGAAAAGGTTCCCTCGTCGGCATGCAAACAAAACTGCTTGCACTTCCTACTTTCTTGCTGTTTTATTAATGCTGTGCTATCTTGTCAAACATTAGCTGCATCCTGCGTACAGTGTGTACCATACAGACTGCATATTTTAATGATGTGTTTTTATCAAAGCGCAACTGGAATGCTGTCAGTTTTGAACACGGAGCTGCAGCAAACTGGAAGGCTGTCTTGGGCACATCATTTGTCTGAGAGACCTTCTCAGGGCTGAGAGAGTCATCAATCAGACCAGAGGGGAGGACAGAGAAATCAAATCACTGGGTACTTTCCAAAAAAACTACAGTTCAGAGCCTCACCTGCAATCTGCCAAGTAATAAATGAAAGCTTATGGCCTGTTTCCAGTTCAGTGCCTGGTTAGCAGAGGTTCACAAACACCACTGAATCACTAGCCAGCCACAGGAGGCTCTTCAAAGGCCTGGCTAACATCTCTGTGCCAGACCCAGAAAAATGTACATGGTGGTGCCATTTCTTTAGTGATACTCCAGCGGGCCCATCTTCACGATGCTTCCTTTTATCTGGGGATAAGAGCATCTGGGACGAGTCGCTAGATGTGCTTCTGTTTGGACAGATTTGGTTTGCAGTTTTCATGAGAGCCTTTCCCCAGGACATCTGATAATGTCCAAGAAAAGATGTGCCAGATGAGACCAACCAGGATTCTTAGGCTTATAAACCATAAACAGATCTTTCCCTTTGGGGAGCACATACAACAACATACAGATGTATCCACAGATACACTGCACACACAAAAACCTCTCTCCAATAAAATTTACCTCAGTTACTAGAACATCCCAGAATAATTTCTTTACCTGGTAGAATCCTATTTTAAGGACAGATACAGAAGATTTTTGTTAACGTTACACCTTAATGATGACAAGTGTAGCTCTCCAGAATAGGAAACTACGACACTCAGACACACAGGTGGAAGAGGAGGGAGGCTTTCCTTGTGTAAAAAAGAGACCATGGATTTGCTACAGATTTTGGGGCTAGGAAGAGCCATCCAGATTATAATTGGCTTTAGCTGATCTTCTCACAAGCTGTAACACATTTCACCTGCAGCTGAGTGACACTAACTAACATGGAATTTCTGCCTATCAAACACATTATCTCCAGACTTCCCAGTGATCAGCATAACTGGAGGAAAACAAATAGGGAAAAAAAAAAACAGCAACCCACATTGATACCAGTGGGATCAGGTTTTTGGAAAAGCATCCAATCCAGGGATGAAAAATCTGTGCAGACAGCAGCCAACAAAACTGCATCTTATTCATCTCCCAAAACAGGATGACTATGCCACTTTGGATTTTAACAGCTTGAACATGAGAGATTACAACAAAAACCTTCACAATCCTTCTATCTGTAAAAGAGAGGGAAGAAAACAAACCACCTCATACTGCATAGAGAATTCCTCTGCAGGCTGAACATGCTCCCCTTTTGCTTCCTGATTTCAGGTTGGTCCCAGGCAGAGAAGAACAGAGTGGGGTAGGTCTGGCAGCATCTGGAAAGCATTTGCTCTTAGGTTTACACCTCTTCCCCTACACGTAATACTTCAAGCAGCAAAAAAACAAGCTAAGAAACAAGCTAAGCAACAATCAGATCCACACCACAACACTGGAAGCAGCAAGCAAAGCTCTGTGACATCATGCAAGCAGGGCTGCAACGTCAGAGCCACTCATCACCTCTCTCAGACTGCCAGCTTCCTCCATGGGACTCCTCTGGTCCTGGAGATGAGCTTCAGTGACATCAGCCACGTGACCACCATAGTTCTCCTCCTCTGCTTTGCTGTTATCCTAGTGAATGGGGTAACATCTGCTAGCCAATACTCACACAGCACCCTTCTGAGCTGTTGGGGTCCTCTACCTGTGACAATCTGAGTAAGAACTGAGCACAGCACTCTTCACTGTGCTTCCCCAGGACGTGAAGGAGCAAAGCTGTGACACATCTGTCATCCCTCCCCTTTAACCAGCCATCGAGGCACTGATATTTTATGGATGTCCTTGGAACTAGCAAGACTGCTGCCTGTGTATACATCTCTGCAATAACATGTACGCTGTACTGCATAATGTTTATTTACAGAGAGAGATCCCTTTCACACATCTCCATCTGCTAAGAGAGCTTTGCATGTTAATCCCCCATCACATAAAGGTCCCCCTTGACTCCAATTGTTTACCCAGAGATTGACCTGTACAGAAGGCGAAGCAATAAGGCTTCCCAAGCTGCAAGCACAGCAACCTGTGGATTACTCCTGCTGTCATGGGACCCTCAATCCAGACGCCAGAGGTGGTTCCAGGGCTTTTCCTCCTCTTGTCCCTTTCAGGAGTATCCCTGAACCTCAGCACATCACTACACTCTCACACTTCTTTTCTTTGAACATGGATATTCAGCCCTGATCCACAGATTTCATGAAACCAGCTGTTTTCACCCCATCACTTCCTAGATTCACCTTCCACAGAGCTTGATTTATGAATTCTTTCCTTCTTTCCATTTTGGAACAAAGCTGGAGAGATGGGATGCAGGATAAGAGCTCACTCATAGGAACGTTTTTCTACTGCCCTCTCATGGAGCTACAAGTGAATTATATTTTCCATGGAGCACTAACATTTTATCAGGGCTGAGATATCACCAATCTGAGTTACTAGCTATTGAGACACAGCCTGGCTGTTGGGCAGCAATTGCCATTTTATAATAGATTCCTGAAGCCTTGCCATGTCACTGAAATGCCAAGACAACCCTTTGCTCCTGGACACATTAACATTTCAGTGACGAATTGGGCTCTGACAGGCTTCTTGTTTGGAGATGAGAGAGTTGAAGCCTTTTTGTTCTGTTTTTTGGGTTGTTTTTTTTTTTTTTTGCATCCACTTTATTACAAACATTTGCAGTTCCTGTCCAGCTCTATGAATGAATTCTCCAAATTAGTTTACAGCTTCATTTTCTGTACACTGTGAAAAGGAGGGGGGAAATAGTAAAAACGTTTTAACAGAAATTAATTTGCCTTTCAATTGCTGGAACAGAATTTTCAAAGTGCTAAGAAAGGATTAACGTCAGCGCAGACAGACTGAATCACTAGAGCTGCTTGCAACGCACTTCACATTGTCCCTTTGTCATCTTAAGCCTGATCATTGCTAAGAAAGTGCTGGCAAAGAATGCACACCCGCAGGGAAAGCAAAATGTCTGCACAAGGCAACGCGTGTACTGAACTCATTGCTGATGCTGAGAGTCTGAGCAATGTAATTTATCAGCAGTGCAAGATACAAAATGAGTTTTATGTTGCCACACACAGAAAAAACTGCCGTATCCAGTCCACAATGAAGTTCCTAAGAGATTCTTATGGAAATGAATGACAATGTGAGGATGGTGTCTCCAGACTAAATTCCCTCTCCAATCTCCAAATGACAATGCTGCCATTTCTGCTGAGAATAAGCCTTCCTTCTGCACTGACTGAGAAAAAAAAAAACAAAACGAGGAAACAAACCATGCCTCTTCCTCATCAACCCTTCCTCCCACAGCATCAGCAGTGGCACCACTCAGATTTGAGACTCTCTTCTTTCTGTCATTTCTTGAAAGAAATGACTTCTGCCTTGCCTGTCACACCTATGTTGCTTTAAGTTTCTCTTTCTTCACTCATCAGGAATTCAAGCTCCACCTCACGCTCAGGTGCTGTCAAATCAAATGCTATCTATCAGATTGGAAAGCACTCTCCTTCAAGGACAAATCTACCTTCTGATACTCTCTGTAGAGGGGCAGTGATGTGGGTATCTAGCTTCTCATATATGCTGCCCTCCCAACCCTGCTGTTGCGCATTCCTCTTCATCAGCCCTGATGTAGGTTGTTATTTCTCATGAATTACAAACAGTTCTTCAGGTACTGTTCCTGGGCTCTCACTCCTGCAGCCCACACACAGGCAGTGCAGTGCCATAGCTTCTCTTCTATTTGGGCAGTTCTACATTACCTGTTTCATCATGCCTTTCTTACCTCAGATTCAAAGCTGCATCCCAGGGCACTGACATCCATGTGCAGGTTTTTGAAGAGTCTTGTTGTCCTATGGAGACTCTAGATGTATTCAAAAAAGGAAATGGCCAAAATTGAGTTCAAATCTCTGCAATGCCATAGGCTGTGCAGAAGAAACTCAAGGGTCCGTAATTCATGGAAATAAGGGAGCAGAGCCAGAGTAACAAACCACAACAATAAGCTTACAGTCAATTCACTCTGGAAATGCAGGGGACAGATGTGGATTTACAGAGGGTGCAAAACAGGAGTAGACACTTTTTGGCAACTAAGAGATACAGGAAGTGCAGTGCAAATTGAAGCCTGAAGTCAAACTGAATCACCACAGTCTATCAGCCATTACTGGAGTAGTATCATAGTTTTCTACTCCTTGAGGCTTCAAGCACTGTGGTTACTGACACATATGAGGAGCCAATACACGCCAGCTACCTCATTCTCACTTCCTCTTCACTTCTCCCTTTATCCACAGCTATTGTGTATAAAGAACTCTTCACAAATCAATCCCAGCAACTTCTTGGTCTCACTAGTGGGCTTACAGATTGTGAAGTTAAAAAGAAAGGGAAATCAGAGGACAGGCAAAGCAACAGGGGAGGTATGAACCCACTGAAGCAGACAATAGAAAGGACGTTTTTGAATTCTGAGAACTTGCTCAGGATGATGCTGCTACCCTTATAGAGCCATATCCAGCTAGGAGATAACATTTCTTATGAAATTTCACTTTTCTTTACAAAAAAAGAGGTTCCCATCCAAAAGAAGCACACCTGCAAAATCTATCTGTGCCTCAGAACACAGATTCAGTCAATACTGTGGCAGATGTTTTGTTTGTATCACTTTTATTAAAGGAATATCATTTATTAGTTTACACTACCTGTACAGTATATCATGCTTCATTTGGGTAGAAATCAAAGCTCACTTCAAATCAACAGTTTTTCAACTGCTGAAAATATTCTTTCAAGCTGCTAAAGAAATAACATTTATCATTGAACCCCCTAGAAACAGCCAAAGACAAGAAACATAGTGGAACAATAGAAGTATTTCAGTCCAAAGCATTTCAAAACAGAGGAGAGGTCACAAACACTGTCTTTGAAATGTTTAAGTAACACCAAACCTGTGACCTCTTGCACAGACTGCTTTTCTGGGCGCGCTTCCAGAGGAAACAATCTCACCTGAGCTTCTCCTCTGTCTGCAACACCAGAGTCCACAGAGCTCCCCATGTCCGAGTGCAGTGAGCCACGCAGGATGCCAGCTGGAGAAGCCACAGGGCCACGCAGAGGAGCAAGATTCCCCAGGGGCACCTGCACAGGTGCTAGCAGGGTGCCTGAAGGCTAGAGGATGTGAGAAAAGAACATGAGCTCACAGCTTACACTTGTTTCAGAAGGTACTCCCCAGTGCAAACACTGTCAGCTAGCATGAAACCTACCATCAAGAAATTGTTCTTGAGAGCTAACACCAAACAATTACCAGCAAATGACATGTGTAGGAAACAGCAGATTGATTTACTCATCTGTTTCAACTTCTGAAGACCCATCTGAATACAGTGATTGAGTTTACAGCAGCAAGATGATCCAGAAAACAAATGACCATTATTCCAAAGTGGAAGCAAGAGCATAACAACAGTCACACTAACTCACACACCCACATGCACAGTACCCTCTAAGGGAGGCTCTTACAAGCACACTACCCTATGCAAATTGGGTAGCTTCCCTCCTTGCTTTGCCCTGCTACTCAGCACTGCATGAAAGAAGGAGAATCCAGCACCAACAAAGTCTCTTACTTTCTACAAGCTGCAATTAACATCTCTAGACAGAAATCCAGGCTGCTTCCTTACCTTACACCAGTGTACTTTTTCAGTAGTACTGAAAGTGGAAAGCAGTTCTGCTGCAGCACATCAGTAAGAAGCTCCTGAATATATCTTTACCTTTCAAAGCACATCAAGAGCCCTGGGAACCACCCAACATCCTCACCTCTGAACAATGCAAGCTTGACATTTCAAGTTATCTCCACTGAGAAACGCGACTGTTCTGTTTTACTTTGTGGAATTCAATGCCCAAGAAGTCTCACCCTTGATACACTGCACCAGTTAAATTTGAAGCAAGTGTACTCTAGGGTTTTCTCTACAGCGTGCCAGTATGGCCAAGTGCTGTTGCTTCAGCAGGGCACATGCTTATTCATAAATCACAGTCCTGGTACTCAGTGTTTAAACAAAATTACAGACTGAAAACAGAGTTAATTCACTTGCACACTGAGGGACAGGGAGATGGAGATGAATGCACACTGATCCTTCTTCCACCAACTCAGTGCCACATCAATGGTAACAGTACAAATAATGTATTCTGGGCTTACCTAATTATTTTCTGCAGATGGCCATTAACTATGCATGTGGAGCAGTAGACACTAGTTGTCCTTCAGCAAAGATAAACTCACTTCCAGTGGGCTAATTAAAACTTCTTGGATAATCTGCAGTTTATCTGATATTTATAGGTATAGTTATTATCAGCTGAGCACTACCACTTGCTGTTAATTAGAAATCTGAGCTACAATTTGGTGGAGGCACAACTGGGTACCTGCAGTAGTACAGCAAAGCAACTCATTACCACTACACACAGTGACCTTTTAGTTCCGGGGCAAGTTTTGCTTTGTTTTCAGAACAAGAGATTTGCTAAGTTCTTATTAAATGGAGGCAATTACTTAAGGACAAAGAAAAAACAACCTGAAATGTTCTTCCCAGGGAAAGGGGGGCTCTATGAGTTGAAGACTGCAAGAAATATTCCATAGCACTGATGTACAGACAGTGACAGAGAGCAGCACCTACCTTTTCTACTTCCCACTTCTCCACTTTCTACCACTGCTGCAAGCTGAGTGCCACCTTTACAGATCAATGCCTTTTCTAGCAGCATTTTTGGGGTGTTCAGTATTCAAAGAGGAAGAAGAAAGTTACATTTACAGAGGGCCCCATCACACCTGTACACCTTCTTGGTGTCCTAAGACCACTGCAACTGATCAAAGGACCAGAGTGTGTTAAGTCACACTGCCTGAAAAACAATGATCTGGAACCAATGGGAGTAATACTTCTATTTAAGGAAAGAGAATTCATTCAAACATTTTCCTATTTTTCTCATGTAAGAGGGAAGAGAGTCCATTTGTCTACATAGTAGACATGTATGTAGCTTTGCCTTACTGCTTCTATAACATCTTAACCAACACATTCACTCTGGGCCTTGTTAACCTTAAAAAAGCTTATTTCACCCTCAATTTAGACTGCGGGTTTTAGAGGGAAAAGATTGACTTCTCCTGTACTTACTACAAAGGATCTTAGAGCCAAAATTAAAGACTACTTTGTAGAGAATGCTGCAATCCTTTTGCATTCCCTGCCAATCACCTCTTTATTTCTTTTAGAAGACACCTCCCCTAACATAAAACTAATTTGAGAGGAAGTTTTGCAGTCTGTCACACTTCCTTATACAACTTCTAACAGGATGCCTTCTCCCTTTGCTCCTGAAAGTTAGCTACAATGTGTGGTTTCAATCTCAATTCTCAAGATTCATGAGATCACAAGTGCCATCACAAAGGATGAAGTCCTACCTTATTTTCACCTGTTCCTTCACCAACCTCTATTTTGCTGTAATTCTCAGCAGTTTTTCCGGTCTGGGTCACCCTCACTTCTGTGTGCTGACAGAGACTGTTGCTTCCTTGGCCGTCAGCCATCTGATAGAGACACTCAGGAGGAACACATGAGTCTTTTGTGCCTCCATCCTCCCACACTCTAGGATCCTGATCTGTCCTTCCATTTCCTTTCTTCATTTCTTTCTGTCCTTCAGTAGCACCATCAGAATCCTGGACAGTGAGTTTCTCACAGGAATCCACCACAAACATAACACATTCAGATTCTAAGCTGGCACTTTCTTTATATTCCTGCAGCATATGGAACAGTTTCATATTCTTGGAGCTACGTTCCCTCTCTGATTTTTGGGCAGGACTGTGTATCTGAGACATGGGTGATTTCAGGAAGGCATAAGGCAGCATAGGCTTTTCTGTGAAAAAGTACAGGTCCTTTGGGCTTCCAGACTCACAGTGTGGAGAGGAGAACTGATGGCTCACTCCCAGTATCTGGGGTGTATCAACACTACGAGAACTGTCCCAATCACTGCTGTCCCAATCTGACATCGAATCACCTCTTTCTTCACCTTCTCCACAGCCATCTTTGACAGATGGAGAAACACGTTTTGACATATGATGGTACACATTAATTTCCCCCTTTGCCTCTATTCCTTGCAAGCAGGGTTGCACACCCATGATCTCTTGAGGAACTGTGGATGGGTTCTCTGGTATACCACTGATATCGTCTGCTTTCATGTCTGCTCCTAGTTCCATTAGCTCCATTTGCTTTGAATCCTGTCTCTCAGGTCTGCTGATGCTCTCATTATTCTTGCAAAGAATGACAGCTTGACCCAAAGCCTCATCCTGAACTTCTCTCTTATTTCTACTCTGAGATACTCTGCTGTCAAGCCTTACCTGTTCTTGAACATACGAAGCATCAACCATCTCCTGCAAATTCCAGTCACCCACGGGACTGGAATCAAAGAGAGTCATGTCATGGTTCCTTCTTCCTTCTCTGGCTTGCAATAAACTTGGTTTTCTTTTCATATTCCCAACAGAGTTGAAACGAACATTTTCTTGTACTTCCAAAGGTATATCTTGGCCCTGGTGGATGTATACATCAAAGCTGCTGAAAGGTGGGCTGCCTTCTACAGTTTTCACATCAGTTAAGGCTTGGCATGGCCTGTTGAATGCTGATACAAGTGCGGGATGCAGTTTGTTTGGCCCCATGCCTGCAAATTGTCTCCATGAATCATTTATGTGTGACGGACTCCCTCTGCCTTCATTTCTAATCTGGCTATCTGGTTCTGGCTCAGGATTCTCCTGCCCAAGGGACAGAACGGCACAGGGTATATGACAAAAGGATGTTGAAAGAAGAATCCCTCACTGCATTTCCTAACTGCATAAATATTAGCAAATAACTGAAACATATCACATATCTATATATATACAAACCCTTATTTAAAGTACAGATTTATATGTAATGAATATGTCACATATATAAATCGGTGTGCAAACCTTGGAGCACTTGAAGTGATTTGTATGTGTATAAAAGAAAGATAATCATATTAAAGGCTGAGGTTAAAGATGCCTATGCCTTTAGTGGCAACACAAAACACTCTTTCCCCACTGATATTTACCTCTTTACAGGCTAATGGAAGGAAGGCAGGAATGAATTCCATCACTTAGAATTCTAAAGGGCATTTGGCTATGCTTCTAGCTACAAAAAGCATAGCGACCAGCCTCACCTGCGTTCCACGTGTGGATATTACAGCAACGAGCACAGACACCCTCTACTGTCTTCTCCAAAAGAAAATCCCTCCAGCACACAAAGTGTAGTCCAGTTTCCCTCCCTCTCTCCACAAAACTGCAAAATGATAAATGCTCTCTGCCCTAATGAGAGTATGTCATAAACAAGCAACAAACTCAGGTCCAGAGCTCAACATGATGATGATGATGATTATTATTTTTTTTTTTACTTTTCCTTAAGAATGGTCAATATCCACAGAACCAGCCACCTTGGCCCAGGTGCCTTTTCATCAATAGCATCCCAGGGCTGTGAAAGAGCCAGTTAAGGTGTGCACCTCTGGGCGTGTGATCCCATTTCCCTTGGATTTTCATTCAGACTCATAGCCTGACAGGATCCCCAGTCAAGTAATTGCTCTTCCTATCCCAAAGCAGCAACAGTACAGCATTACCCCCTAATTCACAGCCACTCATCCTCAGCCAGCCTTCTTGCTCCTCCCCAGAATCACTGCATGCAGCAGAGCCTACTTACAGCATGTTGCTTTGGTTGCTTATCCTTCTTGTCTTTCTTATCTTTTTTGTCTTTCTTCTTCTTTTCTTTCTTTTTCAAGCTGCCACGTGCCAGCAGCTTCCTCCGTTCCTGAGCAACCAGTTCTCTATAATAGTCATCACAGGGGTGGTCCCACATGGACTGGCCGTTGTTGAAGTTGAAATAGTAGATATCACCAGTGACATCCTGGCTGTGTGGCAAAAACAGTGTGAGAACACAACAGCAACTTTAGCTCTGCACAGACATGGTCTCACTCAAGGGCTTTCAAAGGCTCTAAAAACATTCTTACTGCACCACACGATCACCTCACATTCACTGAACAGCAGTACAAGGCCTCCAAGAACCCAGAGGCTTCAGTGTGGTGAAGAAGCCCTCTTTGAGAATGCTCACATCTTCATTCAGCTTGTGAAACCTTTTTCCTCTTCTTCAACCGCCCCAAAAAGAACCCAGGAAGTACCTGTGTATATTTTTTCCCCTTGCCAGCTGATACCCTGCTCTGACAATCATAAACACAGCAGAGAAGGCCAGCAATCTTATAAACCAGCTTCTAAGAGGGTTCTCTCACCAGGGTTTCCACTGGGGTGGTAACGGGGCCACAATGCCTTCCCTGGCCAGCCACATCAGCTCAGGCTCCTCCTCTGGGTCAATGCCGATGTCTTTTGCAAAATCCCGGATTTCTAGGGAAACAGAACAGGAATCTGTAGAGATGGTCTACACAAAGCCAGCTTCAACAGCTAAAGCAATGGACACAATGGGAAATCCCACTACTCAAAACTGTCCAAACAGATCTGTGTGTCAGCGAACACGTCAGCATGTGTTCCCGGCTGGTGAAGCAGAGGGACAGAGATTGCAAGATGGCAAATACCCTTGCAATCAAAAAGCTATTTTTTCAACTCTACATGACATCTCCTTTTATCCACTTTTCTGAATCATGCTCTCCCCAGTTTCCATTTTCTTAATGCTCCTTGAAATAATACAGCAAGCTTGAATTGCTTATTGCAGCTCCTAGAAGGATGAGCATCTATTACCTTGCTCACTGGGAACATATGTCTCATCATAATCTTCTTCCAGTATGATCTGGTCACCAATGCGTACGACACCTCCTTCCATGGCTCCCTGCACCTGCCAGCAGGAAGGAAACAACGTAAAAATCACATGGAGCAACTGCAGCCAGACAGAAACAAAACTTCCCATCACACAGTGCATGGCAGAGAAACTCAGCACTGGAACCATGGAGGAGAACAAGGTGCACTGGGGGTCACCAAGCATGGATGCAGACTGAGAACAAAGCGGTAAGGCAGCCAGAAACTGAAACCCCCCAAGCCAAGGGGGAATAAAATACCACAGTTGGCCACAACACTGCCAGCTCAAGGCACCCCGCAGACAGGAAGACAAGGTAGGCACAGCTCTGCCCTGCTCACAGCACTCCCCCGCTGCAGCACTGATCAAAGACCTGAGGCTGATGCTGACAGAGAGGTTTGAGTCCCCCAGGCTTTCCAGCACCTACAGAGGAAACAAGCCCTGGCTTTTGGCACTTCTTAGACAGATAAGGGAAAGCTGAATAAGAGATCGTAAGAAGAAAGAGTTTTCCCAGACCGCAGAATTGCTTTTGAGAAATCCCTGGGCTGAATCTGCTCTGCCTAGGGACAAACCAGCTTCTCTCAGCAACCCAATTGGCCTCTCCCATGTTCCCAGGGGGCATTTTGAAAGCTAAAAGTAGATCTTAATTTACCATGCCCCATCTCTAACCTCCGGAGGATCGTGTCAGTATTTAACTTAAACTCCACAGACAGAGATTTGAGGCCGTGCTCCTTCAGAGCCCATCACCACGAGCTCAGCAGACTGCAGCACTGACTCTCACACGAACGGTCTCAGCCAACAGCTGAGTTTCCAGTGCCCCCTGCTCACCCCACGCCCACAGCAGAGTGAGGCCCAAAGACAGCAATTCAGCTCCAGACACAGCCGCCAGGACCAGCCTACCTGCTCTTCTTCCTCCCCCCCGTACCCACACGCAGATAATTACCGCGTTCGTGCAGCCGCAGCGGCCCAGAAGCAGGGGCACGCAAAGCTAGCAGAGAAGGAACCTTTTCTGAGCAGATAGAAGCATTGGAGCTGTAGGAGGGCTCAGCAGGCCGAGGCCCGCCCCGAAGCCGCTGTCATTCTCACCCTTCGCTCGGTCCCAACGGGCGCTCATCGGGCCGGGCCCCGCCGCGCCGCCGCTTCCATGGACGCCCACGGGTTGCCCGGGTCCGCGCAGCAACCACATCCGGGTCACAACGCCCTCATCGGCCCGCCCTCCGCCGAGCGCTATTGGTCAGCGCTGTCACCACCCGGCTCTCGATTGGCTGAGGGGCGGTGGCGCGCGCAGAGCACGCCGGGAACTGTAGTTCGGGGGGAAAAACGGGGGGCGCCGCCGCGCGTTGCCATGGCGACGCGACCCCGGGGCTCAGCTGGGCCCGGCCCGAGAGCGGGACGCTGCGGGGCGTTGCGGGGCATTGCGGGGCGCTGCAGGGCGCCGCGGGGGCCGGGCCGGCATCCCAGCGCTTCCGCCGGCGGGCGGGGCGACGGCAGCGCGGCCGGGCGCAGGGGCGGGGAGCGCCGAGCCGCCATGCCCGCCGCCCCGCTCGGCCCCGCGCCGCCTGCCCGCCCCGGCGCGGCCGCCCGGCCGAGGCGCGGGGCGCTGCGGGCCCGCTAGGGGCGATCCGGGCACGGGGCCGCGGCCATGGCTGCCTCCGCCTGGCCCTGCCTGCTGCTGTGCCTCGGGGCCGCGGCCTTGAGCGCCGGTCCGGCCCCGCCGAGCATCCGCCTGCCGCTGCGGGGGGGATCGGCCCCGCCGCCGGGCGCCAGGGCGAGGAGGGCGCCGGACGAGGCGGAAAGGAGGAGCGCCTTCGTGGAGATGATCGATAACCTGCGGGGCAAATCCGGGCAGGGCTACTATGTGGAGATGACGGTGGGCAGCCCCCCGCAGAAGGTGAGGGAGAGGCGCGGGGCCGCACCGCCGCCACCCCCCTGGTGGCTCCGGGGGTCCGCGGGGTCGGCACGGTGTGCGGTGAGTGCCGTCCAGCGGGACGGTCGGCCCGGCAGGACCTTGAGGGCCTCCTGAAACGCGTGGAGGTCTGGATTTGTTCGAGCACAGGGCCGGGATCCTGTGCTGCTGCCGCCCACGGTGTAGGTTGGCTCTGCCAAAACTCTGTGCCCACGGTGGTTCTGAAATAGCAGCTGGCTTTGCTACGTGCACCTCCAGCATGATCTGCCTCCTTCCTCGGGTGCCTGGTGGGTATTGCACGGGTGGGGGGAGCAGCCAAAGGGGAGAAGAGAAGCACAGTCAGGGGGGGTTCATACAACCACGTTTGCTCACAATCAACAAAATGTTGCTTGTGGGAGTGGTCTGATAGTGACAGGACAAGGGAGAATGGCTTTAAGCTAAAAGAGGGGAGATATGGGTTAGATGTGAGGGAGCAATCCTTTTGTCAGAGGGCGGTGAGGCGCTGGCAGTGACATTGGTCTGCTTGGGTTTCCTGGGTCAGCAGAAGCACTGCTTTATGCCTGGTGCCAGGGCAGCAGGAATTGGGAAATGTGCCCTGAAATGGGAAACACGGCCCCAGAAATGGGAAATAAACCCCGAATTGGGGTAATGAACCCTAAAATGGTAGGACAGGGGGGAATGGCTGACAGGATAGTGAGGGGATGGCTTGAAATGATAAGAGGGGAGATGTGAGTTATTTGTGAGGGTGCTGAGGCACTGGCACTGCTGCCCAGAGCTGTGGGTGCCCCATCCTTGCAGGCACTCAAGGCCAGGTGGGATGGGGCCCTGGGCAGCCTGAGCTGGTGGGGGGCAGCCCTGCCCATGGCCGGGGGTGGCTCTGGGTGGGCTTTGAGCTCCCCTCCAACCTGAGCCATACTATGACTCTATGAATTGTGTGTCTTGAGACAGCTTTGTGTTAATTCGTGTGTGTTTAGGATGTATTTTTCTGCTCAGGCAGGGTATGTTTATGGGAAAAAAAAAAAAAAAAAAAAGGAGATTATTTCTAAAATTTATCTCTAAATGTGATTTCATCATCCAGCCCTGCTGGAGCTTTTGCTTGGAACATGCCATGTGTCACAGCTGCCAAATAATTTCAGTGAGAACCACCTGTTTCCAGGCACTCGTGGATTTCTGAAGCTGTCACCCTTTTGGGAAGCATCTTCCAGCCTTGGAGTGCTTCCAAGTGTGGATGCAGTGTGTGTGCATATGCATGCGTGTGTGCATGTTTGTGTGCCGGAGCAAAATCCCTCCAGGCATTTTAATGGAATTAAAAGATTCACATGAAAGGCTAAGTTGATGCATACACAGGAAATTGGGGAGCGTGGCAGGTGTTTATCTGGGAGGATGCGTGCGTCCGCTTCAGAGGTACACATGCAGCCCAACGTGGTCTCACTGCCAGCCCCTCGCTCTCCTTGGCTTTCACCTTCTTTGTTGTGCTGTGCTTGAATTTTGGCTGTGAGCTGGGCTGCACTGCGCAGTCACTACCAACAATTAATCGCTCTCGCACCCCCCCGGCTCTCAGCGCGCCTGTGCCACCAGCGCTGATTCACCCGGACAGCAGGAGGAGGTGGGAGCAGAGCAGCCCAAGCCAGCACTCTGGGACAGATGGCAGAGGCTCGGTGCCACCTCTGTGTGCTTGTCCCCCCACGACCCCACTCTCGTGTGCAGTGTGGAGGCAGTGCTTCTGCCAAGCGCCCAGAGGGGCTGTCACATCCAGGGAGCTGCAGACGGGCTTCAGAAAGCATCCCTGCCACACATGTCCCAGCCTCACCGCTGCACGTGTCGTGTCCTGGCCTGAGACAAGGGCTGGGCTGTGCCTGGAGGAAGTGGGGCCAATGCACGTGGCAGCGAACTCGAGGCAGCAGAGCGTAGCCTGCAGGGCAGAAACCCCACCCTTGTCTCCCACTGTCACTGGTGCAAAACACTGCACATGCCACGCAAGGAAGAGCCCAGTAGGCAGTTCTGGGACTGTCTGAACGTCCAAGGGCTTGGTGCAGGTCCTGGGCAGCTGCAGGTTTCCTCATCTTCCTAACACAGTTGTTCTTGACAACGTGGCCTCCAGAGCTCCTTCCAGGCCTCCTTCCTGCTGCCTGTGTCCTCTCCCTGCAGTGTCAGCTCAGCAGGTATCTCTCCAGGGAAAGCCATCCTCACCAGGTACCCTGGAGATCAGCAGCAAGGCGGTGTGCAGCAGATGGCTAATGAATGCTCCAGCAGCCACCCTGGGAATGGCAGAGCTGTGGTTGCCTGGGGAAGGCTCCAGGCACTCCTCTGAGCAAGGCATGCAGCGGGGTGAGCATGGTGCTCCACTTCCTACCTGGAGCTGAAGGTCTCCTTGGCGAAAAGCCTGCCTGTGTCACGGTGTGGAGGATGCAGGACAGCCACCAGGGTCGGTGCAGGAGAGCTGGGCACCAAGGTGGGCCAAGGCAGTGGTTGCCGAGTTTGTGCTGTGTGCAGGGAGCCGTTGCCCATAGTTCATTGAAGAAATTCTGCAGGTGGTAGCCAAGCACCAGTGCGATTAGCACAAGCGCATTAACTTCCTTCCTCCCCGAATCCACAGCTTAAGGCCCACAGCCCTGGTAGATCACTTGTATGGGTGAGCAGCCCTATGGCTGCACAGCCCTCTGCAACCAGCGGTGTCCTGCCAGGCCCGGCTCCAGCAGGGCAGAGGGGCCACAAGCAGGGCTTGCCAGTGGCAGGACAGGGTTGGCCCACTCCTAGCCCGGCTGGTGGGGTGCTTGCCAAGCTCTGCCTGCAAGCTGCTAATCCAGGGCAAGGCAGAAATGAATCGGGAGCGGAGCTCAGCATATGGATGGCTGATTAGCGGACACAGCAATCCACAGCGGCTTGTGTACCATCAGTCCTTCCCACCAGCAAATTAGATTTCCTGGCAAGGGGGACCTGGAGACCTTGCCTTACTGCTGCACTCTCCCACACCGGTTGCAGGGGGCTGAGGTCATGCCGTGCTGAGCAGGGCAGGAGAGCTCATGCTGTGTTTGCATAGTGCCAGATGATGTTTGCTTTTTGTGCAACAGCCTGATGTTGCTGACTCCTGCTCCACCATCCCATCCTCTCTTGCACAACTGCCCTGAGCCATCCTTGTGCACAGCATCAGCAGGCCCCAGCAGCTGCTGAGCTGCAGCCTCCCTGCCCTACCCCTAACTGCCCCATTGCTGCTCCCACAGTCCCACAAGTGTGGCTGGCACACAGCCCTAGCCAGCAGGGCAGAACTAGGCTTACTGCTGAGATGAGGACCCAGAGCTGTGGGTCACTGGAGAACACAGCACAGCAGCCACCATGCAGAAAACACAGGGAAAAAGAAAGCATCACGTGCCTGCAATGCCATGCAGACCTTGGTACACAGTGCAGCCTGGGTTCTACTGCAGTCACAAACCTTCCTTGTCTCTTCCTTCTCCAGCTCAATATCCTGGTGGACACTGGGAGCAGTAATTTTGCTGTGGGAGCTGCACCTCACCCCTTTCTCCGGAGATATTACCAGCGGCAGCTGTGAGTATTCTGTGGGGACAGGCGCTGGGGGAAAACAGCACAGCCACTGGTCCTTGTGCCTGTGGCTCACTTCCAGTGATGGTGTGGTCTGTCTTACACTGGGTCTGGTCAGACATGGCCCTCAGTCTTGGGCTGGCACAGGTAATGCTGCTCAGCCTCAGGTAGGTCTGGATGGCCCCTTCTTGTGCCCGGAGAAGCAGGGGACCCCTCAGCTGCCAGTCTGCCATCCCACAATATTTAAGCAGCCCATATCTGTGCTGCTAGCTGTTTTGCATAGCGTACAACAGCTACGGTTGTCCCCTGTGTGCCCTATTACAGCCTCAACCCAGGCTGCAAGGCACTGTCCTTGTGCTTCACTGACCCTTTGTGGGTGCTCCAGCAACCGCACGGGCAGAGAAATGTAGTGTCCTCACACAGCCATGCTGACCACAGGCTGGGCAGGGCTGTGCACTCGCAGTGCTTGGTTATTATGCACGTGCTCTGACTGTCATCATCTCTTCTGCAGTGATTTTTCTCTCTTTGACACCATTCCAGGTCCAGCACGTATCGTGACCTGCGGAAGGGTGTGTATGTGCCCTACACCCAGGGCAAGTGGGAAGGGGAACTGGGCACTGACCTTGTCACTATCCCCCATGGCCCCAACGTCACTGTCAGAGCCAACATCGCTGCCATCACGGAGTCAGACAAATTCTTCATCAATGGCTCCAACTGGGAAGGGATCCTGGGGCTGGCCTATGCAGAGATTGCCCGGGTGAGTCCTGCTTGTAGCTGGGGGCCCACATCTGCCTGTACTGCATCCAGCTTCTCTCAGCAAACATAGGCATCGTGTCCCAGCACACCTTGCTCAAGGGATAGGAGTTAAATTTCCTCTCTCTGTAGCTCCATACAGTCCCAGTGGGCCCAAATAGGGTGTGCATTTGCACTACTGACCTTGAGCCCTGCCCCAACAGTGTACAGAGCCAGGATTCCTGGGGCACAGAGGGGACATCTGGGTGTCCTCCACTGACACATTCCTGTCCTGCCTCTGCTTTTCTCCAGCCTGACGATAGCCTGGAGCCCTTTTTTGATTCCCTGGTGAAGCAGACCCAGGTGCCCAACATCTTCTCCCTCCAGCTTTGTGGGGCAGGCTTCTCATCCAATGAGACGGAGACCTTGGCATCAGTGGGAGGCAGCATGGTGAGTGCTCTGGAGCAAGGAGCCAGCATGGCAGCAGGAGGCTGGGGATTCTCCACGTGGTTTTGGTGTTCCCATGGGCAGAGATGGCCATACAAAATATGCCCTGGCTGGAGATGGCAGCATGTGGTATCAGACACCTTTCTGTCCCCATTGCAGATCATTGGTGGCATCGACCGCTCGCTGTATGTGGGTGACATCTGGTACACACCCATCCGGAAGGAGTGGTACTACGAGGTCATCATTGTCAAGCTGGAGGTCAATGGGCAGGACCTGAACATGGACTGCAAAGAGGTGACAGGGGCACCAGAGGGACCTGCCCTGCAAGGGATTTGCTTTGTTGCTGAAAGCATCTATTCTTTGGTTACAGCTAAAATCACTTGAGTGTAGTGAATGCTGCCGGCCCTGGTGCCTGGGGATTCAGTGCCTGGTTGGTGATGGAGGCTGAGGGCACCGGGCAGCTTGGCCAAGGGTGAAGCTGAGATGAGCATGGGCTTTGAGTCCATCGCAATAGAAAGCAGGGGATGGGCTCAGCCTCAGTAGCTGTGCAGAGGGAGCCAGAGCAGTCAGGTGCTGGCATGGAAGGGAGCAGGGCTGGGATACCCCCTGGGTCATTCCTCCTCTCACTGTTCGCAGTACAACTATGACAAGAGTATCGTGGACAGCGGCACCACCAACCTCAGGCTGCCGAAGAAGGTGTTTGAGGCTGCAGTGAAATCCATCAAAACAGCTTCTTCGGTCAGTGTGGCCCTTGAAATTCATCCATCCATCCCTCCCTTCTGTGGGCACGTCCCCAGTGCCCAGTGGAGGGCTGTGGGCAGGGTGACTGCCTGTCACCAGCCTGAGCGTCTCTGCTCCCTGCCCACACAGACCCCTCATCTCTACTTTCCTTCTGGCAGACGGAAAAGTTCCCAGATGGCTTCTGGCTGGGGGAGCAGCTGGTTTGCTGGCAGGTCGGCACCACCCCCTGGCACATCTTCCCTATTCTGTCCCTCTACCTGATGGGGGAGGCCACCAACCAGTCCTTCCGGATCACCATCCTTCCCCAGGTGAGTGTTGGCCAGACCAGACCAGACCCTGCCCAGCACTGAGCAGGAGGCAGTCTGGGGCAGAGCTAACAGCTCTTCTCTCCATGCAGCAATACCTGCGCCCAGTGGAGGATGTGGCCACCTCTCAGGATGACTGCTACAAGTTTGCCATCTCTCAGTCCTCCACAGGCACTGTCATGGGTGCTGTTATCATGGAAGGTTTCTACGTGGTCTTCGACCGTGCCCGCAAGCGCATTGGCTTTGCTGTCAGTGCCTGCCACGGTAAGGGAGAGAAGGAATGCAAGAGGGAAGGAAGGCAGGGGGCTACGGGGAAGAGATGTGGATGTGCAGTGGTATCTCAGTGACCAGACGCTTGCCTTTAACCTGCCCACAGTGCACGATGAGTTTCGGACAGCAGCAGTGGAGGGGCCCTACCTGCACTCCAACATGGAGGACTGCGGATACAACATCCCACAGACGGATGAGTCCACCTTGATGACCATTGCTTATGTCATGGCAGCTATCTGCGCCCTGTTCATGCTGCCCCTCTGCCTCATGGTGTTCCAGTGGCGCTGCTTCCGCTGCCTGCGACGGGACCACGATGACTTTGCTGATGACATATCTTTGCTGAAGTGACACCGGAGCGTGGGGGCAGCCCCGGGACCGCAGGTGAGGCAGCAGGGTGAGGAGAGGTAGGTCCTTTCTTTGGAGGCTAGAGCATGGAGATAGGACATCAGCATAGGGTGCTCACACAGTCAGCCCAGGCTCTCCTGGCTGCGGGGACCCTGTGCCCTTTGAGTTAATGAGCCAGGAGCAACCCAGTACCAGGAGCAGAATGCCAGCACTGAGGCTCAAGTCCCAGGCTTGAGTTCCTGGGTCACCATCACCCAGGGCAGCATTTGCATAGCAAGACAGGAGAGGCAACACCAGCACTGGGGAGCAGGTGGAGACCAAGTCCCAGCAGCAGGTTAGGATCCCGCTCTGTGCTCCAAAGGCTTTGCCCTGGTTCTGACACCAGCCATCCCTTGCTGACCCACAGCAAAAGTTCAGCGTGTACTTGCAGCCTGTCAAGCAGCAGCATGTGCAAGGACAGCATGGGTAGCCTCAGGCCTCAACTGCTTTTGTCTAGGATCTACAGGTGTAGCTTGGCTGCTATTGGGTGACAGCACAGCAACCCCGTCTCACCTGTAGCCTCTGGAAGGACTGAGCGCAAGTGTCTGCTCTGGCACAAAAATGAGCCGAGCTTTCCCTAGCTATCCTGCCAAGACTTTCCAAACTGATGAGCCATCACCCCATGTCTGTCCCCCTCCCCCCCCCAGTGCTGTGTGTCTGCCCTTCTCAGCCTGCACTGTAGGGAAGCTGCTGGCCTAGGCTCTCCGTGTAGTGATGTGTGCGTGTGTGCGCTGTAGCTGTGCCTTCCCCACGCAGCTCCCCTCCCCATGACACCTGTGAGCTGGACTCCAGAGAGTGCATCTCCAGAGCCTCTGTCCAGGCCTGGGCTTGTAGAAAACACCACACAGTGCCAGCCTGAAGCTGCCCTGGAGTGAGAGAAGGCAGAAGTTGGGGGACAGCTGCTCCCATCCTCCTGCTCTCCTGTACAGTGCACACTAACATTTGCTGTGGCATTTCCCCTGTCCTCCCAACCTGCCCTTCCACTGCTGCCAGCCCCAGACCTCTCTGCGCCCACCCTGCCTTGCTGCCTCCGAGGACAGGCAGCCATCCTCTCCTGACTCCATTTTTGACCTCCACGTCCCCTTGGGGAACAGGGAACTGCCTCGCTTGCGTCCCAGCATCCACAGTGTTTGCTGCATAGAAGCTGCTGGCTGCTGCCCTCCAGCCCTGGGGACAACAGCCTCTGCTCCAGGACACGGGGTTCTCTTCCCTGCGCTTCACAGCCCCTTGGACTGAATGGGAACAAAGGAAGGAGCTTTCCCTGCAGCCTGGAACAAGCAGACACTGCGTGCCAGGAGAGAGCTTGCCCGTTCCCCAGCCTGCTCGCCTGTTTGAAAGCCATAGGGGAGCCAGCGCCGGCTCGGCGGCCCCCACCTGCAGCTGCTGCCTCGCCTCAGCAGCCAGCACACCTGGCTGCAGACACGCTCGGACCTGGGCTCCTGCCCCCAAGGCAAGAAACCCTGGCAGCATGGGGGAAAGGAGGTGTCTGTGGGGACTGCAGCATTCCTTGTTTTTCTAAACACATGGTTGTATTTATTGTTTTGTTGTTTTTTTTTACAATGCAACTCACTGTTAGTACAGCTGCGCAGAATCAGTGTGTATATAGCAGGTCCCGCACTGCACACAGGTGTACAAATAATGGTCGGCTCCTCACCTGTACAATGTATACATATAGATATATTTTTAATTCTAGCTCTGAAAGCTACTGTTCCAAACCCAATATTAGGGGGTTTTATCTTGTTTTGTTGTGTTGTTTTTTTAAATATTTTTAGCCCTCTGCTCAGTCCTAGGGCCTTGGCCATCACCCGAGCCCAGGGCTTGCTCAGCAGCGGCATGCTTGGATGGAAGCACTTTAAGGATCGTGGAGTGATCTGGAGTTGGTGTCAGAGGAGGTATTGCGTGTCAGTGACCCGGTGACAGTGATGGAGGGATGCAGGCAGAGGGCACAGCTGGATCACACAATGATGAGTGGTGGTTCACAAACCAAAAGGACACGTGTCAGAGGAGGCGGTTTTGCCCTCGCTTTGTTCATACAGCAAAGGGAAGATTTCATGGTGTGTAAGAGCAACCTTTCCCTTTTGTACTCCCCTGCATCACAGCTCACTCTGCCACAGGAGAAGGGTGCCAACTGTGGTCACCTCCCATCCCCAGAGCACGTGCTCTTAAGCTTGCTGACAGTTGGTAGTGCTCTGTTTCCTTAATTCTCTGCCTCAGACTTGGACATGAAAGTGCTTTGTTCTGAACACTGAGCTTCACTAATGAAAAAGGCAGCCTCCTCCATAAGTGAAAATCAGAGCTACCTGCAGTGCTAGGGCCTGGGCAGAGCTAAGGCACCAGTTCAGGTGGATACTGGCTGGAGCATTACAAGCCTCCAGTGACCACTAACATAAAGCTCATTAACAAAATCCTGCAGTTAAAGATTGCTTTGAAAAAGCTGTGAGGGAGCCAGAGAGGCAGGAGGAAACATGGGGTAGGAGATCAGAAGAGAGACGAGCCAATCACAGCACTAGGCACTGCCCCACCAGCCCATCACATGCACCCCTGCACCATCCCACTTAACTACTGTATTGGGAAATAGCATCCAGTTCCCATGCTGTGCTCCAAAACTCATCCAGCAATTCAACTCCAGTGCAAGGTTATGCAATTGCAGAGTGCACACAGACCTCCACACCCTCGTGCCTGCCCAGGACCCTCCCCAGGATCCCAGAGACTCTGTTGTGGACCACTGCCTTAAAACATGCTGACAAGCGTGTGTGTGCGTGTAGAAGGATTCAGACTGTGGCCAAATTCAGGCACATTGTACCCTGGCAGCACTTGCACTGACCAACCCCAACGCAAAGGTGCTTCTAGCAGTGCTGAATTTGTGCCACAGACTGCAAAAAAAAAAAAAAAAAAACCTACAGAATAAGTACAAGATTTTAAGTGGTGCTGAGCACCTTCTAATCTGATTGAAATCCACGGAGAAAGGGTTGGTGCATCAGCCCGGGCTTTAGGAGAAAGTACAGGAGAGGGGATATGAGGAACTGCAACTGGTTGGTTATCCTGAGCTGCAGTGCAGCCAAATTTGTTCGTTCCCCAGTGCTCCCTCCCCAGGACCCAAAACTACAACAGGAAACACCAGGAGAAAGTGTGCACAGAACTCTGCCCAGAGGGAGGAGGGATGGGGATGGCTACGGCAGGCTGTCGCTATAGACTCCGGTACTCTGTAACCTATTGTCTGTGTAAGAACAATGAATGTTAACACAGTAAATTATTACATTAAAGAAAAAAAAAACAAAAAGCTTTTCATCTGCAATCTGTTCATTGCTAGGAGGGGAACTACTCAGAGCATGCACAAGGAGCAGCAGATGGATGTGGCATGGCAGGGGATTGCTGGGGCATGGGCATGCGAGACATCCCATCGAGGGGAACAGAGTCCCAGCAGGCAGGTTATGCTTTAACACACGTTGGAAAGGAAGCCAGCAAGGCTACAAACTAATAAGGAGCAGCACCAAATCACTGCATAATATACACACTTTATTTATGAATTTGTATGTATACAGACTTTCTATACACACATTACCTATATAATAAAAATGTACATGTGTATACATGGTCGTATAAATATAGAACTGTAGAAATCTTAGAACTGATCCTGTCTATTCACAGCAACTCTTCCCGTGGGACCACTTTGTTCGAGTAGCCGTCATTTGAGACTTGGACAAAAGGGGCAAGTGTCATTTGTGTTGGTTTGTGCCCAGAATTTGATGCACTGGAAGAAAGAGAATTAGTCAAGAGCCACTGGCACAACTCAAAAGTGCTGTGAACGTAGCGTGGCGTTACTTTTCCAGAAGTGATGGCAAAGGGCATCCGTTTTATGGGATGGCTTATTTGCTCCTTAGGAACAGCTCAGTCAAACGGTCACTGGGACAGGGGAGCCCTTTTCAACCGAGCTCCTGTACACAGGCCTGCAGTGCACCAGCAATGAGGTGAGAGTGCAAGCTTTCTCCATCACCCTGTGTTCTATAACCTCCCAGACTCTCCTCCTCCAGGAATGCAAAAGGCCAAGATTTAACCCTCCTAAAAATGAGCACAAGCTCCAAGGCCGAATAAGGATAGCCTTGTTCTTAAAGCCACCACCAAACGGCCATTCAGGATGGCTCAGATAAGAGCAGTGGGAAGTGACAGGACACAGAGAAGTCAATTGATTGATCATACCTTTCTCCTGGCAAAGTCTCCATACAACAGGAACTCATTACATACGGCCAGGGACCCAGGAAAGGAATCTGTACTGGGAACCATAATTAAGAAACACAGAAGATGTACGTAGCAAGGAAGGACTTACCTCCTTGTGCAGCACATGTGAGCAGGCCATGGGATGAAGGTCGCCGGGCTGTACAAGCTTCTGGCACATGAGACATAGCTTACAGGCAGCTGGGGTCTGGATCAAGCAGCAAGGGAACACAAAGCAGACAGTTAAACTACACAGATACACCTGCACATATTCAGTGTTGCAGCTACTGGTCTTGCCAGGGGCCCCAGTTTGCCCAGTTCTTCCCTCTGCACACCAATCCCACAGCATTTTCTCTCCTCCTTTGATGCAGAGCACAGAAGAACCCATGCTTCTAACCCTCCCCCTTCTAACCCACCAGCCTGAGTAGCTATGCGAGGAGAAAGAGAGGTAGGCCCCTGCTTCACCAGCTCATCCCTTTGGCCACTTCTCAGAAGGCCTCCCTCTCCAGCTGGCTTTCCCTGGAGATGGTGAAGTGCACTCAGAAAAAAACCACAAAATCTTACATGTGATGCTGTTCCAGGGTAAGCTACCTGGGCTGGGGGCAGGAACATTGGCGTGCTGATCTGAGGCAGTGGAGCAGAAAACATGGGTGCCCTGATTCGACTGAGAGGCTGTGGGAAAACAAACCAGACATATCAGAAATGTGCAGAAGTAAAGTACAGTTGTGCTACTCTAAGTTACCTTTGGGAAAAATTGCTCCCCTGGCATACACAACCCAAGCTTGAGCTCTGTGTGGTCCCAACAATGGGCCCCATTCAGCTCAGACTGCAGGGAGCCAGGGAACAGGAGCTGCTCGCTTCTCTCTGCCACCCAGAGGAGCTGCTCGCTTCTCTCTGCCACCCAGGCTCCCTTTCCCTGCAGCCCCCTGCCAGAAGCCTGGCATGCCCCCCAACACCACCCCAAGAATCCTACCTGAGCCCCAGCTGCTGCCCGCTCCTGCTGCTCCGCAAGCTTGGCTGCCACCAGCTGGTTCAGCTCCTCCATAGTCAGACCCGCCATTGTCCTCCGAGCAGTCTTGATCTGCTGCAGGATGTTGGTGAGCTGGGCCCTGCAGAACAGTAGCCTGCTAAGAGCTCCCACCCACCACCAGTGAGCCAAGCAGTCTCCCCACAAGGGACCCCTCCATCAAAAGACCTGCAACAGTGCTCCATGTGAAACAGCCACCCCAGCACCAGGGGAGGGCTGTATCACAGCAGAGGAATATGTGCTCTCAATCATCCAAATGAGATGCATCACATGCTGAGCTTCTGTCCCTAAAACAGCAGGAAGTGAGGGAAATCCCAGCTGGAGCAAGAGACAGTGCCCACCTGTTACAGCACCTCAGTAGAGGAAGGAGAGCTGTTGGCTGCTTTCAGGTGTCAGTGCTGTCTTTTAACTAAAGCTCCAAATCTTTCTTACTGACAGAGAGCACCCACCCCTTGTCTTCAGACTTCCCTTACGTTTCTCCAGACCTCCCAAGCTCCAGACAAGCTTCACTTCCCCTTATCCCAGCTCACACCTCACCCACACGTTTTCACTCCCAGGGAAGAACACCATGAGACACTTACTTGTTGCACTGGGGAAATCGAGTCAACAACTTCTCCAGCAGCTTCTCCAGCTTATCTGCTGGCTGTGGCCTGTGAAACTCCGGAGTAACCTTAACTCCTCCCAGGCCTGGTGGAGGAGGGATGGAGGCTGCAGGAGTCATGTGAGGACTGTGTGTGCCAATAAGCGATGCCACGACGGGGCTGTTTCTTCCTTGGGATGCAGGCAGCGGTGGGGAAGGCTGGTTGGGTCTGGAGATTGCAGGGTTCAGGAGAGGAAAAGAGAGTGCCCGAGGATCAGCACTTGGCATGACCATGGGAACAGGAACCGGTCCTATGGGAAATGGGAGCCTGGGAGTAAGGGATGGGTTGGGCTGGAATGCCGTCAGCATGAAATCTGTCTGAGAAAGAAAAACAGAGGGGGAAGAAAAGGCTGGTTAGAGTAAATCCATCTCAAAGCACAGCTGAGCATCTTCCTCCCTAACCAGACAGAAGCTGAGCTGAGCCACAGCCACTGGCCATTACACTTCTCGTGGCAAGTGAGGGCCATGCAGCCCATTCTCATCAGGGGCAACAGGTGAGTCCAGAGAGACAGCTGCCTCAAAGGACAAGCAGAGAATTCCAAAAAGTATAATCCTACAGAGTTCCCTTTTATGGACTCAGCATAGACATTGCCAGTTACAAGCCAGCAAACAGGCTATTCCCAGAGCCTCACAGCAATCAAAGCTTGTATTTGTTAGACTGGAGAGGCACTCACTTCTGAGGGTGGAGGTGGCAGTGTTGGGGTTGGGATCTGTGGGAGGCTGCTCAGCTTCGTTCCATTTCTCACCATCTGAATGTGGTCATTGAACTGATCCTAAAAGAGAGAAAAGAAAACAGGCATGTTTATCAAAGCCTCCGCCTAAGGAATTTGGGGGCTCTGAATGCCTAGAACAGGCAAATTCCCCTAGCACTGTTGCCTCAACAAAGCACTCAGCCCCAGAATGGTTGCAGGCCCCAAAGCAGACATGGCTTAGTTTTGCAGGACTGAAGAGAATGAGAAAGGACCTGGAAGGAGAAACAGAGTAACTGCCTCTGTTATTAACCCAACACATTGCTTTCATATCCACATGGCTTATCCACATTCATGAGTCTGAACGCAGGCAGTGCTCTGCAGCTGTTCACAAATGCTGACTGACTGTGCTATGCTTTGGGACACAAACCTCTTTGCTGGGTCTTACTCTTCTCCCAAAGAGAGTTGCAACTGAGCACATGAAGTAGCACTGATGGGAACCACGCGCTCAAGCAGGGAGCTGTCTGACAGGAACTTACTCGGACACTTTCCTTAGTCATTCGTATCCTGTTCAGCCTCATCTCCCACTCCTGCTTTGGCCTCATGGTCTCCAGTGTTGGTGGTGCAGACCTGCAAGAACAATTTAACATTCCCTCTTGCAAGCATGCTGTCGCTGGCAGCAAAGCAGGAGCAGCTGGAAGCAACCAATTCCCCAAGTCCTTCTGCTTTCCCCTAACAGGGGTCCCCTCTTGTGGCTGGGGAGGAAAAAAATCTCAAACCCAGAGGAGGAATCCTACAATAGTGCATGGTGCTACCACAGTACAGACTGATCTGGTGCACACAGACAAACACTACAGTCAATACTGTGCCTACACAGCAGATGAGCAGTAACAGGAAATGTGTAAGCACAGCCAAATAACTCCATCCCGTGACATTACTGAATCACATTAAATGAATAAAGGAAACTGAACCACTCCAGTCAAATTGTCAGAGTAAGTAGAGGGAGAGGAGTTAGGCACATAGGTACATTCAAATTACCCTTTCATTTCTGAGGCTACAGTGACTTACTTGAGGTAGGTGAGGTGCAGCTCTGCTTCTTTTTCTGCTTCTTCTAGTTTCAACACCAGCAGCTCCTTTCGGCTCTCCAGGGACAGGATCTGGCACAGAGGGGCCTCACATGAAGAGCAGTTTCTGTATGCCCTCATTTCCTGCTGCAATACCCTGACCGTGATCTCTTCACTAAGCACCACATTGTATGCACTGGGGCATCAATCCCAACTAATGTTTACTGCACTGACATCTGCTTAACCCTTTTCTTGCTCTCATGCTCTTAAGCTGCTCTTAATTTCACAGAATCTGTCATTAATGATCCAGAATCTCAAAAACACACCTGCAAACTAGCTGAAGAGGAAAAAGTCATCTACTAACCTCTGCTTTCCAGGCCCGTTCTGTCTCCTCGAGGATGTTCCTGTTGATCTCATTGTGTTGGTTCTTCAGCTTATCTAGCTCCATCTCCCATAGCTGCCTGCAGACAGAAACAGAACAAGTCTGCTTCAGCACTGGAATCACTTGAAAGAAGAAATCCGACAAACTCCCACAAAGCCAATTGATCCCTGCAACTCTTGATGGAGTGGAACTGTGGAATACTGGCAGCTTCCAGACCGTGACACCAGACATTTCCCAAGGCTGCATGAGTCAGAATCCCAAGAGTGAGCTGTTGCAGAGCATGCAAACAAATACTGTGCAAACACAAGCGTACAGTTTAGCAAAGAGGGGAGGAAAGAACTCCATTCACCAAAATTCTGGCCAGCTCCAGGAAACAGTGCACAGTTCTGGGAAGCAACCTGAACTAATACATAGATGAAAGTCACTCTAGTCCTGAAGAAATAGGAAGATGGCCCTCTCCACCTGTGACTGGGTTTGGAACTTCTCTGTGCAGCATTAAAATACCTGAAATGTGTCCAGGTTTAAAGTAGTTGGGCAGTTGTAGGTAACAGCAGGAAGAAATAGATTTGCCTGATTTTTTAGGAAGCTGAAATTCAGTCAGAAGTAGCAGCTACAAGCTGAGTCAATCCATTAGGCATAAATTCCAATCTCATGGGATCTTTATGCCACAAGTATCAAGAACCCTTCTTGAGACCAGGATCAAAGAGGATTTAATTCAGAGGCCGTGGCACAAACCTGCTGGAAGGGGAGATTAAACCTCTAGAATGTATAACTGGTCAGCACTGTTAGACCACCACCTCCAGCCTATCCCACAAGCCAATCCAAGACAAAATGACCAGCAGTACAAGAATGTTCAACAACATTAATCTGGTAACAGATAAAAGCCTTACTTTTCATCAGACTGCTCTGCAATCAGAGAAGCAATCTTGTTTTCCTTCTCCTCCTGCTCCTTCAGCAACCTGCACAAGAATAAAGAACAGATGGAGTCACCTACTGCAAAGGTGTCACACAGTCACTAGTGCTGCGCTTCTCACCTTTCCACTGTGTATTTGCACAGCTGTGTGCTCAATCTCACAACACACTATGAAGACCAAATTACACATTACGTGTTTGAAAACAAGCACTGCCATCCTCAAGAGCAAAAATTTTGCTGTCTCACAATAGTGAGCAAAGACTGTGGCTTTTATCCAGGATCCAGCACAGGGAACTGTGCCTCTCTGACAGTGTGAGCTTTGCAACAGTTCATTCAGGGAGAAAAGAGCTGAGTACTGGGAGTCATTACTAAAGAAGCTTATGCAAAAATGTCACTTAGCCTCAAATTAAAAAGTCAGATCTCTGAGACATCACAGAACAGCTCCACAAAAGTGCCAATTCACCATTCAAAGGAACCTGAAGCTCTTTGCCTGCTTTACAACCCTTCTGAATCTGATTCTTTGCACAGAGCATGATGCCTACCTGAAAGCAAAGCATAAATGATGCAGAGTGTTTCAAACCATTAGGCACAGGTAGGCTATTTGAGCAGGAAATTTACAAGAAAATAGGAATTTTACAACAGGAAACACTGAAATTTACTACAGGAAACAAGACACTGCCACTGCCAATGAACTGTCCTGCTTCCTGCTGAAAGGCTCTGCATTCTGAAAGACAGAACACAGAGCACAGCGGAACTGCCAAGTTCTGTTTGCACATACACCTAACAGGTAAAACCACCACATCCTGCTCAAATTTTCTTTTTGGGATCATGTTTACATGCTCACAAAAACATGTGCTTCTTCCAAAGGTTTAAAGTGATCCTCTTTTACTTAGTGAGGTATACAGCAGAGTTAAATTATACTTTCCTTCCTAAAAAAAGAGTTGCTTTTTCATACCAGTACCTTCTGCCTTTCTCACAGAGTTTCTCAATTTCTGCTTTCAGATCCTGCTCTTTCTGCAGGAATTCCTTCTTCTCTTTCTCCATCTTCTTCTTTGTCTCTTCCCGCTTGATCGTAACTGCCTGAATTGCTTTCAGAATCTCCTATAGTAGCATAAGCATTACCCAAGTAAAGAGCAAAATCCTCAAAAAGCAGTTTTTGTTGTTTATAAAGTCATTATTTTCTTAACAAACTTGGAGAGATTTTAAGATTACAGACATAAAAATCTTTCTTTTCAGTTCATAGAGCTTATTATAAGGCAACCCAGGAGACAGACAGAAGGTCAGAATTACAGGTTCTCCCGTCTCCTTATGAGGACTAGTTCTAGCTGATGAGCCACTCATGATACCTTTTGTGTTAATCTGAACTCCACAGAGCTAGCTGTGAATCATTCATTCAAGCTAGGGACCCACTGCCAACAACTAGAGACATCTAAATAACGGCACAGAGATAATTCTCACTTCACACCACTCTGCCCATCAGTTTCCTATGGAAAAACTCTTGCATGTGTTAAAGAGATGTTGTAAGACCATCAGATATGCAAGATGCTTCACAGTTCTAAACTGCTCAACACCCAGATCTGAGCAGGAATCAATCCTTAATGCTGTAAAATACACTTTTAATACAAGGAGAGAACTGTCGTGCTGCATGTCACTGCCACTTCTTACAACGCTTTGCACCTCACTGTGCTCCTCAGCACAGGCCCAAATCAGCCCACCTCAAACACATAACTGGCAGGGTTAACGGGCACGATAAACAGAAAGCAGACTTTGCTAATTACCTGGTGGTTCTTCATCTCTTCTTCCCTCCGCTGCTGGAGCTGTTTGAGCTGCACCTGCAGCTGGTTCTCCACTTGCCGCTGTTTGTCCAACACCTCTTGGTACCGTTCCTTTAGCAAAGCCCTCTCAGACATCATTTTGTCCTGCAGCAGAGAACAGAAATTCAAGGAGAACCCTTTCCCTCCATCACACCACAGAGAGCGTGGACACAAACAGGAAAACTCAGCAGAACAGTATACAGAAGCCCAGTGGATGCCAAGGCTTAAGTTGTGCAGAACCATGGCTTAATGACTCCCACCATCAAAGCTCACACTCTATAGGTCAGAGAAGACAAATGGCAGCGCTGCCTGAAGCTGCAGCCAGAGCTGCATTTCCTCTTCTAAAGAGGACAGCTCAAGAAGCCAAAGCTGGTATTTAAAGGGGGAAAAAAACATCCTGTGCTGTGGGAAGGGCAGGGGAGGCAGCACCAGGATGCCTAGTGCCAGGAACAACTCTGCCTCCAGCTACCTCGTATACACTGCTACAATTTCACCATAAAACATCCTGAGAGCATTTTCAAATTGCCTGGGATGCCTTGATAGTCAAATTAGTGAAATGTAGTGAGCGGTGGAGGGAAATGTTTTTCATGGTTTTCTTTTTATTTTTTAAACAAACCAGATATTTAGAAAAAACCAAACCAGCAATGCTCCACTTAATACAGAGCCAGAAACAGACCAAGATTCACACCCCGTATTCACTGAATTGCCAAGAGGATCTTTCTTGCTCATACATAAGACACATTAGAGCTACCAAGTCCCACAGATGCTACCCCCACCACCACTGCTCTGCAGCCTTTCAGAACTCGGATCGCGTTCCTGACTGCTGAAGCCCCACAAGAGCTTTCTGAGCACCCATAAGTTCCCACAGCTACAAGGTACAAATCGCCCCCTGCAGCCGCGCTGTGGGAGCAGGAGCAGCAGAACCCCGACCTACCACAGCGCTTCAGTACCCACCAGGTTCTTCTCAATGTCCTGATCTGTGTTCGCATCCGTGTCGGCCGTTTTGAAGTCAGTCTGTAAAGGTTGACGGCTCCCATTAGACCCCCCCACAAACACCCCGACCTCCCCCCAACCACCTCCAGCGCCGGAGGCATCCCAAAGCCACAGCTCAGAGCCGCGAGGGGCCGCTCCCCGCCAACACACCGCTTCACTCCTTCACCTAACAGCTGCCTCGGGACGCCCCTCCCCACCAACCCACGTTACATCCCCGGCCCGGCGCTTCTCCCCCCCGCCCCGCGCCCACCTGCACCGCGATGTTCTGCGAGGGCTTCACGGCCGCCTCCTCCGCCTCGTTCTCCTCCGCCTTCCCCTCGCTCTGCCCCGCGGCCTCCGCGCCGCCGCCCGGCCCGCGCTCCCCCTCGCCTCCCGCCGCCTCACCGGGGAGGGCCGCGGGCTCCGCCTCTCCACCAGGCGCCGCCTCGCCGGGGCTCTCCGGGGCGGAGAGGCTGTGCGAAACAAACAGGTCACCCGCCGCCATAGCCGCGACGCGGCCCCTCCGCCCGGCCCCGAGGCCTACCTGGCGGGCGGCGCGGCGGCGGGGCCCTCGGCCTGCGCCTGCTCCAGCGCCATGGCGGCCCGACCGGAGGCTGCGGCTGGGCCCGGAGCGGCGCCGCTCGGCCCGCGCACCGCCCGCCCCGCCCCGCCTCTTCCTGCCGCCGCCGGAAGTGCCCGCGGCGATGGCGCCCCCCTGCGGAGCGGAGGCCGCGTCGCGGAGGGGCGGGCGCGGACGTGACGGCGCTGTCAGAGGCCGCGGGCATCCGGCGGCGGAGCACCGGCGGCCCATGAGGGGTGAGCGGGGCCGGGCTGCGGGCTCGAGTCGCTCGTTGGGGCCCGGCACGGCGTCCGCGGGGGACGGGGAGCGGCGGGCCGTGGGCAGGGTTTGGGCGTCCGCCCGGCCCCGCTGTACGGAGAGGGCAGGCGGGGCGGCGGGGCGCGGAGCTGGACTTTAGCCTGGTGCGGCCCGGCGGCGTTGGGTGCCGGGTGGCGGCCGGCAGCGAGGCCTGGGGGTGAAGCGGGTGCGCGACGGCGGCCGCAGGTCGCGGTGAGGTGGGTTTTCCCTGCTGCTTTCCTGCAGCACAGGGCAGGGATGGGCTGAGCGCTGCCTGCTCGGGGCCTGCCGGCGCGGGATGTGAATCACGGAATCACAGAATGGTCGGGGTTGGAGGGGACATCAAGGATCACGAAGCTCCAACCCCCTGCCGCATGCAGGGCCACCAACCTCCACATTTCATAGCAGCCCAGGCTGCCCAGGGCCCCATCCAACCTGGCCTTGAACACCTCCAGGGATGGACGGGGCATCCACAGCCTCTCTGGGCAGCTGTTCCAGCACCTCACTGCTCTCATAGGAAAGAACTTCCCCCTGACATCCAACCTAAATCTTCCCTCCTTCAATTTAAAACCATTTCCCCTGGTTCTGCTGTTATCTACCCTTTCAAAGAGTTGATTCCCCTCCTGTTTGTAGGCTCCCTTTAGGTACTGAAAGGCTGCAATGAGGTCAGTGTGGGAGGGAGGAGACCTGGACAGTCAGTACAAGAAAGACAGGGAGCTTTGGAGAGGTCCAGAGGAGAGCCACAAAGATGATCAGGGAACTTGAGCACCTCCCCTGTGAAGACAGGCTGAGGGAGCTGGGCTTGTTCAGCCTGGAGAAAAGAAGTCTGTGGGGTGACAGATAGTGTTGAGGTGCTGGAACAGCTGCCCAGAGAGGCTGTGGATGCCTCGTCCCTGGAGGTTTCAAGGCCAGGTTGGATGGGGCCCTGGGCAGCCTGGTCTAGCATTAAGTGAGGAGGTTGGTGGCCCTGCATGTGGCAGGGGGATTGGAGATCCATGGTCCTTGAGGTCCCTTCCAACACTGGCCATTCTGTGATTCTGTGATTCTGTGACAGTGCCAGGGATTGGCAGCAAACACAGCTGAGACTGTGGCACCTGCACCGGAAGTGCTGGAAACAGATCTCACCGTTCCTCTTTTTTGTCACTGTTCTTTTTTTTTCATCAATATTTGCCTTTTTGGGTTCTTTTCCAGCCTGCCTGTCTGATGCCGCATCGGGAGCGCAGGTCGCCGCGATGGAGCGCAGGAGTGCAGGCTGTGCGCTGCGTCCACACGTGCCTTTGGCTGGGTGCTGCCTGGATCCCCTTCGTGCTGTCCCACGGACTGAGCCGCAGCACGGAGCTCGATGATGGCCATAGTGTGGCCCGTGGTCACAGGGAGCTGGCGTGGGCCGTCAGCTTGGATGTGCCGGAGGAGGAATTGGAGCAGCAAGCGGAGCAGCTGGCCCAGACCGCGGGGCTGGTGAACATGGGCCGCATTGGGGAGCTCAAGGGCCATTACCTCTTCTCCTACCGGCCCGACAGCCACCCGGCACCTGAACCCGAAGCAATAAGGAGATCAGTGGACACTTTGTTTGCACAGCACGACAGCGTGAGGTGGCATTCGGAACAGAAGCTTCTGAAGCGCTCCAAACGCAGCCTGCACTTTAATGATCCCAAATACCCCCAGCAGTGGCATCTGGTGAGTGGTTTTTGTGCCGCTGCCCTGATGGCAATGTGGGGCCCTTTGTGTGGTTACCAGTGAGAAGTCACGTGGGCAAAGCAGCAGCTGTCTGTGCTTGCAGCAAGGAGGAAGCAGGCTGAGAGCTCTGCATGCTCACCCTTTTAACGGGAGGAGCACCGTGCTGGTGCTCTGCTCTGTGGCTGAGCAGCTGTTGCACACTGGCTGCATAAAACCAATCTTTAGCGACTGTTCTTGACACCTCCCTGCACTTACCCTGGCCCTGTGCAAAAGGTCCCCACTCTCAGGGCTGACGCGCTGCTCTTCCTCATGCGCTGCTCTCACTGTCCTTTCTGCTGCTCAGAACAACCGCAAGAGCCCCGGGAAGGACATCAACGTCACCGGCGTGTGGGAGCGGAACGTGACGGGGCGTGGTGTGACGGTGGTGGTGGTGGATGATGGCGTGGAGCACACCATCAAGGACATACAGCCAAATTATGTGAGTGCCAGGGCTGTGGATGTGCGGGACAGTGGGCAGGTGGTTGGGTGTGGGGGCACCCCGGTGGTGTCTGCTCATCTGTGAAAGCAGATGCCTGAGGAATCCCAGGCATTTATACAGAGTGGATGGAGCAGTCCTTGAGAGCAGCCCTGCAGAGTAGGACCTGGATCCTGATGGATGAAAATCTTGAAAAACTGAACATGAGCCAGCAGTGTGCTCTTGCAGCTCAGAAGGCAAATGGTATCCTGGGTTCCATCAGAAGAGCGGTGGCCAGCAGGGACAGGGAGGTGATTGTCCTTCTCTACTCTGCCCTTGTGAGGTCCCACCCAGATCTGGAACTCCCAGTACAAGAAAGACGGAGAACTGTTGGAGAGGGTTCAGAGCAGAGCCACAAATCTGATCAGGGGGCTGGAGCACTTCCCCACAACAACAGGCTGAGGGAGCTGGGCTTTTTCAGCCTGGAGAAAAGAAGGCTGTGGGGTGACCTCATTGCAGCTTTTCAGTACCTAAAGGGAGCCTACAGACAGGAGTGGAATCAACTCTTTGAAAGGGTAGATAACTGCAGGACCAGGGGAAATGGTTTGAAGTTGAGGGAGGGAAGATTTAGGTTGGATGTCAGGGAGAAGTTCTTTACTGTGAGAGTGGTAAGGTACTGGAACAGCTGCCCAGAAAGGTTGTGGATACCTCTGGAGGTGTTCAAGGTCTGATTAGACAACTTGGTCTAGTATTAAATGGGGAGGTTGGTGGCCCTGCCTGTGGTGGGGGATTTGAGCTCCATGATCCTTGATGTCCCTTCCAGTCTGGGCCATTCTGTGGTTCTGTGATTCTGAGTTGTGACTGTGAACCTGTTTTCAGAGCCCAGAAGGCAGCTATGACTTGAACTCCAATGACCCCGACCCCATGCCTCACCCTGACGAAGAGAACGGCAACCACCACGGTACTCGCTGCGCAGGGGAGATTGCTGCTGTGCCCAACAATAGCTTCTGCACAGTGGGAGTTGCCTATGGGAGCCGCATTGCAGGTAGGTGCAAGCTGTGGCAAAGCAAGCTGTGCACTGAGTGTGTCTGCTCTCCCCAAGTGCTGCTGGGGCACGGCCCCTCGGAGAAGTGGCTCAGCCCAGGTGGCTGTGAATCAGACAGGGCTTGCTGAGACTGGTTCCTTCCTTAGAAGTAGGGGCTGGTGTCTTCCTCAGCTCCTCTCCAGAAAAGCCTGACAGCGTGCTACATGTGTGCTGGGAGTTTCCAGAATATTCACCACACAGCTAAGCAAATATGTGCCACACTGCACAGACATGTCCACTCCACTGCAGAACTACAGGCTGCATCTGGAGGCATTGGAAAGCACATGTCCCCGAATACACTGCATTCCCCTTGGGTGCAAAGTGCTGCACATCTGCCCTGTGCAAAGCTGGGGAATGTGCTTTGGTTGTCTCTGGAGCTCTCACTTTCCTTTGCAGAGGGAAGTGAGATTTCTGTGCCTGACATCCTTGGCAGCGCTGCTGTGTGATTCTCTCCACACCCAGCAGATGGTGCCACATTCCCTGTGACAAGCACCAGCCTCTTGTGACAGCCCTGATGGGGAACAGGGTGGGCCCAAAGGTGTCAGCAGGGTCCCGGAGGCACAGAGCTTCCCAGGCTACTGCAGGCGGCTCCACACCCCTGCTTTGCTCGTGGCTTCCCATTGGGATGCTTCCAGAGCAGCACAGCCCTGGTCTCCAACCTGCCAAAGAGACTGCAGACAGAAGTTGCTGGTGAAATCGGCCTGGTAGGAGAAGAGATCAGCTCAGTAGTTTAACTGTAGCACTGTGAATGCAGCAGTAGGAAGGGGTTAGCTCAAGCTCACTGGGGCAGGACCCAGCATTTCTTTGACCTTTGGCTCTCCAAATGTGTGCCTGACTTCGCAGGGTGAGTGCAGGAGGAAAGCCTTGAGCTCTGGGATGGCACAGGGAGACATACCATGGCAGCATGGAAGTGCTGGAGCCAGCACAGTGCCAGCTGGAGCAGGCAGAGCCAGCACATCCCTAGCTGGGCTGCTCAGTTCCTCCACAGAGCAAGGCTCAGATGTGGCAGTAAAAAGCCACATGCACTATGCTGGGCAGGAGCTGAGATGGGTGGGCAGTTACACTGTTTATAAATAGTCTTAATTGAGATGTGTGCCTGGTTTCCATTTGTAACATTCTTTGCCAGCCGAAACTGTGATGTAAAACTGTAGTTATTAAGGGTTAGGGTCAAGGAAAACTCAGCACTGAGCTTTTGTTTATACTGCTGTAGAGGTCCTGAGCACAGTAATTGAGGTGTATTACGTCTCTTGTACCCTTTCCTCAGTCATCAAGCATGCCACCCATCCCAAAGCAATGCCTGGCCATTTGGTGGCCTGGAAGGGGAAGCAATTGCTCCAGGTAGGGACTAACCCTGAAAAGAAGTAATAACATGGAGCAGTGCTCTGGGCAAGGATGTTGTGGAACACTTAGGAGTGAGTCTAACTGGTGTTCGGTTGTCCTTTCCCTATC